CTGCCTGTATGAGGTGGCATTAGAGGAAAGAGGTGGCTTTGGATCTCCCCATGTAACTAAGTCAGACAGCAAGATAAGAACATGAGCCAAATAAGGTATGCTGCTTACATGAGGTATGTATGTCAGGAAACTCAGAAATGCAAGAATCCTTTTTACCTTTCTAACTTTGGAGTTGCAAATGACTTACAAGATCATTGCAAGAAACAAATTTTCATAAGTGAAGGGAAAATTCTTATGCAGCATCTTGGGAATGAAGGGAATTTTTTGCAGCATCTTGCTTGGTACCACATGGCAGGGACACTCAGCCTTTGCAAGAACTCAAAGGCATGTGGGTGATGAAACAGATGCAGTTCTTCTCCCCCAGTTAACAATTCTGTTGCGAACATCCTTTATGGGAACCAAGTGTTTTCTGCTATGGTGAAACCTTCTGAATACAGTTTTTTTCTTTTTTTTGTTTGGTATTGGGGATCGAACTTATGACCTTGTGCTCACCAGGCAGGTGCTTACACTGCTGAGCTAAATCCCCATGAATCACAGTTTTTAAAATTTAAAGTAGGGGGCCAGGGATTTAGCTCAGTGGCCTAAGTGGCTGCCTGGCAAGTGCAAGGTTGTGAGTTCAATCACTGGTACAAAAAAAAAAAGGTAAATAATGCTTTAGATATTGTTCTTATAGAGGGAGTTTCTCCATCATCTTCCCCATTTATCATTTTAATAAATGCGTCTCAAGGGGCCCATTCGCTTGTTCTACTATTGCTTGACCTGCAGGGTTATGAGGTAAAACTGTGACATGTCTAATATATCAGAGTTGAAAGAAAGCCCAAAGATAACTGGAAATATAGGTAAGTCCATTAGCAGTCTTAATTTTTTTTTTTTTTTTTTTTTGTTTTCTTTTGAGACAGGGTCTCGCTATGCAGTTCAGACTGCCTTGAGCTCACTTTGTAGCCCAGGCTGGTCTTGAACTCGCAAGGATCCTCCCACCTCAGCCTCCCGAGTGCTAGGATTACAGGCATGAGCCACCCGGTTTAGCAGTCTTTTTTTTTTTTTTTTTTGTCTTTTTCGTTTTTACCGGTACCAGGGATCAAACTCACGACTGCCTATTTGCAAGGCAGGCGCTTATGCTGCTGAGCTAAATCCCCAGCCTCCCCGGTTTAGTAGTCTTAATTTGTGAAGACAATCCCACTGCAGAAAAACATTGGTAAATAGCATTTAACGTGTTTTACTGTTTCACTATATACTATATCTATCTATCTATATCTATATCTATCTATCTATCTATCTATCTCTCTATATATATATAGAGAGAGACAGAGTAGGCATCAACAGAAACATGGATATATTTAAGTTGCCAAAAGATTCATGGTAAATTACGTGCATTTGCCAAATTTAGTTACTTTTAAAACCACACACTGACCCTATAGGTTTCTACAACATAAGTCAAATCAGCAACAATATCAAGGGTCTAATTAGGGAACGGTTATTTTTCTTTCAATCATGGTTGTTACAGAAGTTGAAACCCTGTAGAATGAAAATTTGAGAAAATTTGAGAAGGGCAATGTAACATAGCTTAACAATCATAACATCTTATAGTAAATGATATATGACATGGAGAAAATTATCTACATTTGTAGTAGAGTGTCATCTGAAAACAATGTATTTGTCTACAAGTGTATTTTATGCAACACTGTTTGGACTATTTAGCATGTGAGCATTCCCTACACAGAAAGATTACATAAACTTAACCCCTGAAAAGCATTTACATTCTTTGAGCCTTGGCTGGTTGGCTTATGTTGGAATGGTGTGTATATTTTATCAACAACTGTTGGAACAGAAGTAAGGAAAAATCAGATCTTTGAATTTAGAAGTTTATCATTGTGAGTACTTTTAGCCTGGGAAGTAACAATAGTATGAGATGGTTTTTAGCTTTTTATCTTGAAAGACCTGCACATTTGGGAAATATAAGTATGTTTAATATGCCATCAAGTCAGCAATCATGAGTGTCACAAACCAGGTTGGAACTGCCCAAGGAGGAAGCTTGTCTTGGTTTTTGCCATCGACCAGTGTAGGTGTCTTTGCTAGTCATGCAGAAAGGCTAATGTTTAATGTTAATCTCAGAAAGCAGAATTATAGTCTTCAGGTGGAGGCATTCATTAGACTGGATAGGGGCTGAGGCCTGAGGGGTAGCTGATGAGTGTCAGGGCTATAGCCACCGAATCTTCTTTGAGCAACAAGCAGCATATATTTATTTATTATTCTTATGTTATTGAAAAAAAGGCAAAGCAAAATTTCATAATAATAAGAGAATAACAATAGTTAATACACTGCATATCATCATTGTCAAAGTAGTTACTCAGAGCATGATATAGGCATAATAAATTCTCCAATTGATATTTACACAAACCTTCCTTTTCAATGAACAAAGAGATACTTTTCTCTCATTGCTGAGACAAAATACCTGGTGCCCAAAATGAAGAAAATAAAGGTCTATTTAGCTCACAGTTTGTGGAAGTTTCAGTCCATAATCTGCTGGCTGCAAGGCAGGGTGGCTTGGTACAGGTGTAACCTTTCATGGTGGCAGAAGACAAAAGCAACAATAACAAAAAGGAAGGAGTGCAGAGAGAAGACTCTTTCTGTCCCTAATATTGTATGTAGGCCACACCCATCCTGGGGTGGGGGCAGCACTCACACCCATAATCCCAGCATTAAATCATGAGTCATTCACAAACTCTAGGAGCCCATTGCACGGGGCTTTGGGGGGACATCCAGGCACAAACCATAATATCCACCAACAGCTTCTTAACATACTTAAATCTAGTTTTGCCATTATGGCTCCTTTCCCTTTATACATTGGTAGGGAAACATCAGCAAACAAAATCCTCACATTAAACGTGGGACACTGTGTCATATGCCTGTAATCCTGGCACTTGAAAAGCTGAGGTAGGAGGATTGTTGAGTTTGAGATCAGTCTGAGCTACTTAGTGGGTTCAAGGCCAGCCTGAAATACACAAGACTCACTCATCTGTATCTGTTTAATCTATCTACATCTCTATACTTACAGCTTTTATTATATTCTTTTCTCTCTTACTGTAGTATTTCTATGCCAAACTTGGCTGCTGTCACGTGGTTGTATAGTGCCTCCTTTTAGGAGCTCCAGTGGTGTAATCAGTCAAAATGCGATACTAACCCTAACCCCTAAGTATCCCTTTCCTTTTTTCCTGTGTTCTCAGGTTGTTAGTGAAAATTTGGCTGCTTGCCAATAATCAAAATTTTTATATGCACTAAAGCAATGAAAGAACAAATTAAGCCTGTAATTGTAGTCTAAGAATTTACAAAACATAGTATCTATTTTAAGCATATTGAACAAAAACAACTCAAATTGGAAGCCAAAATAAACTTACCAGTGAAGATTTTTAACAATGTGATTTGCACATTTAGGAAATGGTAGTTTGTCCCACAGACCATCTCCAGCAATGCTCCAGGAAGAATTTTTTCTTGTCTTTGTTTTCAAAGACCTAGAATGTGTGTTTTCAGTTGGTCTTTTTTTTTTTTTTTTTTTTTTTTCTTTTTCCTTTTTATCGGTACCGGGATCGAACTCACAACTGCCTGCTTACAAGGCAGGCGCTTACGCTGCTGAGCTAAATCCCCAGCCCCTTCAGTTGGTCTTTATGACTCAGTTTTTTAAAAATCTCCTGTAATGCAGGTTTTATGTGTACTCCGAGAGCCACTTTCCTATACATTTAAGAAGCAGTATTTTTACTTTAAAAAACTTAAGATTTGGCACATGAGCAAGGTTATTTTGTTGTTGCAAAGTGTCTGTTTTATCTCCTCCTGTGTGGGTTTCACCGTCTTCAGAACCAGTCTCAGATATTCTGGGGCATCTCCAAAAATTTTATACCTCCAGTAAGAGTTCCAGCTGATCTGCATATTCCCCCCCCGCCCCCCCCCCCACAAAATTTGGTGTTTACTTCTAGGTCATCACTGTTTTCTCAACCTCTTATTAATACAGTGAACCTCTCACATCTGCATATCCTTATCTTTCCATCCATAAATGCTTTGATGTATTTTAATGACATTCTTGCGAAACATACTTTAACAGAATGTGAAGCTATGTTTGAGGCTGAATAATTAAACCCTTCATCTTCCTGTCATATGCATCTGAAAGATTCAACACATTTTCTTTCAAAATTCATGTTAAAAGATTTGGGCTGGGGCTGGGGCAAGGCTCAGCAGCACAAGCATCTGCCCAGCAAGTGCGAAATTGCGAGTTTGATCCCGGGCATGTGCACACATACACAAAGATGTGGGCTATCCCTCAGTGATGAATAATGTAAGATGGTTATTTTCAAAAAGATTTAATTTTTTTTTGTCTTTTTCATTTTTATCAGTACCAGGGATCGAACTTACGACTGCCTGCTTTCAAGGCAGGCGCTTATGCCGCTGAGCTAAATCCCCAGCCCCTAAAGAGACTTAATATTATCGGTCTGAGTAATAATTCACAATTTCTCTACAGCTTTCCCTTTACTTTCCCAATATCTACAGCATTATAATTAAATCACCTTTCTTTTTTTCTTTTTTTTTTGGTACCAGGGATCAAACTCATGACCTTGCGCTTGCCAGGCAGGCACTTACATCACTGAGCTAAATCCCCAGCTCCTTTAAACTATCTTTAAATCAATGACTTTTAGAAAATACACTAATGCTAATTAAATAATTTTACAATAATTGATTGTAAAATTGATTGTTTAATCATTTTAAATTTAATAGTGAATAAAATAAATTGTGGTGTTTCAACTTTGTTTGACTTTTTGGTTTTTGTTTTGTATTCTGAATAACTTTTTAAGAATGATACAGTATAAAACTATGGCTATTTTAATATGAAATTTTTTTCTATAAAATAAAAAAGCCCCCCCCCATAGTGTATTGAATTTGTATACACAAAGAATTTAGGCAAGGCTAACTTGTATTCAGAATCTATAAATTAAAAATTTTAAGTCAACTAAAAGTAATATTATCTTTTTATTTTATTCAATTTCATTTTTATATATGAAGGTAATTTATTATGTACAAACAAAATACATTCTTAAAAACGTTTAGAATATAAATTTCCAAGGTATTAAAAAAGTGCAAAATTTTCAGGTATTTTCAATCATATTATAGAAAACAAATCAAACATTAACTTCATATACACACATTATTTTTAAAACACCACTTCATGTAACAAAACATACATCCATTTAAATTTAAAAGAATGAAGAATGTATTGCACCAAGCTAACAGTATCTTCCTTATGAGAATACTAATTAAGATTATTTACACATCTGTAAGTCTAAAAACTTGCTTAATTTTAAAACCTTTGTTGTTATACAAATACCCAACAAATCAGTTTGCACAGTCAATGGTTTGATATAAGTAAGTTTTAATACTCTCTTTCATGGTCAATTCTAGTAGAATACATGAAAAGGAACATTTAAGGATACATATACAACTTTTTTTGAATTCCTTAAATATTTAAGCAGCAGCACAATTTCCAAATATTTTGACAGTTCTCTGTGCAGCTAACCATTCTGAACTATGTGACACATATATTCAAGACACGCCACCCTCCATCAAAAATGTGGTCTGGGTCCCAGAAAAACTGGCAAGAGATTAGTCAGATATGCTCAATGCTGTTCTGATTCAATGGATTCTCTTCTATAGCAATGAATCCCACAGAAAATGGCCAGATATCTGATTACTTCTAATTTTTTCCCACGAAGTGTATAAATTATCAGGCAGTTGGGGGAAGGAAAGCCGAGTATCTGAACAGAACATAGCAGACATGCAGTTTTCTAACAAGTTCTCTTATGTGAAGCTAATGATAAACAGAAATGTTTGGTGATAGTGTTTACGAATCAGTTGTTACAAAAAAAGCAGGACAGGAAAGAACAGTCTGAAAAGATCTTCTAAGAGTGAGATCTATTGTAACATACCACAATTTTGGGAGAAGCGTAGAAACCATTATAATGAAGTCACTAAAAATTTACCTAAGTAATAAAATTTCCAAGAGAAGAAATAATCTTATTTTTGTAACCCTTAAATAAGAGACCAATTGGCCAAAGTACTTTTCAGTTAAATGTGCCTCCTGGCGTGTCTCCATTTATTTCTGTTAGCTTCTGAAGAACAAAATAATTATGTCTGTTATGATAAGGTTTTTTCCCTTCAAAATACAAGAGTAGCCACCATGAATTTGTATGCTGAGCGCACTAAATGTTAAAACACATTATTTAGTGTGGGAAATGTTACCAAAAGAAAGAACATCAAAACCAGCATTTTAAAGTTGACTAGGTAGGACCCTATCAGAGAACCTTTAATTTGAAAACACCTTAAGTTGAAACAAATTACCAAAATCAGATTTTAAAAAACTGGGAGAAGTATTAAGAGTTTGTATTTTAATCAGTAAAAGCTTTTGATCTCAGCTAAATTCTAACTCCTCTTAGTCTCACATTACAATGTTCCATTTATAATAGCATTATAAGCAGTTAATCATTTGGTGTACTCAAAAATATCAATAAATAAATTTAAATGAATGGAAACATACACACTCATTTTAATTAACAGTAAACTTTGAAATACACACACACACACACACACACACACACACACACACACACAATTTTTTTTTTTTTTGAGTCAGGGTGTTGGTATAATTTCCAGGTTGATCTCCAATGCTTGAGCTCAAATGATACTCATGCCTCGGCCTCCTGAGTAGCTGGGATTGTCACCATGCTTTGGGTAAGTAGTCTTTCAAGTGACTAAATTATGTTATTATTATTTTTATGGTCATTAGCAAAATTGTTTCTAAGATATGAAAATTATACCATGAAAATGTTGAATTAGTGACCTCATACTTGTTCTTTTGCTGAGAAGATAAGTATTACTGAATTTGCATCTTATCACTAACATCATTGGCTTCGTATGTACAAATTCCACAAGGTGTTTGGAAGCCATCCACAAATAAAAAATCCCAGTAGGACAATCTGTGTCTGATGAATTACTACAATCTATTTTTTTGAGACCGGATCTTATTATGCAGTTTAGGCTGGCATTGGGCTTACTTTGTAGCCCAGGTTGGTACCTTATAACTTGCAACAATCCTCCTGCCTTAGTCTAGTGCTGCCTAGTGCTAGAATTACAGGAGTACATCACCATGCTCGGCGAATTACTTCAATCTACCAGAAAAGCATTTGATAATAAACCCAATGAAGCCACTTTTATGGAAGCCACTTTTTTTTTTTTTTTTTAGACAGGATGTCACTATATTGTTCAGGCTGGCCTCCATGGGGTGGGACAGGCATGCACCACCATACTTGGATTTACAAGGTTCTTATGTTACCTAATTGAGGTATATAAAATATTCATTGATAGTTATTAGGAACTAATGTTACCAAACAGATGCTTTTTTGGAGACAAATTGCTATTTCTACCTAAGAAAGGTTCTAAGGAGTTCATAAGAATAATGCAGTTGTAAAGAAGATTTGGTTGTTCCTGTACATGGCAACAAAAATAAGGCAATTCTAAGCGAAGCCCAAAATGTTTCTCAGGATAATAACACTATTGTCAAATAAGTCTAATATTAGACCTGGATTCTACACAGACACAAAACCATGGACTTAATTCTTATGGTGGAAAATATTTTAAGATGTATAATCCTGAGATACTTTTTTTTTTTTTTTTTGGTACCAGGGATGGAACTTACCACCTCACGCTTGCCAGGCAGGCGCTTATGCCACAAAGCTAAATCCCTAGCCTGAGATACTTTTTATACCAAGAATATCAAGTAGAGATTTTTTTCTCCTAAAACACGAAGTACTGCTTAGAAATTATGTGTAGGTAGTTCATGTGTGCATGTGTGCACACACACACACACACACACACACACACATATGCTCACATTATTCTCAGTACTGGGGACTGAATCTGGGACTTTGAGTATGCTTGGCAAGCACTGAATCAGTGAGTTCTATTGCTAGTCCTTTAGAAATAGAACCTTGTTCAGCTGCCCAGGCTGTCCTTCAACTTTAGATCCTCCTGCCTCAGCTTCCCAAATAGCTGGGATTGCAGGGATGCATTATTACACCTGACAATGGATATTCACCAAACTCCATGGACAAGACTGATCTGCAATCTAATTAGGAACCACTGGCCTATGCGAAGGCTGAGGCAGGACAACCACCAGGAGTTCCAAGGCAGCGTAGGCTACCCAATGAGTTCAAGGCCAGCATGGACTATATAGAGATAACCTGTCTCAAAAAATACAATAAAACAAAACAAACGAGATATAATGGTGCTGCCTATAATAGCATTTGGGCTGAGGCATGAGGGTGGCTGCAAGTTTGAGGCCAGCTTTAATTACATAGTGAGAGCCTGTCTCAAAACAAAAAACAGCAAAACATAACAGAAACCACACACACATAAAAACCCACTGGTAACCCTACACTGTTGTCTAATGGCATCAGGAAAAACACTATTACAATTCTGACTAATCCAGGAAAACTCCAGAGAACAATGTTACAGGTAAGATCAAGTTTGAAACAGACTACTCAGTATATATGATGCATATATGAATTAGGAAAAAAGAATATTGAGGATGGATATTTGTGTTAAAAATAAAGAGTGCTCAGTTATTGGGAAAGAACAATTGTTGATGAGAATATTTTAGGGCAAACTATGAGTCTAGCTTGAAAATGAAGACAGATTAGATTTGAAAGCAAAAACATAGTGCATTTCTTATATCCCACTCAAAAACTATCCTAAAGACATATTTAAGAACCTATGAGCTAGGCGTGGTGGCTCATGCCTGGAATCCCAGCACTCAGAAGGCTGAGGCAGGAGGATAGTTGTGAGTTTGAGACCAACCTGGGCTACAAAGTGAGCTCAAGGCTAGCCTAGAGACTGCATAGAGACTCTGTCTCAAAAAAGACAAAAACAAAACAAAACAGCCCTGAAAGAATTTATTTAAGAATTATTAGCAGGGGATTTAGCTCAGCGGCATAAGCACCTGCTTTGCAAGTATGAGTTCGATCCCTGGTACAAAAACAAAACAAAATAAAACAAAATAGATCCATGTATTGTAGACAGCTAACATCTTTAGATACACACACACACACACACACACACACACACACACACACCACTGTGTTATATATATTACATTTACATTTCATATAGTTTGCTTTTATCTTTACAAAGGAAAGGCGATAAAGGCAACACATTTTATAAAGATATGAAAGGAGCTAATTACCTCGATTAAAATACATTCTTTTTGTTTTGTGTTCTGTATTCTGAGTCTGTGTCTCACTGGTCTATATTGCCTTGAACTTGCTGTGCGATCCCAGGCTGGCCTTGAGTGTATGAACCTCCTGCCCAAGTATCCAAGCTAAATCCCTAAATCCCTTACAAAGTTTTGATTCATAAAGAGTTGCCTCAGTGCCGAGGATACAGTTCAGAGGCATAAGTGCCTGCCCAGAAAGCATTAGGTCCTGAAGTCAATTCTCAGTAATGAAAAAAAAAAAAGAAAAGTTGCCTTTCAAAATCAGTATGTTAAATAGTTGCCTTTCAAAATCAGTATGTTAAATACAAGCAGGCCACGAACCCAGTCATGCAGGCTCTGCTGTAAACACAGACCACAGGAGATGGCTCTGGCATCACGGTACAGCCCAACACTGCAAGTGAGAAAAATGGCAGCAGCAAACCTGCCACGGGCAACACCTCCCTCTCATGAAGTGTAGTGTCTCTACTGACTTGCTGACTTTGTTTTTCATGGTGGTAGTGGGGCTTGAACCCAAGGCTCTCAATGAGCTACATCTCAAGCCTTTTCTTTACTTTGTAAAGATTTTGTTAAATCATCAAATTGCCCAGGCAGGGCTTGGACTTGTAATCCTCCTGTCTTCCAGTATCCTGGGAGGATTACAGATCCTGGGAGGATCCTCCCAGGATACTGGAATTACAGATATGGGCCACTACATTGGCCTACGAGATAATTTTTCTAACATAAATTCCTGAACTCAGCAAAGGAAATTTCGGGGGCTGGGGATTTAGCTCAGTGGCATAAGTGCCTGCCTTGCAAGCAGGTTTTGGTGCCAGGGATCAAACTCATGACCTCACGCTTGCCAGGCAGATGCTTGCCAGGCAGGCACTTAGGCCACTGAGCTAAAGCCCCAGCCATACACCAATTGATTTTAGTGTTATTTACCTAAAACAAATCTTTTTCTGAATAAGAGAGGATTTAATTTATTAGAAAACTAAACTTTTTATTAGTCTTGAGTCATAACAAATCAAACTATTCTAAAGGTACCCTAAAAAGAATTTTATTTCCTTTATTTCCTAAAATTTTTTATTCATTCATAGGATTATAAAGAAAAGGGTACTGGAAATTACGCTCAACAGGAAAGAGAAAATGCAAAAGGAAAACTCTCTCCAAGATTCATTTAAGAAAAAAACTGAATATAAGGAAATCTATGATATGTAAAATACATTATTCCTATTAAGACACTACTATCATACAAAAAGTATTTTTTGTTTGTTCGTAGAACCTTTAAGAAATTTAATCAATTTTTTCCTGACAAAGTATTCTACATAAAAAGTAACTGCAGGAGTTCACAAACCCCAAGCCCATGGAATTGCAAAGGAATAACCCTGGTACTTGTAAAAGCTCTCACTTCAAAAGATGATTTTATAAAACAACTAGGCTTGCACCGGGGATATAGCTCAGCAGCACAGCACCTGCCTGGCAAGCGCAAGGTCAAGTTCAACCCCTGGTACTAAAAAATAAAATAAATTTTTTTTTTGTCTTTTTCATTTTTATCAGTATCAGGGATTGAACTCACGACCGCCTGCTTGCAAGGCAGGTGCTTATGCCGCTGAGCTAAATCCCCAGCCCCAAAAAATATAATAAAAATTTTAAAAACCTAGACTTAATAATCTCTTTGAACTCCAAATAAATAATTCAGTCTTTTACTATAAGATCTTGAATAAAGAAGCATAACACAATACTTAGCTACCTATAAGACTAACTGTAATCCTAAAAGTTGTACATAACATGAAATAGAAGTGTTTTTTTTTTAAAAAAAATACTTTTACAGCCAGGTGCACTGGTACACATCTATAATCCGAGCATTTAGGAGGCTGAGGCAGGAGGACTGTTAGGACTTCAAGGCCAGCCTGGAGTACAAAGTAAGACCCTGTCTCAAAATAACCAACTGACCAACCAATCAACCAAACAAAAAACCCCAGAAATTAAATTATCTAAACGATTACTTTAAGTTAGGTATATCTTTTCAGTTCATCCATCAATCACACAGATATCCTAGGTAAGAAAGCAATACATTTGGGTAAAGTTAATTTTTCAAATTTTCAGAGTAAATACAGTATTTGCTTAGCAAAGAAAAAAGCCAAGAAATTTTGAATGTTGCAGTTGTAAACTATGCTACAAGTGATACTTAAAATAACCACTGTTAAAATAACTAGCATTTTTGCTTAAATATACTATCATGATAACTATCCATAAAATGAATCATTAGCTTCTCTTTTTCCTACTCAACTTGTATTATTTAAGATAATACAACTCAGACTTTCATCAACAACATGTTAAGCAGTAGGGGAATGAATCACTGTACCAGTTTAAATATTTTTATTTTAATCTTACCATGTCTCCTGGAATTATTTTCATGAGTACTGAAAATTGAAATGTGCAACAGATGCATTAAAAATTATTACCGCCAATGAAGAGATTAATAATTTTTTAATGTGGTAGTTAGGAAAAAGGAAAATGATTATCTAAAGCACATTTAGAAAGCCACATTTCTCAGCCCATTGTCTGTACACTTTTTTTGGTCCTGCAAATCAAACTCAGGACCTCGTGCTTGCCAGGCAGGCACTGTGCCACTGAGCTATATTCCTGGCCTCTTTTACTAGAAATACCTTAAATTTTGCTACTTTGGATAGTAAGTGAATTGAATCTAGTTTCATTTTGAACAGTATTTTTAAGAATGGGTCTAACGGTTTTTAGGTATGGGCCATCAAATTAAATCAAATGTAGTTTATGAAATCCATCTTAGTACAGACCAACAATTGTTTAATACGAAAGGATTCATTAACACTACCAGAATTGCTGAAGGTAGATTATGTACCCTACGTAATTACACACACTATACCAAATTGTGGCAAACTCTAAGAGTTTTTCATAGATAAAAAACTTCAAAGTGTTTTGAAGAGTTGAGAGATGTGGTCAAAGTGACAAAGCAATAAATCAAGTTTCAGTTATCCACAACAGCAGATGGAAATAATCACTTGGAATCTTGAGTATTATATTCGGTTTCTCCAGCTGAAATCTGGCTGAGTCGCTTGCTAGAGCCCCACAATTTTCGAGAAAGCTGACCTGAACGCATCTGTTTAAAGTAATCCAGAGAAATGAAAAACAGATGTTAAAGAAATAAAATAAAATCATTATATGACATTGATTTTGCAGAATAAACAGGTCTTGTTAGCAAATCATTGATGTTTTAAAGATTCTTGATTAATAATAAAAGCTTCTGATTACATGTTTTAGTTGAAATGGCTCATGCCAATTTATAAATCTAAAAATAAAATTTCCCAGTTATGTCAAAATTATCAAAATTATTTAACAAAAATATATATCACTTATTGAACAAGTCATTTGCCAAATAAGATACATAAGTTCGGACAGTTTTTTTTCTGGTACTTGGAGTTCTATTAATGTCAAACATAAAGAAGTAAAATAATGTTTTGATGAAAATAAAGTAATTTTGAATATTTTGATATAAGAATTTTAAAAATCAGTATTTAACAACAGAATGATTAAAAGTAGTTTAGAAAGCAAGAACAGTATAAATCCTTTGGTGGGAAGAATCACAGGTGGTTCATCATTAAATCTGCACTACTACCTCATCACCCTTTCCAGTAAATATCAAACATTAACTAAATGTCTTTCAAATGTGATTAATGTCTTTTAACAGTGCTTATAAATCTAAGTGGCAAAACCTCCTGCATGACTTGTAATCTCTTTCCCAAGATTTACTTCTGTTTTTGTGGTACTGAGAATTGAACCCCAGTGGCACTGAGCCCCATCCACAGCCCTTTTTTATATCCTTACATCTGAGGTAGGATTTTGCTAAGTTGTTCAAGCAGATCCTTCTGCCTCAGGCTCCCAAGTTAGTGAGATTATAGAATAGTTTGGATTCTCGGTGTGACCCATTAGGCCTGGTCCAGCGACAATTTAATGTTTCCTAGATATTCCTTGGCTACCCTGCTCAAATGGCTACTTTTCTAGGGTACATGTATCAGATAATTAAAGATAGCTTCATAAAAAGTCACCAGTGGCTCTGGATGCTTCTTTTACATTTTCATTTCCAGATATATTTTCTAAAATATTATTTTCATTAATCTATTACTACCCTATCATCTAATTTTTTTTTTTTTTGTCTTTTTCCTTTTTATCGGTACCGGGGATCGAACTCACGACTGCCTGCTTGCAAGACAGGCACTTATGCTGCTGAGCTAAATCCCCAGCCCCATATCATCTAATTTTATATAGATGAATTTCACACTGACAAAGTAATATATAGAACTGGTACACGATTTAAAATATACATTAAGATTTTTATGATTTAGATGAAAAAATAAAACTTGTTAGTTAACAGTGGCATATGTCTGTAATCCTAGCTATGTGAGAGACTAAGGCAGGGAGATCACAAGTTTGAGTCCCATCTGGGTAACTTACTGAGATTCTGTCCCCAAAATTAAAAGAAGGCCTGGAATGGTGGTGTACACCTCTACTTTGAGCACTTGGGAGGCTGAGGCAAGAGGTTTGCTGAGTTTGAGGCCTGCCTGGGATACACAGTGAGTTCAAAGTCAGCCTAAGCTACACAGTGAGAGCCTCTTTCAAACAAACAAAGAACAAAAAGGGCTGAGTGGTAGAGACTCGCTGGGTTCAATCTTGAAATACAAATTTCTTTTAAAGTACTAATCTAGTTCATATTTTACATGGTCACAGTCAAAATGAATTATATTTTGTTATGAAAGATTCTAAGTGTTCAATTTACTAAAGTAGATCCGTAATTCAGGTGATATAGGCAAAGATGTAAAACAGATTAAAAAATACTTTCACTTACAACTTATACACAATTCAGAGTAGACTACATAAATCTTATAATAATCTTATAATAAATCTTATAATAAAGGGAAATGACCTAACTTACTTGTAAATATTAAAAAACATTAATTTAGGCCTATGAAACCCAGCTGCCCTGCTCAGGTATTTTTTCTAATATATTTTTAAAATGTATTCAATAATGGTCTTTTCTATAAAAAATTTAATAAGATCAGAAACTGAAGGGGCTGGGGATTTAGCTCAGCGGCATAAGCGCCTGCCTTGCAAGCAGGCAGTCGTGAGTTCGATCCCCGGTACCGATAAAAAGGAAAAAGACAAAAAAAAAAAAAAAAAAAAATCAGAAACTAACAAACTTACCTAATGGCAGGCAATTAAAAATGCATTTGAGAAAATGACAGAAAGTAAAACACAAAAAGTAAGTCTGAGTAGAGATTTTATGCAATTCTCACATTAGCAGGAGACAGGTAGGTATGATTTTGGCAATTCATTGATCAGGAAACTTGGTGTTAAATGAGAACATGTTTAAATATTTTAAATATAATTGAAATACTGAGCTGTAAAGCTGCTGTCAATGGAGGGTTGTTACATCTGAAATTAAATGTTATAATCACTTAAGTTTAATTTTACTTTTTTAATCTTGAAAAAACAGTTCAAGAAATCCTAAAATATTTATTAAAAAGGTTCTTCTGTCTTGTCAGACTTATTAACAACCACTGTGTGTCAATACAATTTTCTCTTAAAATAATTTCATAGATGTGATATTAGATATTAGATATTACAAAAGACCACTGACTCCAAAACACTTACAATGATTAATATAACTCTATGTAAGAAATTTCTTAAAAGAACCAGTACATTACTTGGAGGTCAGCCACTTAGTTCTCGAAGACGTAAGAGCTAGATTTATTTCATCTTAATATTTGGTAACTGATAAATTATTAGTAAGTAGATTTATAATTATGGGAAATTCACTGAGAATTATGATTTTACAAATAGATGTATGATCATGTTATATATATATATATATATATATATATATATAAATTAAGCAGCTTCATTGTCTGAGTTGATAATTTTTTAATAAAGGTTTTTATATACTAAAAACCCATGTAGTGGGTCTTGAGTCTAGATCCCAAATAAAAGAATTTTGTTCATATAGAGTGGAAGACAAAAACCAAATACGTGCTTTTGACCATTAACATGAACGTCACTGTTGAACAACAGCTTTATCTTCTGTTTTCATTTATTGTCCTTTGAAAAATCAAACTTGCTTTTTAACTTGTTCATCCATAATGGCGACTTCTGAGTTAGCTGGAATAAAGGAGAAGCAAAGGAATCCCCAACAGTTCGGGAAATGAAATTCATGGCATTAGGTTTTACCTCGGCTGGCTTGCCGACACCCACTACTATCAACTTGCCGTCTTCTAACCCTACTAGAATGTGGCTGCATTCCTTAGTCACACAAATGCAGTGGATTGGCAATCGCATGTCTAATGCTGTAATGCTGACATTCAAACTAGAAGAGAAATAAAGAGGACAAAATTAGATGCATATATTCTGGAACCACAATTTTTATTCCTGAAAAATAACAATGATAATCTAGAAGTGATTCAGATAAGGCCCACATTTACAGTATTACTTAAAACACTGGATAGATCTTTAAAAATTTTTAAAAAATATTCATTTATTAATAATTCATTAAAGTAGCAATAAACCCATTAATTACAAATGAGTTTCATTAAAAAACTATATTTTCCAAAACTAAAAATATGTATTAAGAAGGTAGCACTGCAAATTAATATATTTTGCAAATTAATGTCCAGCTGGATTCATATATTTGCTTCTTATTTAAATTGGTTGCCATGTTTGTTTGTTTGTTTGTTTTTGGTTTCCATGATTTTTTACTTTTGAAGCATACAAAAATATTTGGACTCATACAAATTTTAAGAAAATGGAAGAGTATGTTAATAGCTTCCTCTGAAAACTGAAAATACATGTTCTTTTGTGATGCTTTACTCCAATTGTGGCTTCTTAGAAGGTAGTCGAACTGTCCAGCAGAAACCATGTTGATTAACATCTGTACTTTGTTACAGTAGAAACCGGTGACCTACCAGCAGTTTGAATACATCTTTTGGGTATACACATGATTTGATCTCTTGAATCCTCTGTGCCTGAGAGATCTTTTCCCTAGTCTTATATGCTTCTCTAATAATCAAATAAATTGACACAGAGCTAAATCCCTGGCAATTAAACAAAATATTAATAAAGCATTCATCAAGCTAATATGTAAATTTTACACCTGAAAATTTCCTAAGAACTTTATACTTACTCAATTTCCCAATTATTATTACAGCCCCCCATGTTAAATGTATGTGTGTTTAGAGAGGGTTTCATGATGCATCCCCAGGGAGGTCTAAAACGCTTGGACTCGAGAAATCCAACCTCCTACTTCAGCCTTCTGAGTAGCACAGACTACAGTTCTGTGCCACCTTGCCAGGCTTTAAATGCTCTATCTGATTCATCATGTATCTAAGGTAAAATTTACTGTCACTGACATAGAACTCCTCCTGGGATTAGAGGAAGATAAGAGATCAAAGAAGAAGAAAAACAAGTGGGATTCTATGTGGGTATTAATTAGACGCCTGTCTTCAGTGTCCTTCCTAAAACAGGCAGAAATAATGGTCTTGCAAAAGTTGTCATTCAGGGCTGGGGATTTAGCTCAGCGGCATAAGCGCCTGCCTTGCAAGCAGGCAGTCGTGAGTTCGATCCCCGGTACCGATAAAAATGAAAAAAGACAAAAAAACAAAAAAACAAAAAAAAGTTGTCATTCTCTGAACCTGAGATGATCAGGAGGCATTTGTACCAGTCTTGCCTTGACTGTACCTCTGAAACCTCTCACAGCACAGACAACATTCATGGCTGTCCCTGTGTCTTTGTGCTTTACTTTCCTGTCACCTCCAAAAGAAGGCCCTTCTTTTTAATCCCATTTCAATTCCTACTAATTCTTTACTAAAACTCCCGATACTCAGAACAACAGTAACTCAATGTCTTTTAAACTCCTTTTGCACATATAATTAATACCACATAATTTAACATTATGATGAAATTTTTCTAATTAGCATACAAATATTGCTATTTTCCTCACTAGTCTTAGTGCCCAGTAGGTCAGTTATTATGAGTATACATCACAGGACTGACTATATAGATGCTTTTATTAAATGCTCTTCATTTTGTCAATTAACAAGTGAGAGCTGCACAAGAATGGCAAAAAGCTCAAAAAGTGCATGCACATGTATGTACTTTTGAGATCAATACAACTGTTCTATTTGCTTTTTATTATATTCCATTTTGGTAAGTGTCTGTCCTTTAATCATCAGTGAATGAAGAAACACAAGATACACACATACACACACATGCCATTCTGGAGTAAACTATTAAGAGATTCATTGATATTTCTAATTTGAGAGCCTCCTACAGGTATCCTAAAATGAGGATTGTAAAAACAACATCAAAAATATTGTTAAGTTATAATTCAACTGTGGATTCTGTTATGGCTCATACCTAGATGTCCCTCCAAGACAGTATGGTAGATGGATAGCACAGGGAAGAAACAGTGCATGGCCTGGCACACAGGAGGCAGCAGCCCTCCTTCCTCCCCTTTACATTCCATCCAGGCTAGGTGGGGACTCTGGGAGTGAGTAGATCATGGGGAATGATACTGTATTGGTCCATTGATTGTTTTAGGGTACGTGTGAGTGATGGATTTACAGAAGAGGGAAGCTCCACCGTTGGTATGGGTGACATCAGACATCAGTCTATGATGTCCAGGCTACCAGGCTTGTAGCCTGGATGGAATGTAAAGGGGAGGAAGGAAGGCTGCTGCCTCCTGTGTGCCAGGCCATGCACTGTTTCTTCCCTGTGCTGTCCATCTGCCATACTGTCTTGCTTTGGGCCAGCTGACTATGGACGGAAACCTATAAACCACTCCTTTAACTCATGAGTGTCAGATGTTTTCTCCCAGCAACAACATAGGACAAAAAAGTGACAAAAGAAGGAAAATAGTAAAGCAGGGGATTTTGATACAGAAGTTAAACTTTTTTTTTTTTTATTGTTTTTTTCTTTTGTCTTTTTCCTTTTTATCGGTACTGGGGATCGAACTCACGACTGCCTGCTTTCAAGGCAGGCGCTTATGCCCCAGCCCCTTAAACAAACTATTTTTAAAAAAGAAAATAAATGATATTAAAATGCAATAAGATATACCTCAGATGAGAAAATAAATGATATTTTGGGGGAAGAAAAGATAGTCTGACGCATGTAAATAAAATTGCAATACTTTGTTTTTAAGAAGGGAAAGAACAAAGTATTAGCGGCACACAGAGAACAGTACTTTGTGTATTTAAGTTAATACTCCTGAAGAATATTGAATTGAGAACACATTCCTACTCAAACACCCCTCTTTTGCCTAAAGAACAGAAAATTCTACCACCAATAATACACAAGTAACATCACAAATACTTTAGTTTTTCTTATTAGAATTAAAGAAAAATATAGTTCATAAAAATTCAAACCCTAACTTGGGACAAATTTCCAAATCCATAAAATGCTCAGGTTTGGTACTATCAGAACTTTTGTCTGGTCTTCATATTTTTAAAAAATTTTAATTGTGGTAAAATACACATAATATAAAGTTTTCTACCCATTTTTAATATGTATACATATTTCATTTACTAATCCAGGAATACTTTAGCATCTTTAATTTTTTTATATGATAGAGGTATTTTTAAAAATGAAAACTCAAAGGGTTATTAAGTTTAGATTCCTGATTTCCACTCTAGGAAGTACTATAACATATTCTAAAGTGATGCTTCAATAATTTCTATTACTTACCTATGGAGATCTCTTATACATAGCAACCCTTGTAAACTGCCTGTGACGATGTGTTCTCCAATTACACACATATCTGATATTTGTTCCTTCAGAACTTGAGACTCCAGATACTTGCCATTTATTGAAAATAGATGTAATGCATTCTTATCCTGTGGAGAATTGATGAGGAAAACTTAATGATCGCAACTAGAAGCTCAGTTTTCATACTGTCAGTTATAGTTGTAACAAAATGATTTTAAAAAATGTTGGAATAAAAATAGTAATACTTAAAGGAAAAGTATACAGACAATATGACAGTAATTTCAAACTAGACTTCCAATAAATAAATGTTAAAACAAGATGTCTCATCCTTACCAGAAGGAAAAGTAAAATTTCTAGTTCTCAAAATATCCCTTGTTATTATTATTATTTTTGTGTTTTCTTTTTTGAGACAGGGTGTCACTATGCAGCTCAGGCTGGCCTTGAACTCACAGCAACCCTCCTGTCTCAGTTTCCCAAATCTTGGGATTGCAGGCGTACACAACCATGTCTGGCTCGGTCCCACATTATCAAAGCAAGAGAAAAAGATTTTTTTAATATTTAAAAAGCTTTATTGCTGAAAGTAAATAAACATACAAAATTCAGGGTGTTTTTTTTTTTTTTTTTTTTTTTTTTTGAACCAGAGGTTGAACTCACGACCTTGTGCTTGCTAAAATTCAGGTTTATTAATTTATACTTTGGCTTGTGAAAAAAGAATTTAAACTGGCTATCATTTCCATTTAAGCTTATGATGTCTCAGATAATCAGAAATTATTTTCTAATCATGTATCACACAGACTAACAGCAGTTCCTATAATAAACTATAAAATATGAGACCAAGACTGTAGTAGAAGTCTATATAATGGTAAGGAATGAATAACAGAATGATGAAAAGAAAAATAGCCTCTACAGAGGTGTCCTTATTGGGGATATAGCTCAATAGCATACGCACCTGCCTGGCAAGCGCAAGGTTCCAAGTTTGATTACAAAACAAACAAAACAAACAAAAAATCAGTGTTCTTTCTGTGCTCAAGCTGCCTGGTATGTGGGAAGGGAAAGACACACTACTGACATACTGTCCCTACTGCACAAAAGGATCAGGTACCTTGAGGGAGGTCTTTTCTTCAGTGCTCGAGTAGATGACAATGTGTCCTTCCCAAGATATGGCCAAATTGGGAATAGTCAGGAGCAAAGAACTCTCACAACGTGGTCGTAAAGTCCTCATGTACTGACCTTTCTTAATGGTATGTATAATCACGGTGCCATCCTACACACAGGAGATATTAGAAAATGAAAAAAGAAACAGGAAAAAATAACCTAAGGATAGTAACAGCAAAAAGGAAGAAAGTAAACTTGGCTGGATAAGGAAATTCAGGAAAAGAACTGCAAAAATGATTATTTCACCAAGGACACATGTAGTTCAGAAAAATTGCCAATCTTCAAATTTCAGATAATATTTTGTCATAAAATTGATCAAGTTCTAAAATAGAATCCAGTCTTTTACATTTTTCTATTAAATATTCAAGAAGTTTCTTTTACCCATTCCCCTAGAAAAACTTCTGAGATATAAAGCTTGCTACAGAACAAGTCTTCGTGAAAAGCGAGCTCTTACCCTTGATCCTGATGCTGCCATGTCGAGCTCAGTGCTGATGGCAACACTCAGTACCTCATCAGTGTGGCCATAAAGAATCTGAAAAGGTTTAGATGCTAAGCCCACAGGAACGCCTCCCTAAGATTTGAACAGAAAGGCAAAGATAAAGCATTTTCTCACTATTACAATAAAGTTTACATGCATTCAAATTTTTTAACAAGAGACTAACACTGAGAATACAGCCAATAGTTAGGCAAAAGTAGTACTCATTCCTCTCTTTCTCCTTGGATTCCTGTATGATTCTTATGCTTTTGAAGCTCAAAACACTTAATATGAATAATCTCAATACTGAATGTCTTAGATTAACTTTTCCAGGTATGTTACCTGCTCTTTTAATATGCAGTTTTATTCATCATTAACTTCAAAGAAACTTTTCATCTTGTATTTCTGAATAATTTTTTTTTTTGTCTTTTTGAGACAGGGTATCTATGCAGTTCAGGCTGGCTTTGAACTCACTTTGTAGCCCAGGCTGGTCTTGAACTCGCAACAATCCTCCTGCCTCAGCCTCCCGAGTGACTCTTTTGCTTTGTCATTTACTGTTTTAGAGGAATCTCTGTTTCAGAGATCCTATTTTCAGGATAATTTCTCTTTTTTTATACTATTATTCTTTAATTACTTTAATCTTTTTATCTTTTTTATCTGCATTTACTTTGGTATCTTAAATCTCTCTTCCACATTATTAATTTGGAAATTAATCTTTCTTGCTGTTCTGTGTTGAGTTTATTTAAATTTGTAACTAGTTCGGATTGGCTTTACTCAGTTTGATTCTTCTGTAATCTTTTTAATTTCACCTTTGAGCTTCTATTTTGTTGAAGCACTATTCTTTTTTTTTTTAAGCACTATTCTTATGTTCTAGTGATGCAATTCTATTACAAGGAATCTCTCTTCTCTTTGTTTTCTTCTAGAAGAAGATCCTTTGTGTCTTTAGTATGCTTTGTTACCTGCTATGGAATATATGAACAGTCAATGTAGCACATGTTTATTCACAATTATCCCACATGACTCTGCCTGCACATTCTGTGTATTCTATACAGCGTACATAAATTCCTCTTGGCTCTCTACTGACTGAGACACATTTGTCTTTCCCTTACAAGTGTCAGCCTGAGCGCTTAGTGCATTTTTCTAATTTATTTTTATTTATTTATTTATTTATTTTTGGTGCTGAGGATCGAACTCACTACCTCACTCTTACCAGGCAAGTGCTTGAGCCACTGAGCTAAATCCAAAACCACATTTACCCAATTTTTACACATCAGGGAATTTCTATGTTCCTATATAAAACATCATAAAAACAATAAGACCTGGGCTACTTCAGTTGAGAGTAGAGAAAAAGTTAGAGCAAATAACACATACCAATAAAATACAGTAGTAATACAATATGACTTATGTGGGTTTATTACAGGAAGTAAAGTGTTTAGGATTACAGGTATGCACCACCATAAAAAGACATTTCTTAAACCAGTATTAAGAATTTAATAAAGATGAAAATTATGTGTCTGTAATTTCTAGTAGTAGTCTCACCAAAAGAGAAAGTAGAAATATTATCATGCTATCAAAAAAGTAAAATATAATTACTATTTTCCTAAGTGAGACTAAAACACTGAGAGGTTAACAAAGACAAATTTTTTGCAAAGTAAAAGTGTGTAAGGCAAAGAATCAGAAAATAGTTGGCGATTTAGCTCAGTGGTGTAAGTCCCTGCCTCGTAAGCATGAGGTCATGAGTTTGATTCCCAGTACCAAAAGAAAATAAACCTAGAAAAAAAAAGTAGTGATCAGAACAGAAGGTGCTTACATAAAGGAACTCAAAGTAAACTTTTACTAACAGAGAAAAATTAATGATTCTTTTTAAAACATCTGAATAGTTTTCTCAAAGTGAATCTGCGCTGAACCAAGAACATTTTAATGTGTGACTACCTGTTGCATTATTTGCCATATCATACACGTAGTATCTCTGGAACCAGAAATCAAATGTATCCCACAGTAATCTGTAGCTAAGCAAGTCACAATATCTGTAAGAAAAGGGAATTAAATAACATGAAATGGCTTGGTTTTTTGGAAGAGAACTGTAAGGGAAATTTAGCTAATGTTCAACTATTACGGAATAAGTTAAGTCTCCAGGAAAAAATGTTACCATGGCATTGGAAAAGCATTGGGAAAGTGATGCTGGAAAGCAGCAGTGTGAAAATCATCTCAGAGAACGTTTTCTGAGACTCTCTTTTTTCTGAGCATTAAGCATAGCTGTAAGGGACGGGATGATTGATGAGAAATGGGAGGAAGTCAAATGGCTTGAAATAAATCTCTAGTTAATTCTGATATGCTTCTCTGGCTTGCATCCCATTCACCTTGCTTCCCATTAGGAATTATAATCCTACAACATTTGTGTCTCTAAGGAAAACAGTACATACTATTATGCTGTAATTTTACAGTATAAAAATAGTTTTCCTAAACTGTAAGCAGCCATGCTAAGTGGTAATTTAGGATACACTAGTACAGAATTATCAGCAGGCTTCATTTCTCTTCCCTAACAGATTTATCAGAAAAAAAAGTCTACCCAGTTTTTTACTATTATTTTGAAGACAGAGATTTTTTTTTTTTTACCAGTACCAGGGATCGAACTCATGATCACGTGCTTGCAAGGCAGGTGCTTATGCCATTGAGTTAAATCCCCAGCCTCTGAAGACAGAGATTCTAACACATACTAGGTTAAAATACATTCAACAATTCCATACTCTTGTGTTTCACTGTTAATACAATAGTAGGGCAATTGTTGCTTTATCTAATGATGACAAATTTTATGACTTCGTCTTAAAATTTTTATTTTTACCAACAAATTTGTATTTTTCTTTTATTAGCCAATTTTTGAAAAGATTTAGTCGAACATTTGATACACACTGTCAATGTATTTAATTTTTTTTTTTTTTTTTTTTTTTTTTTAGTCTTTTTCGTTTTTATCGGTACCAGGGATCAAACTCACGACTGCCTGCTTGCAAGGCAGGCGCTTATGCCGCTGAGCTAAATCCCCAGCCCCCAGTGTATTTAATTTTAATAGTGCTTTAGTATGCCTCCAATACATTAGGCACTCTCTCTTACAGAAAACATTCAATATTTATAATCAACTATCAAAAAGTTGACTCAGCTTAAAGGTAAATTTAAATATTCCATGTAGTATGTACTACTTTTATCATTAGAAAAAATAGAAAAAAATTGTTTTGGAAAAAAGCTAATGCTTACCCATATGTCTGATGTTGTATGAGATAACTTTTCCTTTTGTGAGTGACATCACTTGAATGCTATTATCCCAGTGTCCAGCACTGAAGAGCAACTTGGCATCATGCGATACCACAAACAGCTTAGAAGTGAGTTCCAGCCCTGGAGCAAAAGGACCATTCATACTACGCTGAGTTCTGTAAATACAATTAAATATTAGACTTCCCCTTAAAAGAACACTTAGGTAAGATCAACTATTTTTTAAACAAGTTTCTACAAAAGAAATAAAAAATAAGCACCAAAAGTTCTACTTGAAATGTCTATTAATAAATGATAAAGCTACTTTCTTAATACTTTTCATAAAACAAAATAGTCTCAAGGGTTAAGTTTAAAGAAGTTGAGATTAGTGAAGGTGTGAAACATGTTTAAATCTTGGCATTCAAAGGTAATTTAATAAAATTGGCAATTCTGCAAATGGCAGCTTTGAAATAAGTATAAAGACAAGATATGATGTTCTAGAACCAGGAAAATCAGAAATACACTAAAACCCCCAGGGGTCTCCTATACAAATAAAGTGATATACAGATAGATGCACTAATTATGATGACTCTTTTCATTCCAACCAAATGAGTTTTTTTTTTTTTTGTACTAGGGACTGAACTCACAACCATGCACCAGCCACACAGCGGATTATACCACTGACTAAATCCCTGGCCCAAGCAGATGAGTTTTATTTGCTTCTAAGTGAAATATTTGTGAGCCTAAACAATCTACATTCTGCACAAAGATACACGAGAATGTATGGAAAGCAAAGGTTAATACTGACATTTCAGACCTACAATTTTATTATTCAATATAATTTGCTAAGAATATGCTTCATACAAAAGACAACAGTGAGGTGGGCATGATTGTGCATGCCTGCCATTCCAGTACTCTGAGACAGAAGGATCTCAAGTGTGAGTTCATTTCAGGCATCTTGACAAGATACTGTCTCAAAATTTAAAAAAAAAAAGGTTGGGAATGTATCTAGTGTGAAAACCCTGGGTTCAGTCCCCAATACTGAAAACCAACCAACCAAGAAAGAAAGAAGGGACAACAGTGCTAAGTTCTATGTGGGATGAAAAACGAAAAATATATTACTAGTTGAGGGAGACAAGATACAGTGATAATAATTATATCATTTTAAAGTTTTCAAATACGTGATGTAATCTGATTCTCAACCGTGATTTAACTTGAAAAAATGCATGCAAACATTCAGCTAAGAAAAATTACATCGGTAGTTCTGGAGATGAAAACAAAATAAGGCAAATACCAAATTCTTATTATCTAAAACATATAGTATATCATGAAGTACAATAAAATTATAATTAAATCTACCATACCTAGTATCTTTTGCTTCTATAGCTGATACAGAAATTCACTTTTGTCTTTAAACCAGTATTAAATCAGGACATAAAAAGAGTGGAAGAGAAAGGAGAAGAGAAAATATGGGGCTTGAAACATTACTTTCACATGAATTAACCCAGTTATTTTTCCCAGCAATAAGGTATGCAATGCAACTGTTCTATCACATATGTTTATTTACTTACTTTGGATTTGTCACACTTTGATCCTTGATGAATGTAAAGTAATTAGAAATATTTCTGTCATAAGGCAGCCATCCATGGGTTCCAATAACATAGTTCATGCTTATTGTTACCTGATAGAAAATGTATGAGACTCAACTGAAACACTAAAGAAAGGAGCAAAATCAATGAACGTGGTTTGCATGATGTCAGCATTTATCATTTAAGGAATGCCATGGGATACTACACTTAACACATAAAACTCATCAAGTTTTAAATGAAAAGGCTCTTTATCTTACAGGAAGAAAAGTTGCCAAATACTGTACATCTTTCTTTAGTGAAATTACTTTTCTATATAATTTCTCAAGGTTTATGAGCACCTATCAGTTGGGAGTCAGAAAAAATTCAAAGTCAAGTCTCTTTTATTTCTCCAGCAGGACCTGCTGTGTTGGTCATACTGGGCTCAAGTGATCCTTTTGCCTCTCAAGTAACTGGGGCCACAGGCCCTCACCACTATGCCTGGCCTTAACCACAAATCTGGCTGTGAAAATCTGACATTTACTTAATATGCTCACTTAGAATATAAATCTGATACAGAAAATATGATGAATTATTAAGGTCTCATTGAAATAAGAGTCACAGTAAATATTTTCCTTTAAAAGTGAAAAGCTTTTTACCCATTTGATTATAAATGTAACAGGTACCAACCCCCATCCCACCCCCATTCACGTAACTCTAAAAAGTAAAAGTACTAAAATTGAAAATCACAAAAATTCCACTAATGAGAAACTATTATTTTTGTGTATTCTTCTACATTTTTCCTAAAAAAACACACATTTAGGCTATGTGCTAAGGCCCCAGATTCCTTTCTACCTTACTAGCTAGCTCTGTAACTCTGGCTAAGTTACTTCACTGAGTTTTAATTTAATATCTGTAGGAAGGAAATGATAATGGTCCCAAACTATAGGATCTCTCGGTGGATTAAATTAAAAATTCATGTAAAACACTCTCTAAAGTGCTCTAGATGGGCTGAGGATTTAGCTCAGTGACACAAATGCCTACCTGGCAAGCTCAAGGTCATGAGTTCAATCCTCAGTTACCCAACCCAAAAAATCTTTGGATGCACACCATAATAAATTCTGTATTATTTCTTATTTTACAGCTTTATAATAATTTTAATGTAGGACACTATACCCTATTTTTCTTATATAATATTTCCTGGTTATTTTTCCATATCCATCCTTCCAGATAAATTTAACATTTTTTTGTAACAGGAATTGAACTCATGACCTCATACTTGCCAGCAAACACTTGCATTGGCTGAGCTAAATCCCCAGCCCTAGGTAAACTTTAGAATTAAAGTAACTGTATAAAAACTATGAAGATAGGAAAACACACATTTTTGTACTTAATCAAATTTTATAAAACTTTCTATATTATTTCAAAAATAGCTTTTCTGGTTTTTTTGGTAGTACTGGGATATTGAGAACTGAACCCAGGGCCTTGGCACTGAGCTACCTCTCCTATCCTTTTTTTGAGACAAGGTCTCACTAAGTTGCCCACGTTGAGCTGAAATGTGATCCTCCTGCCTCCCAGAGTGCTAGGGTTACAGGGGTGTGTCTCCATGTTTAGCTAAAAAGTGTTCAGAAAATCTTATTTCCTCACTTTTTGTTGAGCTATTATAGGTACAGACATGACAGTGTGTAAAAAGACATCAATCAACTTACCAGTAACTCAGGGCTGCCTTGCGACATAAAAGAACGAGACTGGTTTTTGGGGACAATGACCTTTAACAGTGGAATACCATCACTAATTCCCTACAAAAGAAAAGAGGTTTAGTGGTTCTATTCATGTTTATTAGGTACAAATTTACCCATTACCTTCTATTACTCTTCCACCACTGAACGGAGATGTGTTCTTCGAGGAGCAGCAATCACTTAGAACAGCTAATGATTTATGATCTTTCCTTTACTCTTGCTATGATGACTTGATTTATAAAGTAGAAAATATATAGGTCATATAAGATTACATTTCTCACTGTGCATGGTAGCCTATGCCTGTAATCCCAGTACTTGGGAGGGCTGTGACAGGAGGATCTCTGCGAGTTCAAAGCCAGCCTCCCAAGTGCTGGGATTACAGGCATGCACAACTATGTTCAGCTAAGGTATATTCTGAAAACCACAATATTATCAGACAATAAGTTACCTCACAGAAAACATCTTATTACAATGTGATAGACAAAATCATATAACTTCAATCCTTGATGTGATAATTCATAAGGGATATCTAACATTTAATCGATAAATAACATGATTGGGTAGGCATCATGTACCAGGTATTGATGTAAGAACTTTATAGGAACTAAATAATGAACTAAAATTTACAACACAAGAAATTATAAAATGTTAATATTGTTCCTTGCATTGAGTTAATTAAGGGACTGACTTACATCTGAATAAGACTAAATCAGAATATGTGAAAAACACATTTATCAAGCCTTGCTTTCTCCACTTCCTCTATTTTTGCCAGCATTTCAACACCTACAAATGAAGGCTGGTCTTTTAATACATGGGTACAGAGAAACACATCTCACGGTGATGACAGGGCTACTGTAACCAATGGTCTCCCAGGATAGCTGCCGTGCCCTGCAATCGGCTCCAGACCCTGCTCCTGGGGAAAGCTACTGTGAGGCACAGCGAGTGTGGGAACAGACAACTGCACCACTGCCCCACAGATGGAATTCACCATGCATCATCACATAGAAACAATGCAAGTCTCTAGACAGATGGAAGTAACTTTACCTTCATTATAAATTAGTTTGAAAATAGCAAGAGGCAGTATGGTAACCATTGTTGATCACCTTGTATTTTGTTTTTACATTATTATGTCCATTCTTTTGATTTGACTCTGTTCTGATATGTCGCATTTGGTTTTACTCTCTTCAAAAAAAGTAACAAGAACTGTGGGAGTAATAAAACCCAAAATGTGTAACTGTCATTGTACAAAAGAAAAGAAAAGAAAGTGCTCTACAGGTTATAACTGCATATATGTTTAAGTGTATAAGACAGATAACCATATTACTGTTTTTTTGGATCATTGAACAAAACTGCACTCTCACTGTTTGAAAGTCCACTTTATAGGCTTCAATTTTGTAACTTGAACAACTATTTCTAAGATGAGAGTATGAAATCTAAAATAAATAAATAAATAAACAAACAAACAAACAAATAAATAAATAACTTAGTTTGGCATGTTCATCAGACCCGGAATCAAACAGTTTATGGCTTGCTGCACATGTAGTGAGGACTTCATTCAGCAGGCCTCAGGCTGCGCTACTTAGCCCTGCTTGTGACGCTGTGGGGCTCACGTTGGGGATTTGGATGGCACATAGTTCTGTGCCCTCAGTGACAAGGGAGGCTCACTGTGCTGGTGTGGAGTGTGCAAACAATACACTCTATAGTGAACACTGGCTTTTTCTCTAGAGTCTGGAATTTTGTCTATGCCAGGCCAAAAGGTATGTATGTGACCAGCTTCCAAAAAACCTTTTAGCACTGAGTCTCTAATGAGCTTCTCTGCCGATGAAAACATGTTTTCACATTTCATCCCAGAAGAATGAAGCATGCTTGTAAAAGGATGGGAGATAGTTCCTGGGTGCTTGTGCCTGGCTTCCTCCTGGCCTTCTCCCATGCACCTTGTACTTCTGTGAATGCCATTTTACATCTCTCCACTGTAATGATGCTTGGCCACGAGTATAAGTACATGTTGGTTCCTGTGAGTTTTTCATGAATTCTGGAAATGCTCTTGGAGACCCCCAACAGATCCTGGAAATTATTGTTTCTGAGAATTTTCCTATGTGTTTTGAGTGCTAAGCAACTGACTTAGGTACTTTTGGAAAATAATCAACATTGTAAAGTTTTTACTATTAAACACTAACTCAATACTGTTAACACAAACCTAGGAAAGCAGCATAAAATTTTGAAGTGCTCTCACAAACATGTAAACGCCTATCCACATTAGAGTATAGAGGGGCTTACTACTAACTGTTTTCATTTGAATAAAACATTATAAAGCTATACTTACTATAAATCTCCTAAAATTTTTTGCAAATTATCAAAATCCTCTCTAACATTTTCATTCTGTAGGTGATAAGAATGATTTTGTTTTATTTGTTTGTACGTTTTTTGAGATAGGGTCTTGCTATGTAGCCCAGGCTGACCTTGAACTCACAAAGATTCTCTTGCCTCTGCCTCCCGAGTGCTGGGATTACACACGTATACCATTATGCCTCACTCCAACTCTCTCAAAGACTGTGTCAGTCCATAAATTAACTTCGCTGATAAAGTGAAGGGTGGAAACTGATTTTAAGATGAAGAGACAGATTCAAAGCATCTTAGATTGTCCATCTTGAAAGATACTTTGAAGACCCTTATACATCTCCAACCCAAGATCATAATGCATCACTCCCAAGTGCCTATACTGTTTTCTCTTTGAGCATGTATTTCCTTGAACTTTGCCTAATAAATCTGCCTATGCTTCTCAAAAAAAAAAAAAAAAAAAAAAAAGAAGGTTGAATCTTAAGTGATTATATTTAGTGATGGCAAACTCACTAGAGTTTTCAAAGATACAGCCTGCTGTGGCACGCACATCATAGGTTCACCAACAGATTTATGTATGTCCCTACATGGTACCCTTGATTTTGCCTCACGCTGGCAAGCATAGAATATTCACCCTGTTCTGATCCTTTGAGAAACAGTTTGCCAACCTCTGCAGTATTGAGAGAGGCTCACTTTATGCATATCTCCACATTATTCTCACAATTTTATAACTTTTCTATCTTCTTTTTCTTTTTGTCAAAATATATTACATGTCATAGGCAAATTCATAGGTGTAAATGCATTTCTTTTTTTTTTTTTATTTAAAAGGCAAAAGAGAAAAAAACAGAACAAAGCAAAACAGTGTAAGGGTACAAGTAATACAGAACTATAAAAAGAAAAAAAAACTAAGATATCACCAATTAACAGATTATACACAGTGATTCAGGTCACAGGATCAAAGCATACAAAGTGAACATTCAAATAGTGAGACTGCAAATAGTTGTGTTCAATGATCCAATCAAAAATATTAATATGGTCATCTATTTAACACACCTAAACACACTTGCTGTTGTATCCTTTTGGGCACTTCCCCCCCCCCTCTTTATTACAACAAAATTTACACATTTTGGGTTTTATTGCTCCCATAGATCTTATTACTTTTTTTTGTAAGAGAATAAAATCAAACATGATAAAACAAAGCGGTCAGTTAAAAACCAAAGGATAGACATAGCACATGTAAAAACAGAATACAAGGTCATCAACACCGGTTACCATAATGCCTCTTGCTTCCTTAAGAAGAATTGTCCATCTCATTAGGTATTATAAAGTTGAACAAAACAGTAGAGAACAAGTCCAATAAAACCTAAACAGTAGAGAACAAGTCCAATAAAACCTAAACATTGTAAACCTTCCAGAACTTCAAAAGAGGGTAATAGTCAAACCAAAATGGGCATCAAGTGAATCTTATTGCCTTCAAAGTAGTTGCCTACACTCTGATACTTAATACTATCATACAGAGCAGAACAGAGTCTATTCAGTCAAAACAAGATAGTGGGAGTATTACAGGACTTCAAATCAAGTTAATAGGAAATCAAGAAGGTTACTATAATATATCCTGCTAGTTTTTTTTTTCCCCTTAGTTTAAAAAAGAAAAAAAATTAAATAATTTTTTAATGAATAAGGGAGAGGTTGAGATAAAAGAGGCTTAACAACATAACAATACAGGTCAAAGCATGACAGTTTCAGCAACCTAGTGCTTCACCACCAAATAACCTGACTTAATAGTAGTTACCATAGTGTCTTTTTCCTTGAAATATTTGAATATAACTTCATATGCTATAGCATCAAACATATCAAGGCAGTGTAACACCATTCAAGTGGACGAAAGCATTGTAGAGTGGTGTAAATGCATTTCATAATCACATTTTGAATTATTTAAAGTATTTCAATATGCATATTTAAACATTTGAGTTTTTAAAATTAAATATGAAAGTACTTTTTTCTGGTTTTGTTGAAGTGGTCTTGCTATGCAGCTCAGGCTGGCTTTAAACTTGCTATGTAGACTAGGTTGGCCTCAAACTGACAGTAATCTTCCTGCCTCAGCCTTCTAAATGCTGGGATGATAGACGTGCACCACCATGCCTGGCTTAAGGTACTCTTATTACAGCATTAACTACTGTTTTACTTGACTAGTCCTTTGGAAACTATCAATTAACACCTTGACTTACTGGGCTATGTTTGTTTTTCCTTTATTTTTATTGCAGTCCTAGTGATTGAACACAGGGTCACACACATGTAGACTTGCAAATAATCTACCAATGATTATATCCCCAGCACTTGGGCCACATTTTATAGATAAGCGAACATCATAATTAAGAACAATTAAAGCATCAGTTTTCTATATATTTCTATATAAAGCATCTATATTTTCTATGTATCATTTCAATGGTCACAAAAAGTATTTTAGATCAAATTATTTGTTCTTCTTTGTTAGGAAAATGTGAAGTAGAAGAAAGCAATCCAAGAGAAAGTTTTCACACTCCTACCCAGCAATCAATAAAAGCCTTTACTAAAAATGTTTTAAAAATTCAGGAACAGATTATTGTGGTGTACTACACTAATTTGGATTAAATAATATACTACTTCCCTTCCATTAAAGAAGAATATGAACTTTAAAGTGCACAGAATTCACAGAGAAAACTCTTTGCTCTTGTGCAATTGGCTATTACCTCTATAAAAAATGACTTCAGTTCAGGAAGGTGTTGAAACAGGTTTAGGGCTGAACTGTCCGCTTTGGTCTGCTTCTGCACCGCTTCCTCTGCTGTTAATCTGGGAGGGTGTGGCTCCTTGGAACAAGACAAAGAGAAGCCCCATCAGTACAGCAAAGCAGCTCTTGCTTCACGCACCTGGGTTCTAACTCGGCTCACAGCCCCCACCTCAGCTCAGCTCACATTGCTACAGTTTTCATTCTCTTCACTTCTATGAAACACAGGTGTGCAACTTGGAAGTTTTTCTGAACTGACATCTCAAGCGAATTTCTAAGTTACAGTTAATTGCCCTTTTAATATTTTCCTTGGAAAATACTTCAATATTTTATTTAGTACTCATTTCTTTCTATATTGGATTACATGTAGCTGTTCATGATCTTTCTTCCTCATTTGTGGTGTTTTTAATATTTAGAAAAGTATCTTAAACATGGTAGATGCTTAATAAATGGTGAAATTACACGCATTACTTAAAATACATAATTTGAGCCAATCTTTAGTTCTTGAAATAAGACCGAAATGTAAATACGTAAATATAAAGAAATCAGAGAGTGTTGCACACTTTTCAAATAAGTTATTATTCTTCCTTAACTTTGGCATCAGTCATATTAATAAGCAAATGTGACAAATCATCATTCCAAAGGCAAAACGCAGAACAGAATGCTATCTAAACGTAAGAATCTTTATCTATACCACAAAATGTTCGATTACAGGAAAAAGGTGTGCCAGCTTCAAGTACTTAAATATTTAGTTCTTAGTAAGTATTATTCATTTTATTTTAGTTTACTTTTAGAAGGACAGAGGATTGAACATGGCCTCACAAATGCTTGGTGAGTACTTTTTTGTGTCTGGAATGTTTAACAATTTCAGTCTATATAATTCAATTCTTAAGACCGAGTTTCAGCTTGGTAAATATCTCTTTTGGGCTGATTGGATTTTTATATATGGAAGGAGTCCTAATATAAAGATAGTTTTAATGGCACATATTACTTGGTACTCAATTTATCTTTTCTCAGAAATAATATGAAGTGACTGGTTTTCTAACTAAGTATAAATCTTTCCGTGGGGCAGGGGGCTGTAGCTCAGTGGTAGAATGCTCACTTAGTCTAAAGGAAGCCCTGTGTTCAATTCCTAGACTGGGGCGGGCGGAGGGAGCTATTTCCTTTTTTTGGGGGAGCGAGTCTTGCTATATAGTTCAGGCTGGCCTTGAACTCATTATGCAGCCCAGGCTAGGCTCAGATATGCAGCAATTCTCTTGCCTCAGCCTTCAGAGTGCTAGAGTTATAGGAGTGCACCACCATGCCCAGCTAAAGCTATTTATTTTTTAAGCAACAGTGTAATTTTTTTTCCAAATTCTGGATAGTAACTCTGAAGTAAGTCTTTAAGTCAATAAAATCCTTAAAAATAATGGTAGTATTAAACCTTAACAATTCAATTTTAGATTTAAATTGTTAATAATTCATACAATTTACCTTTAATAGTTGACATGGTGTTTGCCCAAAATTATTAATCATCCCTTCTAAGGCTTTTCGTTCCTTTTCATCTGTTAAAGCATCCAGATCTACAGCTCCTGAAACCAGAAGTAATCAACTCACTACGGAGTAAAAAACAAATCAGCAAGCCACATCACTGACTAATACATCCAGCACTGATAGGTTTATTTTTAACAAAATATTTTTCTTCAAATTATAATAACAGTATGAGGAGATAATTTTCTAAAAACCAGTAAATTATTATTAAATGTATAATAAATACCATCCATTATTTAAGTGATTAAGTTAATAGGCATTCTTTGAAAGTTTACGTTGAAAAATATAAATTATATTCATACTATACATAATTTTGTGTTTTATTCACGAGAAGATCAAACAAGGATAATACACAAAAACACTGCTTTAAGTTACAGATTAAAACAAAGTTTGGGGAAGGTGATATTCTTGCTTATTGATTATACAGTTATATTTAATATGTAGCATTGTATGACTAGTAACTGGCCAAACTGGGAAAGTCCAAGCTTCCAATACTACTTTATTAAAAAACCTATTACCCAAATGGATATAGCACAGGGACTGTGTCTTTACCACAGCCACATGGGCCCTGCTCAAATTCATGTATCATGACACTATTCACAAAGTTGAAACTATTAACTCTAATCGAGAATTAGAAGAGAGGTTGGAGATATGGCTCAGTGGCAGAGCACCTGCTTTGCATACATAAGGCCCTGGGTTCAAGCCCCAGCATCATGAGAGAAAGAAGGAAAGAAAGGCCTGGAAGGTAGGAGGAAGGAACTACTTTTCAGCTTTGTAAAGTCATCAGAAGTTTGATCCCAAGAGCCAAGTAATATCATCTCAAGAATTTGTTATTCATGATTCTACAGGACTTCTTTCAAAGTATACTAACAATTTAATAAGAATATTTAATATAGGATCTGAATAAGTAGGGAATGTGTGACAGATCAAAAACTTTTTTTTTTTAATTTAACAAATTTAATTTTTACTGTGCTGACAGGTCAAAATTTAGGTTTTCCCTTCATGCCATTATTTCAGTGTTTTAGGAAAAAGCAGAAATAATTACACAATAGATAATGCATTCGCAGCGTCAAGGAATACAATAAAGGCATTTGCATGATACATTCAATAACAACCTTTTTCCCCAAAACAATTCCACACTTAAGAAAATTTCCTTTCAAACTATGGTTACTCATAAATCATACCACATTTTATAATTTCTGGAGTTATTAACATATCTTATGATATGCTTTTGGAGACAAGTTATGGTTCTGTCAGTATGGGGCAATCAGAAATTCACAGTGGCATGGTTTACTTTTGGTACATGTGGGGAAAACTTAACAGCAAAGTAAAGATGTAATATAAAATTAACAGGTAAAATCCTGATGGTTAGAAAAACAAGGGTTTACTTAAATGACAAATATTGGCTCCAGTGAGAAAGAAAATGAGGCAACATAATGTACACAGTGTGATATGCAGTGATGTTACAAAATCAGCAGGTATCTCATCACAACATGGAAAACATAACTTCATTAAGTACAAGTTATGTGAAAAGAACACAACTTTGTCAAAAACACATGTTCCAAGCCTCCATAAATGTATATCTTAATGCCAGATATTGCATTAACTTCAGAAACATCATTTATGAAAGAGAAAATGAAGCATGTGTATCAAAATATTAAAGCAAATACAGTGTCAAAATTACAATTCACCAAAAAATACACAAGACTAATAACACTCTGAGCAGTGAATAATAGCACTGCTTGATTTTATATCATAATGCTACAGAATTAGCATTGCGTTTCTTAGAGTCTCTTCTACTTCAGAGTATCTGTTCATTACATCATGTATTATATAGTTTGTTGCCATGAATAGTTTAAAAATTCTTCCCATGTGTGAATCTCTACATGTATATCTATCTTTTTTGTATTATGGGGAAAAACAGATCAAAACAAGACCCCAAAACAAGCTCCTAGAAAAAAATGATATGAAAAAGACATATAAGTCCACAATATTAGGTGATCTACAGTAGTTACTATGCTTTCTCTTGTTATTTTTAATAGAAATGTCCACATCATCAGGCATTATTTAGTTAAGCATAGCATTACATAGCTATTTTCATAAAAATACAACTTTGAAGACATTGTAGGACTTGAAAGCAGTTAATAATCAAACTGGAATGGACATGTTTTACATCTTGTCATCTCCAGAGTAGTTGCTCTACTCTTAGACTTTTTTTTTTTTTTGTCTTTTTCATTTTTAGCAGTACCAGGGATCGAACTCACGACTGCCTGCTTGCAAGGCAGGTGCTTATGCCGCTGAGCTAAATCCCCAGCCCTCTCTACTCTTAGACTTGATACTAGCAAGCATACCAAATGTGAATAAAAATCAGTCAAAGCAAAATAGCATTCAAACAAATCAGCTTCAAATAAGACCAATCATAGTAAGACAAAGTAAATAATACAGGGTTTCAGTTTAAGTTAATAGGAAATTAAGAATAGTTACCATGTATAATTTGCTATTTTTGGGTTATCTGTCTGTGCCCTGAAATCTAATATGAGTAGACAGACCGGAACAAAATATAAACAGAGAAATAAGACTACTACAGCTTTCAAATCCGGATACACATTTAACAATGTCCTCTGCCTTCTTTTTTTAGGCAATTCCTCACCTTTCCCCTTCTCAGGATACTATTATTCACTGTTCAGAGTGATATTAGTCTAGTCTCTTATGTTCAATTTCAGCATATCTAAAGATAAAAACAGCTACTATGAAGAGAATGAGAGATATTATGGTAGTCATTATCAACTTCCCCCAAAACAGGTCTTGAAGACGAAAAAGCCTTCATCATCCTGTACTGATTTGACTAGTTCTATAATGCTCAGTATATATTCAATGCGTGTGAAGATGGGAAAAACTATTTGGAAGAAAACTAGAGACAATAAAATGGACAGTGAACATCTCCAGTGGACTTGCTTTGAAATCTGTGTGTCCTTAACTTGTTTTCTTATGGACTATTCTGTTCTGTTTTGTCATGTTTAATCTTATACTCTTTAGGATAAAAAACAAGTGTGTAGGACAGATAAGCATATTACTAAGTTTTTGTTGGATCATAGAGCTGAACTGTTCACAGTGTCATTATTTGAATGGCACTTTGTATGCTTTAATTTTGTAACTTGAACAACTATTTCTAAGATGACAATGTGTAACTTTTCAACTAGTGATTTCTTATTGTTTATTTTTATGAAATTCTGTATTATTTCTACCCTATTTTTCTGTTTTTTTTCTCTTTAAATAAAAAACATTAGAATTCACCAAAAAAATATAAAAATCAAGTATTAAAGACAAGGCATTATGTACGTAGACACTATCCATACTTGAAAGTCAAAAGCACATTTCAGTTTATCATGTTTCATTCCAAGATGCCATGTTGAAGCACAAAGACACTTTAAAAATCTAGAGAGGTACAAGTGATTAAGTGAAAACCATACATGTGTACTTGAGGAGAACTCCTCCTCAGATTTGTCGTTTCCAGAAAATTTGTGAAGAAATATTGACATTAAACTCCTGCATTTATTATTACTTCAGGTCTCCTTGTGATTTTAAAAGTAAACTTAGATCTAAACTGTCTGACCAATGATGCTTTTTCTATGTATTTAACAACAAACATGGATTTCTGTATTTCTCACATTGCAAATCCACATATGATTTCTGCCCAGTGAGCTCTTTCAGATATGTGACAATCATCATGTGTGCTGAGAGTATTCCCATAACACATAGGATTTATCTCCAGTGTGAGTTTCCTCATGTATTTCACTTTCACTCTGGCTCCTGAAAGTGTCTCCACTTGCTTACATAGCCAGTGGTTCTTCCCAGTGTGAATTCTTTCATGTGTTTTGCAACGACTGTATGTGGTAAAAGATATGCCACGTTGTTATACACATAGGGTTTCTCACCTGTATGAAGTCATTGATGTATTTTACAATATTCATGTGTCGTGAAAGCTTTCCCACATTCTTTATATACATAGGGCTAATCAACAGTGTGAATTTTTTATGTATTGGATAATGAGCATTTCTGCTGAAACCTTTCCCACATTCCTTACATATCTAAGTTTTCTGCCCAGTGTGAAGTTTTTCATGCATTATGCAAAATGTTCATGTACTCAAAACCATTCTCACAATGCTTATATATACGGGGTTTATCTTAACTGTGAACTTTCATGCTGCTTACCATGCCCATGTTGGGTAAAAGCTTTCTCGCATTGCTTACATACATAGCGTTTCTCTCCAGTATGAATTCTTTCATGTTTCTTACAATCTCCATGTCTGGTAAAAGCCTTCCCACATTGCTTACATACATATGGTCTTTCTGCAAAGTGAATTCTTTCATGTTGCTTACACTGATCACATGTGGTAAAAGCTTTCCCATATTGCTTACACACATAGGGTTTCTCTCCAGTGTGAATTCTTTCATGTTGCTTACACTGTCCAAGTTGGGTAAAAACTTTCTCACATTGCTTACAGACATAGGGCTTCTCTCCAGTGTGAATTCTTTCATGTTTCTTACAATCTCCATGTGTGGTAAAACCTTTCCCACATTGCTTACAAATATATGGTTTCTCTCCAGTGTGAATTCTTTTATGTGTCTTACACTGTCCACTTGCGGTAAAAGTTTTCCCACATTGCTTACATACATACATACATACATACGGTCTTTCTCCAGAGTGAATTCTTTCATGTGTCTTACACTGTCCATGTGTTGTAAAAGCTTTCCCACATTGCTTACATATATAGGGTCTTTCTCTAGAGTGAATTTTTTCATGTTCCTTACACTGTCCATGTGAGGTAAAAGCTTTCCCACATTGCTTACATATATAGGGTTTCTCTCCAGTGTGAATTCTTTCATGTGTCTTACACTGTCCACTTGTGGTAAAATCTTTCCCACACTGCTTACATACATATGTTTTCTCTCCAATGTGAATACTTTCATGTTGCTTACAATGTTTATGTTTGGTAAAAGCTTTCCCACACTGTTTATGTACATATAGTTTTCCTCCACTGAGATGATGTTCATGGATCTGAACACTGTGGTGTGTTTCTGTTTCTTTGACACCCTCATGAGCTTCTGGAGTACAGAGGAATACTTCTTTACACTGATTCCAAGATGTATGTCCATAGGATTTCCCTATCTTGTCATTTCTTAAGTATCTCCAGTAAATTTTGCATTCTTTTTCAACTTCCTGGTTATCCCCAAGTCCTCCTATAGCAGCCATGTTCTTAAAGGTTTCCTCCATCACATCTCTGTAGAGGTTCTTTTGGGATGGACTCAGCAAAGCCCATTCCTCACTGCTGAAGTTGACAGCCACATCCTCAAAGGTCATGGCCTCCATTCCGTGGCTAGAGGGTCTCCTAGGTTCTTTGCTAATCAGGCCACAGGACATCAAAACCACTAACTGAGACCCAAAAACTTTTTTAACACCAGTAATTGACATTCACAATTACACTTGCATATATGCACTTTACTACTACCAAAAAAAGTATCAGTTTCTTTTTTTTTTTTTTTTTTTTTTTTTGTGCTGGGGATTGAACTCACGACCTTGCATTTGCCAACCAGGCACTTAGGCCACTGAGCTAAACCCCCGGCCCAAAGTAGCAGTTTCTTAATCTTTTTAAATAGACCTATCTTGGTAGCCAGGTGTGGTGGTATATACTGGTAACTCCAGAACTCGAGAGAATGAGGCAGGAGGATCTTGCATTCAGGACAACCTGGACAACTTAGTGAGCCCACGCCTCGAAACAAAAACAGAAATAGGGATGGAGTTTATTGCAAAGACCCTGAGCTCAGTTTTCCAATAACACTTAAAAAAAGAGGTTGTTTTGTTAATGTAGTTTTCCACATATTAAATAGGCTCCAAATACCATGTGTAATCATACCCTAACCACTATTTTTAAAAAAATACAAGAGAAAAAGTTTGTAAGTTTTACCTTCATAACTACAGTAATAGAAAACATTGAGTGCCTCCACTGCAGCCGGTCCCCTCTGTTTATAGCCAAAAATCAAATCGATCCATTCATGAAGGTGAGCAGAAACATATTCAGACTCCTGGAAAGTGGTAAATTTATCAATACAAACATCTTCCAATTACAATATAAACTCAAGTTCTTTTAGAAAAGCAAATGGAACATTCCCACATAGATCTGTCCACATGTAAGTCTCTCAGAATCATTTTTTAATTTAAAATTCCACTCTTTAAAAATCAGTTTTAAGGGGCTGGGGATTTAGCTCAGCGGCATAAGCGCCTGCCTTGCAAGCAGCCAGTCTTGAGTTCGATCCCTGGTACCGATAAAAACGAAAAAGACCAAAAAAAAAAAAAAAAAAAATCAGTTTTAAGATATTTTAAACATTAGATGTCTAGAACTGTACACTAACTTCTAAGAGTTGTATGATTTTCATCATAATGTAGTGTTTTCAAAGTTTTTAAAATTTTTTAATTTTTATTAGATGTTCTTTTTCATTTTTATTGGTACCAGGGATCGAACTCACGACCACCTGCTTGCCAGGCAGGTGCTTATGCCACTGAGCTAAACCCCTAGCCCCTTATTTTTATTAGATGTTTACAGTACATAACTACATTGATTGTGGGAAGCTGATGTACATACATAATACATCTTAATTCTTTTACTTCTTTCCCCTTGAAAATCATGTTGACCATTCAGTATCCAGTATATGATTATTCACATCTGCTATAATGTAGGTTATCATGTTTATTAATTGTGATGTGTGTCCTAAGTGATACAAGTAACATAAATAATCTAGTAACAACCCAAATATCTGTAAGAATCCCTAAGACTTCTGGGATGCATCTTTGTGGTATAATTTCCATTGAAACAGCTGTGTAGGGGCCGGGGATTTAGCTCAGCGGCATAAGCACCTGCCTTGCAAGCAGGTGGTCGTGAGTTTGATCCCTGGTACTGATAAAAATGAAAAAGACACACACAAAAAAAAAAAAAAAAGAAAGAAAGAAAAGAAAAGAAAAAGAAAAAAGAAACAGCTGTGTAATACTTTGCAACTGAAGGAAAAAGGAAAAAATTAAAATTTAAAAACTGAATTTACATGGAACTGCAAAAAAGGAGAGAAAAGAAAAGAAAGCTGTAAATCACTCCCTGCTACTCATCTAGCCAGCAAAAGGTAGACAGGGTAGCAGCAGAGATCTCACAGAGCAGGCAGTGAGGGTGATGAGCTTGCTACTGGAGACAGGAGCTAAGTAGGGGGCTTATGTTTCAGTCCCTGAAAGATAGAAAGGGCACCTCTTTTTGAGACAGGGTTTCTCTACATAGTTCAGGCTGGCCTTGAACTCACTATGTAGCCTAGGCTGGGTTTGAATTTGCAGCAGTTGCCGTGCCTCAGCCTTCCCAGTGCTGGGATAATTGGCATTTGTCACCATGCTTGACTCCCAACTGGCTTCTGTTAACTGCCTACAATGACATGTGGGAGGAATAAGATAGGTAAAAAGTGAACTATTTTTTTCATTTCATGAAACACTTTCAGTACACAGTTCTTTTTAAATCATAATTTGAATATGAGAGAGCCAGGTCTTTCTGGGTTTGAAAACTATTTTTCATTCCCAGAATCTACAAGCAGAAAGGTGTTCAAAACATTAAGTGGCCTAAGATAATGATTAAATCAGAATAGCAGTTAAATATAGCCTCAGGCAAGAGCTTCAAGGTTTTATTAGAGGGACCTAAATTAGATAGAGATCAATAGGCCCTGGGGGAGTCAGTGTAGAACGTGAGAAAGCATCAGAACTGAGGCTGAGGAGATCCCTGGAAGTCCGAGGCCAGCACTTTTAGCTTCATAGTGAGTTCAAGGCCAGTCTGAACTATATAGCCAGACCCTGACTCCAAAAAACAAAAGTCAGCAGCTCTAGGCCCATCTGAAGTGGTCATTTTTCCTTAAGAGCATTTCCATTTAGCCTAGAGTTGAAAAGAAATCATTTTGTAAAGTACCATGTAATGGCTTTTTGTCAAAACAGTTAAGAAAATCATTAGGTTTTAAAAAGGAATTATACTGGTTAAAAGAAGTAAGTTAAAAGAAGTAAAAACTGTTCAAAAAAGCAGAAACACCTTTGGCTTCCTGCTTACTATGGTTAGGTAAGAAGATGACAAAGATACTGTACTCACGTAAACAAACGTGCTTTTTATGGAAAAGAATGATTCAGAGAGGGAGAGTAAAGGGCACAGCTGACAGGCATTGAGAGCTACTCTCAGAGAATAGGACTGGGCCCTGATAAAAAATTTCAGAACAAATTCCTATTGGTATTCTGAATTGCAACAGACCAGCAACTGCAAGGGCCTCCTGTTTTTCTCTCCTTTTTGAATAAAAGTTCTAGTATAGTTCTCTTGCCCTATTTGGAACCGAAAAAGTTTTATTTCAGTCTTCAGATAATAAGAGAAGGAGCCAGACTTGAGTGTTGCAGCCATATTTATACCTGATTGAGGTAGGGGGACCCTGGACTTTAAAACTCAAGCCCTAAACAATCTACTACCTGGGGCTAAATCTGATCTGCTGCTGCACCTGTAATAGAAACCAGTAGCAGAAACCAGCCACCTATTTGCTGTTTTACTACAATGTCAGAAGTGGGTAAGTGTCTCAGACCTTACTATTTACAAAGCTAAACAATGTTTATTTACTACCCGGCCCTTGACCAGAAAACTGATTAATGGGACTGGGTGATATCTGGAGAGGAAATGAGTACAGTTTTGCCTACAGGAGGAATGTAAATACCTTAGGTTCACAGGGCAGACTGTATAGTGAGTTACAGATAGCTATAAACTGTTTCTCACTTTTACCATTAAGTGGAGTTTACTTTCCCTCATTTTTTTTTTTTTTTTTTGGTGTGGGGGATCAAACTCCTGCTTGCCAGGCAGGCGCTTATACCACTGAGCTAAATCCCCAGTCTAACTTTCCCTCCTCTTGATTCTGTACTCAGTATTTAATTACAAGGTAGCAGAAGTGAAGCCATTTACAATTCAGAGCCCAGGCTGGTGTCGAACTCAAGACTACCTGCTTGCAAGGCAGGCGCTTATGCCCCTGAGCTAAACCTCCAGCCCCTGAGGCTGGTGTCAAACTCTTAGGATAAAGGGACACTTCTGCCTCAGTCTTTTAAGTAGCTGGAACTACAGGCACATGCCCCAAGTCTGGCTAAGATTCTGGAATTTTCTTCAGCTTTTGGAATATTTGTTTCAACTTGACTAGTCAAATATCTCTAATTCAAAAATCTTGAGACCATAATGCTAAGTGAAATAAACAGAAGTAGAAGGTTAAATATTATATGGTTTCTCTTACGAGAGAAACCCAAAGTATAAATAAAGACCAAAATAAAAAGACAATGGGTGACAGGAACCAGAGAGGCAGCCTTCTGGATGATGGGAACAGGATCTAAGGATGGAAGGAGAGGGAAGAGTGGGTCAGGGAGGGGAATAAGGACTAAGATGCAGCATGTACGCAAACCAGCTCCCCATGGTGAGTGCACTCATGATGTATCTCAAAGATGTACTAAGAAAATTACATTTTCTAAAAAATCTGAAATGCTGGAAAATCCAAAACCAAGTAAGTTTAAAGATGCCCAACCGTATTCTGCTATGTATTCACGGACTGTTTTATATTCTCAACTGTATCAAAGGATTCATATTCTAAATTACTATACCATAACTTTTTAAAAGCAGTGTATATAAAACATTACAAATCTAGAAAAATAATAGTTGGATACATTTTATCTCATCTTTCTGAAAATACACCTTTATCTTCGCAATTTTTTTTTTTTAAATTTTTTTTTTTGTCTTTTTCCTTTCTATCGGTACCAGAGATTGAACTCACGACTACCTGCTTACAAGGCAGGCTCTTATGCCGCTGAGCTAAACCCCCAGCCCCTATCTTCGCAATTTAAAAAGTAAAAAAATTGTTTTAAAATCTTACCAGAGCTTTCCTATGTTTGTAGATGAAATCTTCAGCTGATTTGGCCCATTTAGGAAGAACGACATCATTTACTAGTTCTTTGGAAACTTGCAGACGACCCAAGTTAAATTCTAAGACATGTAAAAGATACATGTATCTTACCATTTTAGTCTTAGATAAATGAGGTAAGACACACAAATGAGGAGGGTGCATTACTAAGTAAAGCAGATTTTTTTCTTTAATTCTCACCTGCTGGCGGATAGTCTCTACCTTAATGAAAAACATTTATAGTAGTTTCAAATTACGTTATTTCAAAGTAAATCAGAAGAAGAATTAAGTTTTTTGTTGAGGGGAGACCTAGAACTACAACTGTTACTTTAACCTGAATGAAAATGTAATGCAGTATGAGGTAGAATACTGAAAATAAGTAACAGTGCGTCTAATGGTTCATTTACAAAATAAAGCTCATTAGAGCTCTTTGTTGTAACTTACACCTTAAATTTGCTCACTGGAACAACTGTATTTGCTTTCTAGAAGAATCAGGACATGAAAGAAATAAATACACACACATACATATATAGCCCAGGCTGGCTTTCAACTTATCCTCCTGCCTCTGACTTCTGAGCACCTGGGGATTATAGGGGTACGCCACCATGCCTAGCTAAGAATAATATACACACTACTATTCTAGGTAGGTATTTTCATAATAAAGATTTGCTTATATTGTTAGAACATGCCATTTTGATAAAACTTCCCCAAACAGGAAATTTTCCTAATCATACAATATGGGAGGAAAGTGTTAACACTAAAGAATTTCAAGAAGAAATATCTTAAAATAATATCTTAAACTAGTTTTAAAACAACTGTGTGCTGCCCCAAAATACTAGTATTTAAATGTCATAGAGTATTAGGATATAAGGTCTTTGGCTTTATGTCAGGTCAATCATTGTATTGTGTATTGTCCACCTGATGGTCATCTCCCCTTTTTATTTGCTAACAGAACCTTTATTCATTTGAGTGTCTGTTTATGCCCTGTATTCCATCTCCATTCAAGATGACTGGTGTGTGACCTCGCTCTGGAGAATGGGGCGAGGTTATGAGGAAGCGTGTCTCACTTTGGAGAAAGAATATGATAAATTAACATTTTAATTTCTTTTTTTCTTCTTCTTGTGCTGGGAACTGAACTCAGTCATTGCACTTGCCAGGCAGACGCTGTGCCACTGAACTATATCCTTGGCCCAACATTTTCATTTTTAAATACTTTTGTATCTACCTATGATGCTTAAGACTGCTTTAGTCCTTTGCAACTTTGAGAGAAACGAGTTGCAGACAACACCAAAATATTCAGAATGGAAGTGAAATACAGAAAGAAGTTGTCCTTGATAAGGTTAAGCTATCTCAAACTACCATATCTCTAGAATTTTGTTATAGAAAACACCAAAATTTCCTTATTCCCCATTCTGAGTTGGTTTTACTAACATTTTTTTTAAGGCAAACTAATAGATGTATGTTTTTTCCCGCCTAGCTCTTTTCAAACAAAGATATATATATATATATATATATATATATATATATATACACATACATACATACATATATATATATAATTAGGAAGGGAGGCAATCAAGAATCCTGCCAAAGACAGCACATTACAGTGATAAGGATAGTACTGTCAAGGTAAGTACTTTCGATTCTGGATCCAAATAGAGCTTGCTCACCTCACCTATCCCAGACATTCTGGAAACAGCAGTCTGGGACTTTGGTCAGACCTGGTCAACCTGTTTACCTGATTTTCTGACCTGAAAGTCTACCTCACCGAGAATCAGATGCCCTAACTCCTATGTTCCAGAGTGTTTGATAAAAGTGACAGAAGTCCTGTGTATGCTCTTTCCAGCATGCAAAAATGATTCTTCTGGCTGGAGATGTAGCTCAAAGGCACAGGGCCTGCCTGGCAAGCGCAAGGTGTTGAGTTTGATTACTAGTACCCAAAACCAAGTCAAATCAAACAAACAAACAAAAACAATCTATGTGAGGTAAGAAAAGTTGGTAATAACTCTTTATCCTGCAGAATTACTCTAAAAAACATTAATAGCAAAAATCTTAGCAGTTACTTTATTTGTGCTTTACTACTTACCAGTCCAATAATTTAAATACTCATTGATTTTTATAAGAGAATGCAACAGGAAATATGAAAAATGACAATTTTATCCAATCTATTCAATACAAGATTTGACTGGGTGAAATGATACCTGCCAAAGCAATGCTCCAGATAGTCAGTATGTGTGATGCTTGGGATAAAGCATTAAGTGGTTAAAAATAAATGCAGAAGTCAAGCATGGTGGTGTGTGCCTACAATCCCAGCACTCAGGAGGTTTGCCATGAGTTTGAGGTCAGCGTGGGCTACCTAGTCAAGTTCAAGGCCAACCTGGACTACATAGTGACACCCTATCTCATAAAACAAGAAACAAAAAAGCAAAACCACACAGAACTACCTTATCGAAGAAATAGTTGTATATTTTTAAAAACTTCATTTAATTCTGTGCTTCTCTATTTCAGAAACATAGATATGAATCTTCAAATGTTGTAATAAATGTCATTATTCTCCACTGCATTTTCTCATAAATTGTAAATCAGGAGTCTAAAAATTGTTTTTATAATGCAGTGATGGAGACCTTTTAAGAGCTTTTGATGATACAAACCTCCCACTGTGGCACACATGCCGTGCGTAAGTTTACCACCTGTGCTACAACAGGTCAAAGAGTCAGTATTTTCAGCTTTGTAAGCAATATCGTCTCTGTTGCAACTAGTCAAGTCTGCCATTAAACTGTAAAAGCCCCCAAAATAGATGATGCATAAGTGAATTGGCAGGCTGTGTTCCAATAAAACATTATTTATACAAGTATGAGTTTTTCCATATGTTTGGTCCACAGACATGTAGTTTGTGGACCCCTGTTCTAAATCCTTACTTAATGTAACAGTATATACACATTTTTGCTTCACTAATGAAACACTGTACGTTGACCAATTCTCTTATCATGAGTTCACATCTGCGTCAGTTATCTTAGTTCGCTAAAATATTTCCCTAAAAGGTAAAACTTGTGTCCTATTACTGACTAATCCATAGAAAGAATAAACGTTAAGTGACAAGACTTTACAAAACCGTCCTGAAAGATTTTTTTTTAGATCTTTCTATTGAACTTGCTGAGCTAAATTTTTATTCTATTTCTTACGATTTTGATTTTCCAAAAACTCTGGGAAGTAGAAGAATTCAGGAATAAGTTCTTTCACATCATACGGATTATCCATGAGAGCTTGCCAGGTAGCGGGGATGGAATGGAACTGTCGATCTGCACAGTCGAATCTGCATGTGGAAATTAGAAGAAAACAGTAGATACTGAATGAGAGCAACAAGGTATGAAACAAAACTTCTCCTGCAGGCTTCCAAACGATTACAGCCACACTTTCCTTAATCTTTATCATCTTACTCAAAAAATTAAAAGCCAAATCACACTGGAAGAAAGTTTTCAATTAAATTAAATACAATCCTAAGCTTAAAAAAAAGTATAAATTTGCTGAGTAAAATTAAATAACATTTTATATTTGAAAGTCAGCATTTAAATGTAACTAAACAGTATAGTATTAATGTATTTGATAAACAGGAATGCTGCTGATCTATCCCTTGATACATGATTATCTTTTCAAATTCTTCTACTAAAAAAGGGTCAATTAGGGAAACAGTCCCATAACCAAAGCTTTTGTGTTTTACTTGCATATACTATTGGCTTAATTTTATTTAATTTTCAATTCATTAATTCCATTTACATTCCACCATAAATACTTAGAGCATATGGTAGGGGGAAGAAGCTCAAGTGGAAATGCTACCATCTTTTCTTTAATCACAAAAAGGATAAACTCCTTTTATTTCCCAGATCTGTTTAATAAGTAATGATTTTGAGTCTAACAAGGATGTGATGTTCATGATAAACTTGACTCTTTAATGCCTATTAATTTTGCTGAGGGACAGCCGACCTCAGCAGAACTCTGAATCTAATCACAGAGAGATGAGGCCATGTGTGTGGCAGTTCAGTCACGTCCAAGAAGAGGGACAGAGCTGAGACAAACTAACATACTGCGCCATTCATTCCCGCAGGTGGACAGCTGGTGGCTTTGGTATTACCCAGTTGTGCAATCATCACCATGATCAATTTTAAAATATTCTCACTGCTCCAAGAAATGCTGTATCTACTGTCCAGGTGATTTTTTTTTTTTTTTTTGTACCGATAATTGAACTGAGAACCTCATGCTTGCCAGGCATGGCCTGTGCTGCTGAGCTATACTCTCAGCCTTAGAAATGCTGCTATCTAGGGAAGGTGCTTCCCAGTCGCTTTATCCTAACTGCTGGTGACCACTAATGTGTTTTCTGTCTTCATAGTTTTATTTTGGACAGTTCACAAAAGTCACACAGTACGTGGCCTTTTGCGTCTAGCTTTATGTTGCTCAGGAAAACATTTTCAGGGCCTATCCACATTGCAGCATGTACTCTGATTTACTCAGAGCTCAACCAGAGTCCATTCCGGATATGTCTATATACCTCTATTCATGTATTGGTGTATGGACGTGTGGGTGTTTTTACTTTTGGGGTATTACAATCAATGCTGCTAGGAACACTTGTGTGCAAGCTTTGGTCACAAAGTAATTCTATGTTTAATCTTCTCAAGAACTCAGAATCTTTTCCATAAAAGTTATGCTATTTTATGTTCTCAACATGTTTCTCAACATGCTCACCAGCAATAGTTCTTACCACTTTTCTGATAATGGTCATCCTAGTGGGTTTAAAAGTGTTCACTCCCTGTCCTGTTGGGAACTGAATTTAGGGGCTTGCATATGATAGGCAAGTGCTATCCCTCAGAGCTTATTCTCCAACCCTCCTATAGTTTTTCTTTTCTTTTCTTTTGAGACAGGGTCTTGTATGTGGTTTAGGCTAACTATGTAACCCAGGCTGGTCTCAAACTCATGGAAATCCTCCTGCCTCATCCTAGAATGATAGGCATACACCACACTTCCCATGGTTTTGATTTTAATTTTCCCAATGCTAATGATGTTGAGCATCTTTTGGTGTGTTTACTGGACATTTACATATTTTCTTTACAGAAAAGTCTATCATATCCTTTGGCCATTCTTAAACTGGATATTCTGTCTATTATTTAGTTGTAAAGGTCCTATATCAGTTTTTTTTTAATAGTGCTTCTTTAAAAACGGTGCTCATTTGCTTATAGTGTCCTTTAAAGTACTGAAGTTCTATAAAATCATTTAATTATAAAATTATGAAAAGTGGAAAAGACTAACTTATACTTCTCTGCATCTTATAAGGAAAAAAGTACCTGATATTGTGATAAATGTAACATTTTAGTGATGTTTAGTGACAAGGGAGTCCCTTTTTTATTTAAAAAATAAAAAAATATTTTATTTTTTAGAGTCTTTTGAAAGCTAAGGCTTTATTTAAAACAGTGATACAGAACAGCTGTGTTGGCGCACTCCTGTAATTCCAGCACTCTGGAGGCTGAGGCAAGATGATCACTAGGAGTTCAAGGCCAGCCTAAATTACATGGTGAGATCTTGTTTCAGGGGAAAGGGGGACAAAGGGATAGAGAACACAGGCTAACTGTGTGAGACAGAAGAGATACTGGAGATAAAAGAACAAGCAATTGCTTGCATAGCTCCTGACTGGGTGGGGGAAGACAATGTGGTCATGTTTAAAAATAAGGCAAAAGAGACAAAATATGTATCAGTAGGAAGCTCCCTGAAGATTTACATAGGAACAGAAGGATTCAGAGAGAACTTAGTTTCCTCAGATTTATAAGGAAAACATGAAATGTAAGTTGTCACAGACCTGTTTAAGCACCTGCTGTAAAGAGTGCCTCATTGCTCCATCTTGATAAATATTCTTAGGAGGACCATAGAGGCATTGCTGAAATCTGACTCTCTACAGATGGCTTAGATGTAGTTCTAAAGCAGATCTATCTCTGGTAAATTCCTCAAAGCAGCAGGGATTACAATAGGAATTTCCAAAGGTACACTGGGAAACCAGTGAAAAAGGTCTCTTAAAAAGTCACTTGTTTGACTCAGTTTGAGTGATTTATTCTCAAACTAGTTTGGCTGCTTTTATCTGAATCAAAACCTAAGGGAGAAATGAAAGGAGGGAAGGAGGGAAGGAGGAGGAGAGAAACAGAGGAGGCAGGGAGAGAAGGAGGGAAGATATAGAGAGGAGGAGGAGGAAGAGGAGAAGCAAAGGGGGAGCAGAGAGGGATAGGGAAGAGGAGGAGATGACGATGATGTGATGCGGCTGTTACACAGCAGAGGATGTCAAGGCACACAATCTTCAACATTAACATACACTGGAAGAAAACAGCTTACTTCCTTCCAAACATACCTTCCACTCTGCAGCTGGATGTGAAGGGTGGTGAATGGCTCCACACGGATAAGATAGTGCATGACACCCGCAGAATTTGAATAGTGAGTACCGTAATGGAATTTATCAATTGTTCCCATTGGATCCTCAAAATTTTCATATCTAAATAAAATGAAATGAGTTTTATAACCATAATGGCAAGTTCCATAAGGTGGCTTAGGTTTGTACTGTATTGCTGGAGAAAGTTTGGCTTTTTAAAAGAAAAAGTCAGTCCTTTATATGGTTCATTATCAAAGTGTAGTCATATTATATGCCTTTTATATTTTAATTTTTTTCTTTCAGGTCGCAGAGACTGAAGCCAGGGCTTCACTGAGCTACACCCCAGCCCGTTTTTATTTTACAATAGGTCCCAATAAATTGCCTCGGCTGAGCTTAAATCCTCTTGCCTCAGCCTCCCTGAATGCTGAGATGACAGGCATGCGCCACTAGCATGTTTAGTTTCATATCATATAAATATATGGACAAAGTCTTATTCCTTAAGGATTTTTCTAAACAATCTAATATTCCCAATACTGGATTCTGAAACTTTTTTGTTTTTTTTTTGAGATAGGGCCTTGCTGTGTAGTTCAGGTTGGCCTTGAGCTGACTATGCAGCCCTGGCTGGTCTCAAATTTGTGGTGATCTTCCTGCCTGTTTCCCAATTGCTGGGATTCACAGGTGTGCTTCATCACAGCTAACATTTTTGTTTTATGGAAATAATACATGTTCACTGTGAGAAAAACTAGGAACATGATTAAAATAGACAAAATTTAGTACTATAATTCAACTTCCCACAGGTAATCGCCTGCCTATTCTATTGTGTGAATTAATATACTAGTCTTTTAAAAAAATTTTTTTTTGATGGTACTATAGATTAACCCTGGTACTCTACCATGGGCTATACCTGCAGTTCTCCAAAAAAAGGAGGAAGAAAAAAAATATGAAATTGAACCCAGGGAGTGCTGAGCTATTTCCCTAATTCTTCAAATATTTTTATTTTGAGACAAAACCTTGCTGAGTTGCCCAGGTTGGCCTCACACTTGTGATCTTCTGGCCTCAGCCTCCTATGTAACTGGGATTACAGGCATGCACCACTATGTCTAACTCATTAGTTTTATTAATATCATTGTTAAATAATAGATTAGTGTTATTAATGTTGTATCTTTCAAAATGTTCTTATAACAGATGGATATTTACACATATTTTATCAGTAGGCTATGAAGTCTAAAATACCTGGGGGAAAATTTTTCCAGAACTAGCTTTAGCATACACTTATTACAAAGTGAAAAGAAATCCTGAGAAGCATCAATTTAAGTGTGGTGAAGAATTAAGTTACTTAAAGGACAACCAATATTTTATGAAAATTTAATGATGCAATTGGCCATCTGGCTAATAAAAGTAGTTGTGCGTTTAAAAAAAACAGGTTAACATTTGGTTGGTCACAGCAGAAATCAATAGAAATTCAAGCTGACAGTGGGAATATTCAAAACAGTTAAAAAGCACTTACTTTTCTCGCATGATTTTGGCATTTTTATCATTAACTACCCCAATTGGTTTGGAGAGATCTCGAAATACAGTGGGGTTATTAAGGTCCAATTCTCCTGAGGTATAATCTTGTAAAATCCAGGGAAACTAGGAGAGCCACAGTTTACAATTTAGACATTCCTAATATTCCCATATCTAATATAAAATGTTTATATAAAGGAATATTCTTTTAAAATATTTTCCTTACTGTATACATTTTACATAAATCGTTCAAATGTTTATTCATCTTTAATTCAGTGCTGTTATTTCCTATAATTCCACTGGAATTTTTCAATGAAGGGAAATCAAAAAAGGGCATCATATATTAGGCAGGTACTCTCCCATTTAACTATACCCCAGGTCCTATACATCTTTATAAATGAAATATAAGTATCATAAATATACTTTTATATATCAAAAAAATTGTAAGGCAATTCCTCATACAGGATTTACAAAAAACTTACCACAGGATATTGTGCAAGGTCATTATAGGTTCGTCCTGCCATTGTATTCAGTTGAATGAGGTAGTCAAAATTTGATATCTCTCTGTTCACCCATTTCTAGACAGCATAAAAAAATTAAAATAGCTTTTTTCTTTATTTTGTTTCATGCATAATTGATTTTACTGTTTAGGGAAAAAAAACACCACCTCTCATTATTTATTTATTTATTTATTTGGGTACCAGGAATGGAACTCTGCATCTTGTGTGTGCTAGGCAGCCGCTTATGCCACTGAGCCATATTCCCAGCCTCTGTAACTCTCATTATTTTTTGAGACACGGACTTGTCATGCTACCCAGGCTAATCTTGAACTTGTGAGTTTAAGTGATCCTCCTACCTCCATCTTTAGTTCAATGATTAGTTTCCTATAATTCCACTGGAATATTTTTTTAGCTCACATGTATGTACCACTACATCCAGTCATGGTTTGTTTGGTTTTTCTGAGACAGGATCTTGCTATGCCATTCAGGCTGTCACTGAACTCACTGTTTAGCCCAGGCCAGCATCAAACTCATGGCAATCCGCTAGCCTTGACTTCCAGAGTGCTGGGAAAACAGACACGTGCCACCACACCTGGTTGGCTCATGCATTTGTAAGAGGAAATTAATCCCATAGACTGAGTGATATGAAAGAGAGCAAGGTACTGTGCTTATGAAGAAAATTAGATTTAAAGATAATAGATCTTTTGACTGGAAAGATAGTAGTAATAATTACAAGAAAGTAATCTAAAGATGCAGGTTTTACTTTTAAGCAGAAGTCTGAGATAAAAAATGAACACTAAAAGCCAGGCAGAGTGGCAGGAGGATTGCTGCAAGTTTAAGGCTAGCCTGACCTACACAGGAAGATCCTTCTTCTAGCTGCCCCCACCATAAGAACACCACAATAATGACTTGTCCTACCTGTGTCAATCCTGATGCCTTAAATAACTCCTGTGGTGATCTTGTCCCGTAACTATTTGGAGAATTAAGTGATGATAGTCGGCTATATACTTTGTTTCTAACCTAAAAAAATACAACATTAAAGTAAAGACAAGTTTGGATTATAGTCTCAATGACAATTTTAGTGAGATATAATTCATCTTTTAAAGTATATAATTAAGTTGTACTTCAGTATATTCAGTTATGCAACTACTCCATTCATGTTATCCCTAGTTCTGCCTCCTTTATATCTCCTAATAGTCTCTTAATTCGTTTTCTGTCTCTAGGGATTTGGCTATTCTGTTCAGGTAAGTAGTTGATTGTGGCTTTAATGACTCCACTATCCCTGGTGCTGTGGATGTTGGAAATGTAATCCCCAAATTTCTATGCTAATAGCTGGAGTTGGGGTTTTTGGAAAGTAGTCAGGATTAGATATAATCATGAGGGTGGGGATCTTGTGATGCCATTAGTGGCTTTTTAACAAAAGAAAGACAGACTCAAATTAACATTGTTTTTCTCTCTTAGCCTGAGATGCACTTCCTTAATCTATGGTACTGGTATCATGCCTGTGGACCTTCTAGCTCCAGAACCATAGGCCAAAGAAACTTCTTTTCAATTACCATGTCTCAGGTACTTTGGAATAGTAACAGAAAATGGACTAAGGCATTTGGTGAAGTCATCTATCTTTTGCAAAACTTATATAGTGTAAAGTCATTAGACGTTTAAGTTGGAAAACTTGCTTGCCTGGTTTAAATTCAGTTATGCTATTTACTAATGATCCTGACAAATAATTTGATTTGCTGCATCTCATTTGTAAACAATATAACTTCTACCCTGAAGTGTTATATTCAGAGCTATACAAATACAAAGTAATAAAATTCACCTGTGAATTTCAGTTTTCTCATCTGTACAATAACGGGATTTGCCATATTAACTACAAGGTTGTTATAAAGATTAGATATTTTATGCAAATGTGGTTTAAAAGTTAAGAAGATATACAGACGCATTTAGCAGGACAGGCTTGGTTAATTACATGACGCAGTCTTTCATCAAACTACCCTCTGTGCATTTCTATGAAGGGGATTTATTTTTAATAGCAAAAAGGTAGCCTTTCCTTAAATCAGAACAATGGTCTTTAAAACATCTGAATCGGATCATCTGTAAGTAAGCCTGAGTCCTGCAAAAGAACAGTGAATTAGTTACTTTCTGTGCTAATCTGGGTTTTCTGAGTAGTCTGAAGGCAGAATTAAACATGGAAAGATCCAGTTGGGACAGAGACTAGGAAAGTAAGGAGAGCTGTCAGAACGTGAAGCCTTTCTGACCCCCAGTGAATGAGAAGGAGAGAAGGTTCTGGGCAAGTGCTATAAGGAACAGGTCCAGGTTATACAGCTAGTGGCAGAGACGGTACTTGGATCCAGGTAATCTGGTTTCAGAGCCTGTATGCTTAACTACTTACACTAGTTAAGAACTTATTATATTCCATGAAGAAATAAAGGCCCTATTATTGTTGAATTTGAACCCAATCTAATTTAATAAATTCAGTCATAATCTTATATATTATATTATAATTGGATATTAACAAGGCATTTATTTATAGCAACATTCTATCAACTATATTTACATACACATCTATACACACATACACATACATATGAATCACAAACAACCACCTTGCCAATGGTGCGATATAATGATTAGTTCCCAAGGTATATATTTTTTCTTTAATATTTTCTCTTGACAAGAGTATACTCCAAAGTTCCATCAGAGTTTACTAGCTGGAAAGTTATTTTTAGCTAATACTTTGGAATTTCCAGAAAGGTAGCATACCTCTTTTTTGAAATTGAGAAAGTAGCTGGACTGGTCAACATGAAAAATCTCAAGGGCTGATCTCCTTAAGTTGTAACGCCGTAAGTGAATCTCTCGAATTTGGGAATGTGGCCACTTGAAATCAAAGCCCACTCCTGAAAACAGAAGAAATCCTGTGGCTTAGGTATTGCATAAAGTTACTCATGCTTTGAAGCAAATAAAATACTGTCTTGTTCCTGATAAAAATATAACTTAGGGAAAGGAATTCTACATTATAAAAACTATTTGTTATAGCCACTGGATGTTTAAATTGCTTCTTTTAAAACTATTTCAAAATTCTATGGCCATTCTGCTGTTTTGTAAGAATAGAGAATAATTGTGACCACTATCTTGGACATAGGTCTGTGTTGGCATTTTAATCAACCTTTTAATTATTCTTTCGTGGTACTGGGGAGTTAGCCTTCAGCCTTAACATGCAAGGCAAATGCTCTAACACTAAGAACAGTCCTTAAAATTGTTTTTCAGAAGTTATTTTGAAGTCAGGCATGGAAATAACTATCTGTAATCTCAGCAATCTGAGAGGCTGAAGCAAGAGGATGGCAAATTCAGTCTAGGTAACTGATTAACTTAGTGAGACAATATCTCAAAATAAGTAATTAAAAATTAATGAAGAGAGTAATTCAATGTCAAGCCACTGGTATACCACTGGTCAAGCCACTGGTAACCACTGTTCCTGGTATAACACCAGGAACAAAAACAAAAACAAGGCAGAGTGAGACAGACAGACACAGAGACAGAGACAAAATGAGAATGAATGTCTGGTTAAGTGTCTAAATTGCCCAGGGTGGACTCCCACTGGCAATCTTCCTGCCTATACCTCCCAGAGTGCTGGGATTAAGGGTAGGCATCATGACATCTAGTTTCATCAGTCTTTTATTAACACATAAGGAATTAGGAGAGACGCCTACAGGTATGTATACAAAGGTCTGATAAAATGAACACTGTCTTTTATAATTTAAAAATCATTAATAATAAATGAAAGCATTCCCTTCCAACATACTGATAAATAAATTTAACCCCAGACTGACTTCCCATTTTTCATTTTACATGATAGACTACAATTTCAATGTTCTATCTTACTGCTTTCTTCTTCTCATTTGGGATTTATTAAACTGAATACTTAATTAATACATCAAAGTTATTTTTCTAGAACTTCTCACCATCTTCTTTTTCAATGCTGCCATCATAGAAGTATATGTGTTGAGTAGTGATTTCTAATTTGCCAGGAATTACATCAATTATTGTAATAAGTTCACAATCTTCTGTCAACACCAATTTTTCTTTTTGATCCTGTTCTTCTTTCTCATTACTGTAAAAACAAACCGACAATCAAAAACTTAAGCTTAAGCTTAAACATAAACTTAAGCTTGCTTAAATAGAAAAGAGTATATTTAAATACAAATCTCATATCTAAAATTAGATATGAGATTGCCCCCCAAAAGAATATCTCAATTACCTGTAAGAAACATTCTATCAAGAAACTACTTAAATGTTATACAAATATTATCCAATGATTCAGTTTCATAAAAATGCTTTATATTTTAATTTTATACAACTGAGTCAAGCTAAATGAAGTTAAGTGAATTGGCAGAAGATAATTAAAAATGGCAGTATTTGTCATATGATTTTAGTTCCATTAGAAACATGAGTTGACCCATGTTTTGTAAACGATTATCAGTACTAATGATTATCAGGGCTAATAATTGCTTTTTTTTTTTTTTTTTTTTTGTTGTAATACCAGGGATTGAACTCAGGACCTTGCACTTGCCCAAAGGCAGGTGCTTATGCTGCTGAGCCAAATCCCCAGTCACTAATTATTACTTTTAAAGTATAAAGTAAGACTGTAAAAGTAACTGAAACAGAGGGTCACTATCACAACATCCTCCTGATGAAGGGACTGGTGCTAACCCAAGAGTTCCTCTGAGTACACACTACAGTCCTGCATCTTAGAAGAAGCATTAGCAGTTGTACTTCTCGGAGAGAGTAACCACAAAGGGGCAGTCATTAGGTGGCTCAGGTGCCTGGACCTGCCAGTTACACAAACAGGAGTGCACACCACTCAGGAAACATTACACAAGTAAATCTGTAAGCTGCTCCCCAGGACTAACCATTCTACATATGCCTACACAGTGAGACCCTGTCTCCAAAAGCAACCAAAACCAAATAAAAGGTTGTCAATAGTATTCCTTTTTATTTGCAGATACATCTTTCTTTTACTCCTCATCAGTCTGGCTAGAGGTTTATGTTTATTGCTATTTTTTTCTTAATAACCAAACTTTTTTCTTTTTCTGCTGTTTCCCTTCAGGGATTTCTGCTTTCACCTTTAATTTTGCTTTTGATTTTGTATTTCATACGGTACATTTCCTTATTTATTGATGACATTGGGGATAAAATCCAGGGCCCTGTGCAAGCTAGGCAAGGGCTGTACACAGAGTTCCACCTTCAGGCCCTGCACTGCATATTTTTATTAGCTATGGGTTGAACCTTAAATATCCCACAACTGTCCCCAGTGTGCAATATTCAGAGATGGGGCCTTCAGGAAGTGACTGAATCATGGGGGCTCTGACTTCATGGATGCATCGATCTACTTATGGATTCATAACTTAATAGGTTGGGGCAGAGTCTTTTTTATAAAATCCACTCTCTCTCCCAGTGCTGCCTGAAAGCCGTGAGGTGAGTAGCTTTACTCCACTGAATGTTCCTGGCCAGAGTGTTCTGCTTCATCACAGCCCAGAATTAACAGTCAACTGGCAACTAACTGGAACTTTGAAATTGTGAGCCAAAATAAAAATTTATTCCTTTTAGATAATTTTCTAGGTATTTTGTCACAGTGACAGAAAGATAGCATTACCTTAAACACAGCTTTAGCTGTATCTCATACACTTTATTATCTTGCTGTTATATATTTTCTAATTTCAGTGTCCAGCTCCAAGTAATCTCAGTCCTAAAATGCCTTCCTCAATAATCTCAGTGAACTCTGACAGATTTGCATTAGCATTACATGCTGGATCACAGAAGTATACAGTTAAAATTTCAAGCAAGTCTACAATTCGGCAATCCCATTTCTTATAACAAAATAACTAAAAATTCTTGCTGCAGTCATACATACGTATTTACTCTGGCTGTTATGTCCTCTTCAAAAAGTTCTAATTTATCTTCCTCCATGTCACTAACCTTCACTTGTTTTGCTACTTCTAAAAGCAATGAATCACTGGAAGGCTGTGAGTGCTGGAGACCTGTTAAAAGACAAAATATCTACTAACCATATAGTAAAAAACAAAACAAATCATAAAGAAAAAATAGTATTATAGTCCTATAATTTCCATTAACTATACAATAGTTTGTAAATTTCAAGTAAAGAAGGTATGTTAATTTAGAATAATCTATGATGCTTGATGGTGACTTTTTTTTTCCCCTAACAAGGAAGTGAAGATGGTGACTTTTTAAGCATGTGGTAAGAAATATAAATGTATTAAAATATGTGAAATATTTTTAATGATGGCATTAACTGTTTCTGAAATAGGCCAAATAGTTAGTTGAGTAGAGTGATGCATGCCTGTAATCCCAGCACTCAGGAGGTTGAGGCAGGAGGATGGCTGCAAGTTCGATGTCAGCCTAAACTACATACTGAGACCCTGTCTTGAAACAAAAAGAAATAGGTTATCTACTATAGTTTGATACAAATACAAAACTAACGTTATGTACATAAATGACACTCTTCATTATTCACACTTATAGTTAATTCTGTAGCATACCTGAAATGAACCCAAAGAATCACTCCCACTATATTAAAAAATTATTTTTATTATGCATTTGTAAAGAAATACTAAGAAAGAATATAGGAAAATTGTCTTTAATTGAAAGATAAAATACAGACCGAGAACTAATGTTTTACTTTGTGGAGTACATGGCATTTAATCAATAATTCTATTATATGTATGTACAATAAATATAACATCACAAATGAAACACTTTGTAGGAAAGTAGAGCTGTTACAATGAAAAGAACATAAGCTGTGACATAATAAACTTAGCTTCAGATTCCATTTTACCACTTATTAGCTACAAGATCTCATGATTTTATTATTTCCCTTTTTTGTGTGGCACTAGAAATTGAATCTAAGGCCTTGTTCATGCTGATAAATACTCTCCCACGGAGCTATATTCCCAGCTGCTCCCCACAGCCTTTAAAATTTTTTCTTTTGAGGGGTTGGGGATTTAGTTCAGCGGCATAAGTGCCTGCCTTGCAAGCAGGCAGTCGTGAGTTCGATCCCTGGTACCAGTAAAAACAAAAAAGACAAAAAAAAAAAAATTTTTTTTTTCTTTTGAGACAAGGTCTTCCTAAATTGTCCTAAGGTGTTCCTAAGTTCTCCTGCCACAGCCTTCTGAATAGCTCGAATTACAGGAAGGTGCTTCAGTAAATGTTATCTATGTTTTAAAGTTGAAAGAATTTATCACAGAGTAGTTATTGATATAAAAGGTAATATATGAGACATTAAATAAATCTTTCATTAATACATTCAGCTTCTCAACTATCTTAACAGGCCTGAGAACAACAGTATTACAGTATATCCCTTATAGGCAAGAATTAAAAATTCTTAAGATTTATAAATGAACATATTTCATTCATGGGAAATACTAATTCATACTAACATAAGACTGCAAATAACTATAAAAAACACTACATCAAAACATTATAAAGATTATTTATCTTTCAGCTTCTCAAATGGTATCACTGCTCAGACATAAAATGTATGAACCTATTTGGAGTTGCATTTTTCTGTGTAATCTGATTTCAACACACTTTCTTCTACCTAGTCCATAATTTTCCTATAACATGTTGGCAACTGTTCCTGCTGAACATGTTTCTTTCATAAGCTCCCAATAAAAAAACTGTTGAAACATTTAATTAAACAAAGCACATAAGAATGCAATACAAATGAAAAAGCAGGAAGTCCAGACACATCTGATATAAACAGAACTGACTTTATGTAGATGAATGACACCACTCCATTAAAGATTGGTCAGACTGGGTGGATAGAAGTCATAAAGTGCAGGGGGCCAAGTGGGAAATCTGCAAAATTGGGGAAAGACAGCCCCAAACTCAGCCATGACAACAGCAAAGGAAATAAAAATTAGGAAAAATATTCAAAAGGTATGTGAGAACTAAGATCAACATGTACCTAAAATTTAAAGCTATTGTGGTATACGGGATTAAGAGAGGTGAGAGAAGATAACAATAGTGATTTTAATTTGAACAATTAATACATGAAGACAATGAGAACTAGAATACAAGATAGAAGAGAAACAGAATCTAGGATATATGATACATAAATGGGAAAAGATAACTAATTTAGCTTCAGAAATATCAATTATATGGAGGCTGTAGAGGAGATATTTATAGGACAAAGTGTCATTACATACACAGTGGTAAAGCCTGGAATGACCAGAGGAAACAGGTAAAAGGCAAGATGATAGATGTGGATCTGGGAACACCAACACTTAAAAGATGAGAAAAAAGTTTTAGAAAAAAAAAAAAAGATGACGACAAAACTGATATGAAAGAAAGAAGTAACATACCAGAGATAACAAAGAAATACATTTATGAGGAGAATGACTACTAAATGCTTCAACAGAAGTACAAAAATCAGAAGAAAGCAAAATATTATGTAGTTAATTCAGAAATGTATATATTTCAAGGAACTGTACATGTCTTAAAATACATGAAGCTGTTGATCTTTTACTATCTCCATTTTCACAAGAAATATGTAATTTTCTTTCTTTACTATAGTTTTAATGTCACCATTATCCTTGCAGTGAATTTTTAAAATAGGTAATGAGAAAGACTGAGATGAAAAAAGGAGAAAGGATACTCATTTTCCTGGATTCAAAACACCTGAGAGATCAAGACATTATTAAAATTACACCTGTATACATATGTAGGGGGATAAAATGGGGAGAAGGAATTTCTTGGGGTACAATTTCTTGGCAAATGTCAGTAAAATGATGTGGGATTCTACTGCTTAAATCATTCAGTAGAGAAAATCATTCATTCATTAGTCTCAGGACACTAAAAGGGAAGGAAAGCTATATATAATTGGCTGCTGCTATGTAAGATACATTAAAAGTTGGTGGTTGTATTATGGACAAGGACACTAGTTTTCACTGAGGAAAACCACTTACTGTTGTTATCTGGCTTATTTTAGAATATAAGACCCTAAAGAGCAGACAACATGGCTTTGCTTATACAGTACCAACATGTTAAATTAAGCATGAAGATCTTTTAAAAGTTGGCACTTATTTCACCTATAACCTAGTCACTGAAAACAATGTGCAGAGGTAGAACTAACTACAATCTAGTATATAGATGAATGTCAACGGCTTTACAAATAATATTTTGAGTGTGACCTATCTTCAAAAAGATGACAGATAAGACAAGTGAGATGGGTAGAAATAAAGGGCTTCATTAGGAGTTGTACAATATCCTTAAAATCTGTTTTGAAATACTGCTAGAGTAACATTATATTAATTATATTATATTATATTTTATATTATATTTTACTTTATTTGTGGTTCTGGGGATATATACTAGGACCTTGAGCATGCTAGGCATGGAGCATCCATGTTAAATATTTTGAAGTATCAGTACATCAAAAACATTAAAGGTTTAGTTATTTAGAATTAGGTTTTTATTAACCGAGATAGGGTCTTGCTATATATATTGAGGCTGGCCTTGAACTCACGATGTAGCCCAGACCAGCCTCAAACTTTCAGCCATCCTCCTGCCCTCAGCCCAATGAGCTGCTGGGATTTTAGCTATGTGCTATAGTGAGCCCTTTTCAGTACTCGTCACAGTCTGGGAAATTTATATTTGTAATAAAATGGAAAAGTTACTGGAATTCTAGCAAGTTTTTAAATCTACTTTTACCACTGTCAATGCAACCCATGGCAAGAAAAAAAACACTAACATGTGTTTATAATTATGAGGAGCCAAGGAGCCCTAACTCCAGCCAAGATGAAGGTTCATCGGAACAAAGGCCCAGTTTAGATTTTATTAGTTCATGAAGGGAGTAGTTGAGGATGAGTGACTGTGAGAATGGCAGGAAACACATGAGTACTGTGAGCTGGGTTCGGTAGGAGGCCTGAAATCACCTCTGCAATATACAGAGAAGGATATACTGAGAGACCTGTCTGTATAACACAATTGAGGTAGCATTTAATGTTTGCAGGGTGGTGCTACAGCTCTGATGTGCAAACTTCTGCCCTGGAAAGTCACAGCCTCTCTTCTCAAGGCTGAACCCAGCTGACAGCCCTGACAGTTGGGGGAGCCACGGGGCAGGAAACAGACTGTCATCATCTAGCTTCGAAGATTACACATCAGCACCTCAGTCAGCCCTATTTACATTGCTGAAAGCCAATTGAGGGGAAGAGGAAATGGCTTAGCCAGCTCTGCACATATCAGTACCTGGAGACAGGGCCAGGTGTAGCCAAAGGGAAGGTAATTGCTCTTTGTTCAAGGAGAGTTCTCCAGGTGGTCCTCCATGATGTGCCACCATTTCTGGCTTAGAATTAGGTTATAAAAGAAAGGCCTAAAGCATTTCCAAGAAATTTTTTTGTGTTTTAGAAAATTTAGCTGTTTTGCCAAGGCTGATTTTGAAATTGTGATTCTTCTGCTTATAGCCTCCTAAGTAGCTGGGAATACAGATATGTACTACCATATTTGTTTTGTTGTTGCTGTTTTGAAGAATTCTATTATATGTAATATTAGTCTAAGGGAAAAGATAATATTTCACTATTAGAGACAAAATTCGTAAGAAATTGAGTATCATTTTATAATTACACACTGGGGATTTAGCTCAGTACCTGCTTGGCAAGCATGAGTTCCTGAGTTTAATTCCTGGTACACACCCACCCACCAAAAAAATTTATCATTACATTTTTTTTCAAAGTATCACCAAGGGAAGTATGAAGTCACTTTAGTCCAAATATAACAGCACTGAACACACATAAAATTTAAATACTGACTATAAAACATTGCTCTTCCTAATTTTAAAAATAATTAATGAACTGGCTATGGGGGCTCACGCCTATAATTCCAGCACTTAGAGGAAGCTAAGACAGCAAGATTGTTGAGTTTAAGACCAGGTTGGGCTACAAGTGAGCTCAACACCAATCTGAAATGCATGTTAAGACCCTGTTTCAAAAAGACAACTGAGCAACAATAAAAATAAAAACATTAATGAAACAATAATAGCCCATCAACAATCTTGTCTTTAACAGTTAATTAAGCCATCACTGCAACTCACCCAGATTATCTCTCAAGGCACTAGCTTCTTCATGAGTTTTGAAATGATAGTTCTGTACCAGTTTAAGTCTCATACGGGAATAATTTTCTACATTAGCTAGTTTCCAGTGAATTGGATTTTGTTTCCTAAAAATATAATAAACAAAATATATTAATTACAGTTACAAAGACTGGTTGGTTAAAGTAGTATAAGAAATTACACAGTATTAGCTAGGTAGGATGGCACACACCTGCAACACCAGCATTATGAGAGACTGAGGCAGGACAATAGCAATTTAAGCTCAGCTGAGGTAATTTAGCAAGATCCTATCTCAAAAGCAAGCAAGCAAGCAAGCAAACAAAACTAACAAAAGTCCTAGGCACAGTGGTGCATGCCTGTAATCCCAGCACTTGGGAGGCTGAGATGGGGGGTTAGCTGCAAATTTGGGGCCAGTCTGGGTTACATGGGGAGTTCAAGGCCCATTTAAATTACATAGAGACCCTGTCTCAAAACAACAACCAAAGATCTCCAAAAAACAAAAAAATCCCAAGTATTTTCTATTTGTTTTAAAGCATTTATATTGATTATCTCATTTGCTTTTGCTTTATTTTTTGGTTGAGTATATCACTTAATTTAAATAGTAAAGTGAATTAAAGTGAATCTGTATAGCTACATTTATATAGGAGGAACCTAGGACGGCTATTACTTGCTCTGCTATACGAGGTTTACAGGTAGCATAAGTCAGATCTGAATGGAAACTTCAAACTTATAGCCTGATTGCTTTAGTTTTTCGCTGTCAAATGGAAGTTCTTACATAACTATACTATGGGTTTATACTTCCAAATACAGTTTAAAAAATAATTTTACTAATAATAAGGACAAGTAAAAGTGGATCAAAGAAGGGGCTGGGGATTTAGCTCAGTGGCATAAGCACCTGCCTTGCAAGCAGGCAGTCATGAGTTCGATCCCTGGTACCGATAAAAACGAAAAGCACACACATAAAAAAAATGGATCAAAGATATAAGAGTTAAGATTATAAGCTTCTTAAAAGCCAGTTTTATAAATGGGCAAAGAAACTGAATGGACAATGGGAAGGAGATCAAGTGATGAAGGGAAGGAGGGAGGCAGAAGAGTAAGTAAAAAAAATTCAAGTGTGTCATGTTACATGTACCACCTCACCGTGATGAACATAATCATTATGTACTGCAAACATGGACTAGTGAAATTCTTTTTAAAAATGAAACTTCTCCAAAGATAAATGGCCAACAATCACAAGAAAAGATGTTCAGTATCATTAATTATTAGGAAAATGGAATGAAAAATCATAAGATATCATGCCCACTAGGAGAGGCCATGCAAGTTTTGAAAATGGCAAGTATTGGTTAGGAGAAACTGAAACTCTCTACCTTGCTGGAACATAAAATCATATGTTGTTATGGAAAAGAGCCTGGCACGTCCTCAGTGAATTATAGCAGGAAGCAGAAATTTTACTTGTGGATAATACCAAAAAGGATTAGAAACAGATGTTCAATCATTTTAAGACCATTGTTCATAGTAGAACTTATTACAATTTAAAAAAGTAAGAAACAACCAAATGTCCATCAGCCGATAACTGGATAAACCAAGGTGGTATATCCATGCAATGAAACATTTACTAGCCATAAAAACAAATAAAATACTGTTATATAATATGTTGGGATATAACAAAAACAAGCTAAGTAAATAGCTTAGATGAAATATCTAAAAGGAGGCCAGTAATGGACACTGCAGGTTGCCAGGGACTGGGAACAACGAGGGTAACTGTTGAGTAAACAAGGACTTTCCTTTAGGTGATGAAAATATTCTGAGGCTAGACAGAGGTGGTGATCACGCAATATTATCAATGTGCTTAATGCTGCTGAACTGTACCATTTTTTTTTTTCTGAACCAAGGGCTTTTACACTGAGCTGCATCCCCACACTGTCTTGTTTTGAGACAAGGTCTTGCTAAATTGTTCAAAGTGCCTAGGCTAAGCGTGAACTTGTGATCCTTATGTCTGTGTCTCTCAGAGTGCAGGACTATAGGAGTATGTCATCACATTCGGCTGAAATTAGACATTATGAACTACAGCAGAACTAAACTGAAGGCTGGGAATACAGCTCAGCAGCAGAGTGCTGGCCTAGCATGCTAAGACTTTGGGTTCAATCCCAGCCCCAGAAAAAATAGTATAAAATAAATAAAATGGTAAATCTGATTTATAAAAAAGAGCTATAAAACTGGTCTGATTTATCAAAATAGAAATGATACAGGAATCACTTAGTGATAAAACATTTAAACATATCATTAACCTTACTTCATTAAACTACCATTAACCCTACTTTAAAGAGGTGGATCAGAAAGATGGCAGTATACAATGTCAATGTTTACAAAGAGTCTAACGTCTGATAAACCTATGTATCATAGGGTAAAAAGAAAACACGTGCATGAAGAAAAACCCCATATGCCAAAAGTGGTGGTACATGTATGTAATCCCAGTACTCTGGGAAGTTAATGCAGGAAGTCCAACCTCAGCCTGGGCAACTTAGCTGTCTCAAAAAGTGAAAATGTGATAGGGATGCAGCTCAGTGTGAAAGCCATGATTTTAACTGCCAGATCCATGATGGGAAAAAAAAGGACAGAAAAAGACACAAAATCTCTAACCATCCCTGATCTAATCTATAGAAACACAACAAAATCAATTTGGAGTCAAAAGGGAACTGGCTCATTAGTTCCAGAGTTCTAAAGAAACAGAGTAATTAATAAATGGCATATTCCTACCTCTTGGCCCAAGGTCCCCTTTCACTTGTGAGATAGAGCCGTCCTGCCTTCCAGAGTCTCAGAGCAGCTAGTCGCTGAGTGCTCAGCTGCTTCAACATATTATTATACCTCAAGTTTTCTTGGCGTGCTTTTCGATTAAACGGTTCCACAAAAAACTCCTGAAAGGAAGTAACAGTACTCACAAAATTTTTAAACTGGACCAATAAAATCATGTAATATGAGAAAAGAAGCTTGTGATCACGTATTTTATTTTACTGCAATAACTATCTTTGATGAAGCATGATATAATTCTAGCTATAATTTATTCAGGCTATTTTAAAACTTAAAAAAAAAAACCCTAGTAATAAACTTGTAAAGAATTTAAAAAACAAAGTGCCTTAACAGAGATTCTTAAAACTCAGGGTAAGCAGCCTTCCAAAATCAGGTGAAATAAATTTTAATTGGGATTCTTTGATTTATAAGGACTCTGGAATGAGGTTCATATTTAAAGAAAGTAGGAGGAAGAGTCATCTCATTTCACATCACTACCATGGACTTAAAAGGCAACAAAAATAATAAGAAAAATTCTTGTCTTACACTGCTTCTCCCTAACAGCATTAATTGAGACAAAGCTTGAAATGTAGTTCAGGTTGGCCTTGACTCAAGGCAATTCTCCTGCCACAGTCTCCCAAGTGCTAGGATTACAAGCATGTGCTACCATGCCTGGTTTTATACTTTTCTAATAGACAGTGGTAAGACTGGCTTATCTCTCAATGATATTCACATTTCAGGAACTAAAGGACAGTATAACATTTTTCAAACAAATCAAAACTGGATCATCTTATAACAAACAGTTAAAGACATGGATCAAATATAGTAGAGTTTTACTACATTACCTTTGTGTTTGATCCATGTCTTTAACTGTTTGTTATAAGGGATGGTAGTGCACATGCCCAACTAAATGAAGTTTTTCTTGACAAGTCTATTAATGTAGTCCCCTATGCTGAATGATTTTTCAATGCTGAACCAATTTGCACTCCTAGGATAATCATCAATCAATCTACCTACCTACCTACTCACCCACCCACCTCTCTTTCTCCTATTTGGATTGGGTTTGTGCCTAGGCTCCTGAGGAGGAAGATCAGTCTATAGTTTTCTTGTACTATTTCTGTGCGATTTCAGTAGGAGTATAACACTGCCTTCATAAGATGATTTGGGAAGTGTCACTACCTATTTTCTGAAGAGGCTAAAGAACTGGTGTTGTTTCTCCATGAATTGCTTGGTGTAATTTGTGGGTAAAACTACCAGAGCCTACAGTTATCATTTAAGAAGGTTTATAACTATGAATTTAATTTCTTTATGATACAGGTTATTTAGTAGATATTATCTAGCTTATCAACTTACTTTTTAGTTTTAACTTTTCTGTCTACCCAGAAATTGACCCATTCTTGAGCTACCATATTTATTGTGTTCAGAGTCTGTGGTAGTCCCTTAATATTGCATCAAGGTCTGCAGTCAGTGGTCACATTGCCTCTTTCATTCCCAGCAGAACTAACTGTTTTAAGACGAGCCTTGCCTAGTTTGGCTGGCCTTGAACTTGTGGCAATGCTTTGTGTTTCAATCTCCCAAGTGCTGGGATTACAAGAGCATGCTGCATGCCAGGCCTACTCAGTTTTTTTCACTTCTCTACTTTTACTCCATTACCCTGCTAGAAGTTTATCGTGTTTACTGACATTTGGAAGAGTTAGTTTTGGTTTTACTAATTTTCTCTATTTTTCTGCTTTCACTGATTTCTGTTTTTATCTATTTCTTTATCTCTGTTATAAGTTTAAATTACGTGCTATTTCTAGTTTCTTGAGGTAGAAATTTAAAATTATAATATTAAGGCCTTTCTAATAAGCATAATTTTTCTTTAAGCACTGATACATAATGAGCCTTTTTACACGTGTTTACTAATGGGCTTTCAGTATAATAAACTAATTTTCATATAATCATTATACAGAGCATTTTAGTACTAATACTCAATTGTTTCTGATTAGTTGTTTGTCTTCCAATTCTGAAACAGTCTTCAGACAGATTAATTATTAACTTTGCAAATTTCAGGTTTACTAGTACTCTCATTTGAGTATTAAATGCTTGGAATCAATATGAAAATGTAGGTACTAAAACATTTGTGCTGCAAGTATAGGTCAGTGGTAAAGCACTTGCCTAGCACGCACAAGGCCCTGGGTTTGATCCCTAGCACTGCAACACAAAATAAAACAAAAGCATTTTTACCTGAAATTTGAGCTTGCTTTCCCCTCCTTCCCGGTCTCGCTTATGCATGTTCACCATTAAGGATTCATAACAATTCTTCCAATACAGGGCCATATTCTCATGCCCATCATAAAATGTATGAGTTTCATATTGCTTCATATAAGGAACAATCTTATTTAAAAAAAGAATATACAAAGTTTGGTATGCATATATCTATGAAATTGATAAAACAGTAGAACCTTGCTCAAAAAAGATAAAACTTACGTATTTTTCAATGTAAACTTGCCATTCATGTGACCTGCAATATTCCTGAAAATCTTCAAAAAATGAGGAGCTACCATTGGAAAAAGGTAAAGAAGGCAGGTGCAAGTTCATGAAGAGAAGTTCATAAATTTTGGACACCAGAGTACGGACAAGGGGAATCAGAAATGAGTAAGTTTCAGTCTGCTCTTTGATTGACTGACTGAGAACATGTTCCAGTTTCCCTAAAATGTAGCAGGCTTCCTCCTGGCTTTCAATCACTTTGGTCTGAAGAAGGGTATTCAGCCTGGCTGATGCCACTGCACAAACCTGGAAGAAAACAGAGGAGGAGGAGGAGAGTAAGACAGAACTGAGTGAAAACAGAACCTGTGCATATTAACAGTCAGGAATCAAGAATTGTTTCAGATCTTACTTTACTTTTTTTTTTTTTTGTCTTTTTGTCTTATTCATTTTTATCGGTACCAGGGATCGAACTCACAACTGCCTGCTTACAAGGCAGGGGCTTAGCTGCTGAGCTAAATCCCCAGCCCCCTTACTTTATTTCTAAGCTGACAAATTAGCCTGCTGTATTTTCAAACATACCTGCAGAGAACATGAGATTTTTGGGCCAGCAACAAAGATTTACAGCCATAATAATAATAATAATTACAGTATCAGCATTTGGACTGGCTCCCCAAACTGCAATTTTCGCAGTAAGAACAGAAGACGAATAGATGGTATCTGTCCAAGGCCCATGCCCTTGCTTAGGGAGAAACAAACACATGGAAACTGAACCTTTCATCTGGGCCAAAAGTTTGTTTGGAGGAAGTTGGGACCTCATTTCCAAAGCTCTTCACTACATAAGCAGTCTACCAAGGGCATCTGACCCTCATACATAGAAACACAAGAGACTCACGTAGGGTTTCTACCACTAATGACTGCAGGAAGAAAATCTTGTCTTATTCTGCACATGAATAAGGTAGCAAAGAGGCCCAATTACTAATGGCAGCCAGTTTGTGTCCACAAAGGAAGCCACCTTAAGACAAGAGAAGTGCTGGGAGAACAGCAATTTAGTTGAACCAGAGCCCTGACCAAATCCTGCTTTAACTCCTCTTCACTATGGGATTCTCAATTATTTGAGCCACTAAAGCTTTCTACTTTAGTCAGTTTGAACTGGTGTTGATGTTATTTGTGATAAACAATATTCTGATACACAAGGACAGGTATATACAGCAGTCTAAGTTATAATCAAAACCTAATTACCTTTAAAATTCTCACAGAAAATAGATACCAAAGCACAAGCCCACGCAAAGGAATGATCTAGAAATATTATTAAGGGTTTGCCATAAGTACCAATGTGGAAAAGTAAATTAGATCATTAAAGGTATTCAGGTTTTTTTATTTATAGAAAGAACTAAGCCTTAAAAAGCAAAACTGGCAAAATGACAATATTGTGCTCACTTGTCCCTCATTCTTTGTTCTGATTTTGGATAAAATTACTTCTCAAAGTAAAGAAAAGCAAAATAAAATCAATTACTACAACTTGACGTGACCTTAAGAAGGTATTATGGTAAAAGCTGGTCTTGGCTATGTGAACAGATTTCTACAGGCAAAGGAAACAAGAAAATCGTAACAAAGCAAATAGCACAGGAGGACATAATCTGTAATGTGGTTCAAGGTTTTAACTTCTCTAGCAGTAAGTGGGGCTTTTTAACAATCCTCATATCGCACATGCTAATATCTAGGCCTTTGTGTTATATGTTTAAAAAAAATACTGTTGACTTAAAAAGATGAAGCCTGATGCAGCAGGGCACACCTGTAAATCCCAGGAACTTGGAAGGGTAACAGCGAGTTCAAAGGAAGCTATGGCAACCTAGGGAGATGTCTCAAAATAACATTAAAAAAATATCAGGGGCTGGGGATTTAGCTCAGCAGCATAAGTAAAAAAAAAAAAAAAATTGACCATATAGTTCTTTGATTGTAATAACATGGTATTAAATAAACTGTTCATATGTTTATTTTATAAAGCTATTTTTAATAAATACACCATACTTTACTTGACCATTGCCTTATTTCTGGATATATACACATTTATTTCTTCCTGATCTTACCTCTCCTATAGAACACTGCATTAGAATCACCTGAGGAATTAAAAAACTACTGATTAGGACCTGGGGTTTAGCTCAGAGGCACAAGTGCCTGACTGGCAAGTACAAGGTCATGAGTTCGATCCTTGGTACCAAAAAACAATACCACTGCCCAACATTTCCCTACATCTGCATGAACTACGGTATAAATCAAGAATGTACCCTAAAGGTCTCACGAGCTCACAGGTGGGGCTTTTGGAGGACAGTTGACTTGCTGCTGGGAGGTGGAGGGACGCAAGTCACTGGGTGCATACACTAGAAAGGTTCATCTCCCTGCTTTGCTCCTTGCTCTCTGTTTCCTGGCTGCCTTGATACAAGCAGCCTCCCTCTGCCAGTCCATCCTACCACACACTTACTGCCTTGGAGCCAGACAACCACGGACTGAAAACGTACGCCAAAATAAACCTCTCCTCGTTTAGGTTGTGGGTCTGGTATTTTGTCCCAACGAAGAGGAAAGTGATGCCTTCCTTACTTAGGCAACTGTTTTTTTTAAGGTCCCCTAGGTGATTTCATGTGCAGCCCAGGATGAAAATCACTGGCTGGGTTGGGGATTTAGCTCAGCGGCATAAGCACCTGCCTTGCAAGCACGCGGTTGTGAGTTCAATCCCAGTGCGGTTTAAAAAAAAATAAAAAATAAAGAAAATCACTGGCTTAAGCTGAAACAACTGGGAGGAATAGGAATGTAACCCCCTGCATCTAAATCAATCAAAAGCCACATAATTCTACAGGCTAGGATTTCTTGGCTTTTTATGTGAAATCTTGTAAAATCAAAAAAACTAGCAGTTAGTACACATGGTCCGAACCAAAGCTTGAGTGGCACCTTCATGTTGCAGTCAGCTTGAGTGTAAGTCTAAAAAGAAGGATCCCTATCCTAACCTTTAATGTATAAAACCTCAGGAAAACTTGCTTTTATTTCTGAACGAATAAAATCAAACAGGCTTATAAAAAATATTTTAGATGAGCTACTCAGGAAGCTGAAGCAGGTGGGTTGTTTTATTCGAGAACAATCTGGGCAAACTGACTAACCCAGGACTAAATATAGGCAGATAAGACAGGCTAAGTCTTGTATGTAGGTGCTACACTCATTTATTTAATAGGTGTTAGTAGGGGTCCTACAATGGATAGATACTGGATATTTAATGATAAAGTATAAGGATATTGTTTTGGTAAATTTCATTAAATTTAGTATAACAATAATAACCCAAAAAAAGAATTCTACCATCTAAAATAAAATGAAGAGTTCTGCCATCTAGTAAACATACTAGTTGTAACTGCTATATATTCATTAGGCTAACATTAAAGAAAAAGCCAAAAAATAGCCTCATTCTATTTCTACGAGGAGAAAATAAAACAGATTCCCATGATGAACATCTATGTTCAAAGACTCCAGTATTTTAGATTATTATGTGAGGATATAGTTTCAGGGTGGACTTACTAGACAGAGTACAATCATGTTTTAAAGTTCTTAGTTCATGTATTATAAAACCATACTTTTCAAACTTCTACCATTCATGTATCTTAGAGTCCACTTATTTAACTAGTTTTCCTACATTTTCCAAGTTTTCTACATTGAATATTGGTTCCTTTTATGATAAAAGGGGAAAACTATTTATTAAGAAAGCAACATAGAGGAATAAGTTTTATATAGTAGGAGAAAAAAACACAAAATTACCTAAATATATGATAATTTCAACAATCTAAAAAAGATACATTCACAAAAAATAATGACAGAGAAGCAAGCACCTTCCCTCCCTGGTAAGTGGCTACAGTGTGGCGGGCTGTGGCCCTTCCAGGGGGAGAACCATCAGTGTCTTCTGAGATTCATACCATGTTGGAACTTACGAAGCTGGGAAACCAAGCAACCAGTCTGCCTCCCTGCTAAGCAATAGTGAACCTACTGGTACACGGCCTAGAGTCAAACATCCCACTTCCCCTACCCCCCTTCTGTTGTCCCCCGCCCCCCCCCCGTCCCGTTAGCAAATGGGAACCAGAAATCTGAGCATCTCCTAGGAGGCTGACTATAGCAAATAAGGGAGATTTCCTTCTACCACCTCTTTGAAGGCAAATGTTTTTATTACTGTTTTGCTCTATTCTGATTAACGGTACTGCCCTATTCAATGTTCTGTTTTGATAAGTTCTATAATGTTCTGTATTTCATTTTATTTTGATATATGTGATTGAAAGAACAACTATTGTAAAGATAACGAAATATACTGTGATACCTATTACTGTTATCCCGGTAACCTGCTGTGAAGTTCTGTACCAATTTCACTGTATGATCTTAGTTGGCTTTATTCTGTCTTGTTCTGTTGTATTTTACTACTTTCAAAATAAAATTTAAAAAAATAATGACAGAAAGAAAGCAATATATTAAAATACTAGTAGTTTTCTCTCAGGCTATAGGATGATGAATAATTTTGATTTTTCTTCTTTTTTTTGCTTCTGGGGATCAAACTCATGACCTCACACTTGTCAGACAAGGTGCTTGTGTCCTTGAGCTAAACCCCCAGCCCATTTTTTTATTCTTCATGCTTAACCTTAGTTACTTTTCTTTTGTTGCTAAGACAAAATACTTGATGCCCAAAATTTAGAAAGAAAGGTTTTACTTAGCTCACAGTTTGTGGAAGCTTCAGTTCATACTCAGCTGGCTCCAAAGCAGAGTGGCACAGCTGAGAGGCAGCCGTTCATGGTGGTGGAAGACAGCCAAAGCAACAAGAGCAAAAGGGGAAAAACACGCCACTTGCCCTACCTTTTACTGTATGTATCCACCCTAGGATGAGTGTAGCACTCCTAGCCTTAGTCCACACACTAGAAAATGGACCAACCCCAAACTCTAGATTCAGCCACCTCCAAACAGCCCAATCCCAATGACCACATGAGACTTTAGGGAACATCCAGACACAGACCATGTTATGTTTGCATATTTTCCCCAATAAACATGTATTGTTATGATCAGAAAGAAGTATCTACTGAAAATCAGAACCATCAGATTATGGTCTTTTTAAAATAAAACAATCTTGACATCAGTATTTTAACTTCTACATATTCCTAGCAACACTATATTTTGCTTAGAAACCCATCGTAACCCTCCCACATCAAGTACTAAAACTGTAACATTAAAACTGCAAGTACTGGGGCTGGGGATTTAGCTCAGTGGCATAAGTGCCTGCCTTGCAAGCAGGCAGTCGTGTGTTCAATCCCCGGTACCGATAAAAAGGAAAAAAACCAAAAAAAAAAAAAAAAAAAAAAAAAAAGAGCCAGACAAATACCAAATAACTGTGGGATATTTATGATTAATTGAAGTTGAGAAGGTTAAAGAAGTAAGCCTTACCTCTTAGTATGTCTAATCCAATCCAGGTATCACAATACCAAATATAAAACAAAAATGGTAAGACAAAAATCCACATGAAACCTTTCTAACCTTTTAAATACAAGGAAGAAGTAAGTAATTAGTTGTGATGTCACAAAATTAAAATTTGAAGTGAAAACATATATATTACTGGAACACATAAATCAAAGTACTGGAAAGCATTATCATTTAGTTGTCCCTAAATAACACTAGTGCATACAAGTACAGAAAATAAAAAGAATTGACAAACCTGCAAATTGCCGCTTTCAATGAATCCTAGGAGCAACTGGATCTGAATTTGAGAAAGTTTTACCCACACTGAACTTTCACAATAGCAGACTGATAGACATTCGAAGAGTAGCATGATATCCTCTAAAAGCTAATACAGAAGAAAAATTCAGAAATAAAAATGATTTTTCAATGTACTGATCATGAGTTTCCCCAACATTAATAAAAATAACAATTATATCAAAACCAGTCCTATATTCAGTTTGTGAAAGCCAAAGGAATCACTGGTAACCTGGAGTACACCTGTGGTACCAGCTATTCAATAGGCTGAAACAGAACTATTCTGTTTGAGACCAGCCTAAACAAATGGGAAGACTTGTCCCAAAAGCGACACAAAAACCAAAAATGACAGTAACATCCTAGTAACAACTAACAAAACCTGTGGTTATGCACTACATTTTACCCAAGCTCCTTGTATCTACATAGTGAGGTGTTAATGTTCTACAAAGCAGTGTGCCACTTGGGAGTGAAGTTCACTGATACGGCCCCCACCCAGCGTCAACATGGCTCTGAGTCTGCTCCCAGTGCTGGGGAAAAAGGGTGCAAAAACTGTTTTCTCTGGAGAGTCTTTAACCTAAAGGTAACTCTAAAGATAATACTAACCTTCTCAGTCCACATGTTTGAATTAACTAATCCCTCTGAGTGCAGGAAGTCCTGTATGATGAGTATGAGTCGGAAGGCATTTTCAGCAGAAACGGGATTCGGTTTTGCCTCTCTGTTTTCTGTGAGTGCCCATTCTAACATCTTCTGTAGCAAACTACAGAAGTAAAACATAGTCCTCTTAAACCATTATGAATTAGAAAGAGAACATGAAATGATAGAGATTTATTAGGAGTATTGATAGTATTTATTAGGAGTATAGAATGATAGTGGTTTATTAGGAGTATTGCAGCTCTAAAGATACACTATCACTAGCATGTATTGCGCTAAGACACTGTGGACTGAATTCCATACAGTACTAGTGCAGCAATTTTTCAATGTTCTAAGTATCTTTAATTGACTTATCAAAAGAGAAAATCACTTGTTTCATTTGATTTTTTTTTTTTTTTTTGGTACTGGGGATCAAACTCACAATCTCGAGCTTTTAGGCCACTGAACTAAATCCCTGGCCCTGTTTTATTTGATCATAAAAAGATTATGACAATAATTCACATTACATTTTCCATGAGATATTTAAAATGATTTCTTTCAACTTTTAAATTGGGAAAACTTAGAGAAAAAGACTTATTACACGTTAGAGAACATCTAAGAAGAAGTAAAGAGGTAACTCTTCCCCAGGGTACTGCTGTTACACTACAATCTACTATCTCCAGGGAACTTTAAATGATTTGGAGAAATTTTCCTAAAAACATTATTTGCTTCCTTTAGCATGAAAACATTGAGATTTGGACAAAATTGTAGCACCAAATGCATTAGTCCCCAGATATGCAAAAAAGAATTTAAATAAGAAATTGAAATCATGAAGGCCCGAAGTTATTTAAGATTTAAATCTCTTCACATGGGAGTTAGTCTGCTCTTCTCTTAAGATTCTGCTAGGATGACAAAACACAGGAAAAGTAATTGAGCACAGTTGCTCCTTTTCTCTCTCTGCTTCCACTGAATACTCAAGAAATGTTCAAGGATTATTATTATTGTACATTCTTGCCTACTTCAAAAAAAGGGTAGAAAAAAGTCATGAACTAAATGCTCACTTACGTTAGTTTTATTTCATCTGATGGTCTAAGTAGCTCACTGGATATTCCTGGTTTCGTTAGTGCTGAAAACACTTGTCCCCGTTCAATCCAAGACTCATCATCAGACTTTTCTAGTCCCTTGTACATTACATAATTCAAAATATCTGTCAGCAACTGAAGAAGCTCCTCCTCAGATCTCTAGGAAAAAGACACAGTAATACTAAATTACCTGAGGAAGGAAGTGTTAAAAGCACACCAAAGGAATTCTCCCACACTAATTATCCATGTAACTTTATTTATTTATTTAATGATATCAAAGTTTTATTAAACGTAGGAAAGAAACTGATTCTGCAGAGTGAATGTAGGCAAAGTGAAAGTAGGAAAAGATATACTACAGCTTAAAGGCAGCCACCATGTAAGAGTGAACACAGTGGCGGTAACGATTTTTAAATGTCTTGAGAAACCCAAACCTTTAGTAGGGCCTGGATATACCTGATACATGAAACACTGGCTTTGGTCTCAAGACACAACCTAGTGAATGAGGCTCATTTCATGAGACTTAGAACATGAATATGATATGAAACTCTTAGTAACTGCTCAGATATTGATAGAAGATCAAAACATGTAACAGACATATGAAAACAAAAACACCATTTGGAAACATAAGGAATTTTACCTCTTGGCTTTCAAGCAAAGAGAAGTCATCACTAAAGCCCATATCACTGATGCTGCCTTCTTTGTCAGATGGAGCAGAAAAAGACTTGGTCTCCACTGGGGACGGTGTGCTAGGTAGGCTGTCTGGCATGTGGCTGCCACTGTCACTCAGTTCACAAGTGTCCACTCCACTGAGATCCAAAGTCAAACGTGACAGGTTACTCTCCAAGAGTTCTTGATTCTCAGAGTGGAAAGTCAACTCTCCCACAGAGCTATCTTCTTGAATTAAGATCATGTTTGAGTCCAGAGATTGTCTATCTTCCCAACTCCACTGATCGGAAGAGACATTAGTTGATAAGAACAAGTCATTTTTTCCCTCTTCTGTCTTTTCATCGAAGTTCCTCTTAGTATCTTCAATTGATGTATTCTTATTGATTTCTTTCATTAAAGCAGCTCTACTATGCTTATGAAGAGAATTTCCATTTTCAAAACCTGCTTTTAAAAAAAGTCTAACCAATGTGTCTTGCCAACCCACTTGTTGTGATATCTGATATGCTGCATCTGGTTGGGACTGTACAATGTGTAAAATCTGCAAAGAGTAGAATAGTAGAAGTCTTCAAAAAGTGTAATTATTTCACACCCAAATTTCTCTTTGTAGTTACTTTAATAATAAGGTAATTTACTGAGATGTGGGAGTACATACTTTCAAGTGATTATAATCTTAAATTATAGTAGATTTCTGACTTTGGAAAAGGTATATTTCTACAAAACCATGTAAAAACTGCTACAATGATTTCTTTACATCAAGTAAATTTACTTTTTGTCTTGTTTTTTCATTATGTAGTTCAGATTGATCTTGAACTCACTTTGTAGCCCAGGCTGGCCTCAAACTCAACTATTCTCAGCCTCCCGAGTGCTGTGATTAGATACAACACCATGCCCGCCATAAATTTACTTTTAAGTGGAAACATTTTTATAAAACAATTTTATTTGTAAGTCAAATTAAAACTTTTATCTCTAAAAAATAGTCAATGAAAGTTATTAATATGATGGTGATATTGTTAAAATATATTTTAAAGTTTACTAACCTTTCTGCAGAGGGCCACTTTGACATTTATGTGTGTTCTGTAAGATATATATATCACAGATAACAGATCTTTGAAACTAATAACAGGGTCTATGATGGGAAAAAAAAACAAAAGACTAAAATTCAGATTCATAAATAGCTAAAGAAAGAACCATGGGTATTAACAAATGCTGAAATGGTGTTTCATTTTCATATAAGAATTACAGTCATGCCAAATTTTATCAGAAAGAATAAAGAAAGATTTATAATGATTGATTCCCCTCAGTCAGCACTAAATAACTGTTATTTTCTTTTGACTGCTTGAATAAAATGTCCATTCTACATGTCTCTAATACTACTACCATATCTGTTTTGTCTTTGAGACTGTAAATCATTGAAGATTAAAAAACAAACAAACAAACAACAAAGACTGTACCCAAAAAACCCAAGATCTGGCATAAACTCTAGTTTGTAGTAAGTACTGAAAAAGTTTTATTAAAAATGTAAAGCTTTGAAGAAGAAAATATATATCTGAGATTAATTTTAATGTTTTTTGGGCTAAGGGGGTGAAAAGGGAATGAACCTGTGCCATCTACTTGCACCAACTACCCAGGAAGAATGTCAGACATTTTGCATTGCAAATATGGACTAATAAAAAAATAAAGTCAAAGTTAAGGGGAAAATGGAAGGAAATGTTTAACAAAAGTTTAAAGAATATGTTTTTTTTTTTTTTTTGTACTGGGGTGTTGAACTCATGACCTCATGCTTGCCAGGCAGGTATTTTAGAGAATATTTTACTCATATTATCAACAGTATTCTTTTGTTTGTGTACTCAATTGCTGATTGAGTAAACACTTACCTAATAAGAAAAAAACCGAGCTATTCCCAGGAGACACAAAAGTAAGAAAGGACAAACACAGTATCTAAGAAAGACCTACCTGAATCAAATAACAGCTAAGTTCAAAAGCAATCTGAGAATCTGGGATTAAAAAAAAAAAATTCTAGCCAGGAAAAAACTATTTAATAGCATTATCAGCTTTAGTCATACCTGTATTTATGATCTGATTGGTAAGGTTTTTAATGAGAGAAGTGTTAATGGATGCTTCATTAAGGAGGAGTCCCAATCCTGAGTAGCCAACTTCTCTGAGTCGAATTCGCTGTTTACTACGTTCATAAACATTTGTGCATTTCAACATCTGTTCCATAACCTGATCACAACAAGTAATATATCCTTCTCAACATAAAGCACTAAGAACAGTTTTTCATTTAGACTAATGTTGAATAAGACATTTATATCTGTTTTCATAGTATTATTTTACTCTTTGGTATTAAAAAAACTCACCACTAGTTGGGAGTACCCTATAATTATACTATAATAAAAATGAGTTTAAAAACAGTTTGGACTAAAATGTATCTGTAATTGAATAACTAATGTTTAAAACTCTGATTTAAATACAAAAAATAAAACAAATGAATACATGTAGTTTGCAAGAAGAGTAAAACTGTGTCAGCATACCTCTGAATCAGTCTAATACTGTAATTCAATTTGTATAACTTTGTTTTGATACTGGGAATCAAACTCAGGACCTTGTGCTTGCCTGGTAGATGTTTATGCCACTCAATTATATCACTGACCTCTTGTTTTTGTTTTTCTGAGACAGGTTTCACTATGGAATTCAAGATGGCCTTGGACTCACTATGTTATCTAGGCTGGTCTTGAGCTTGCAATAATCTTCCTGCCTCAGTTTCCCAAATTCTGGGACTACAGGTATGTGACACCACCTCTGGTTATTTCTATAACATTTATCAAAATAATTTTCCAGAACAAGGAAGGACTTGTGAAGCAATCTAATCCATATGCTAAAAAAGGGGACAGAATTTAGTAGTCTGATGCTTTTGAGGTGAGATTAGCATTTTACAAGACAGGCACTGTAATCTTACATGGTGTGGTAGATTGAAAATTAGTGGTCAACTTCACAACCAGCTGAACTGAATCAATATGGTAGTTTAGAAAGGTTCGGAGACACTGACTGAAAAGACTAGAGCTGAAACACCTTAGGCTGTTCTGTATGGGAGATTCTGGTCAGAGCTCAGAAGACCAAAAACCTGGTAAAGAGCAGGCTCAGGAGGTTTCTGTTGGGTAGAAGGACTGCACTGGCTACTAGAGTCCAGAAATGTAGGTTACGGCTTGGCAGAAAGTTTGTCTGCATTTTGGTCATGTCCAGAGATTTTGCCTGAGACTAAGATTAAGGATGATGGACTAATTAAACTGGCAGAAAAAATTTCAAGGCAGTCAAGTGTTACACCAGTGGCATTGCTATTGTTGGAGGCTTATTGCCAGATTTATGTTGAGAATCAACAGCACAGAACCCTACAGAGTGATTTAGAACACTGTGAGTTTGTACCTTTTGGGATATCAATGTTTATCTTGTGCCACTGAACGTGGCCAGTGTTTAATTTTTCATTTGTACAGGAGCTCACAGGTAAGAGTTTGCCTTACATCCCAGAGGAGACTTGACACTTGGACTTTTCAGCAGTGCTGAAACTGTTAGGATTTTGGTAACTCTTAGATCCTTTTGCATAAAGGATGTACACGAGTCTTTGAGGGGGCCAGAGATGGAATGTTATTGTTGGTGTCTGGATGTCTCCGCAAAGCTCATGTGGTCATGAGGGTGGGCTTCTAGAGTTTGTGACTGATTTATTGCCCAATGCTGTGATTATGGGTGTGAATGCTACACTAACCCTAGGGTGGGTGTGGCCTATATACAATATAAGGGATGGAGTCTTTTCTCTGAGCACTTCCCTTTTTCTTCCTGCTGCTTTTGCTGTTTTCCACTGCCATGAAAGGTTGCCCCCATGCCATTCCACTCTGCCTTAGACCCAGCTGATTATGAACTGAAACTTCCATAAACTGTGAGCTAAATAAACCTTTCACTTCTTTCATTTTGGGCATCGGGTATTTTGTCTCAACAACAAGAAAAAGGTAACCAAGACACATGGACACATTACAAGGGTGATCCTGTCAGAATATCATAAACAATCCTTACAAGATTGTTTTTAAGAAATAATACTGAGTTGCCATAAAGAACTCTTGTAAGGACAGATGCACTAAAGAATAGGGTCAGAGGTCACCGTAAGCAACATTCAAGAGAAGCCATTTCAGACTATTCTTACTGTATCTTTATTTTATAAAGTTTAGGGATTTCAAGTATGGGGAATCCAAACACTACTCCATAAAGAGACTTTTATAATGTTAACAATGTCAGAACAAACAAGTGTCACCAGGCAAGAAGGCTAAACAGGAGAATTACTTAAAAAAAAAAAGTGCATTTAGTTTTGGGAATATAATTGATTCCTCTAATTTTAGTTAATAAAAAGGTGGCCTGGGTGGTTTTGGCCAAAGTTCAGTCTTGCTTACTTTGAATAACTTAGTAATATATGTTCTTTGGCTTTAGTTTTTCTATCTGCAAAATGGGAATAACAGTGATACCCCTTGACAAAGTTGTTATGGACTAAGGAAGTTATTGCATTTAAAGTGCTTAGGCTTGACATTGAGTAGGTATTATATGGGTTGGCCTTTTTTTTTTTTTTTTTTTTTTTTTTTTTTGAGACAAGGTCTCACTATGTAGTTCAAGCTGGCTTTGAACTCACGATGTAGCCCTGATACCCCAATACCCTTGAACTCCCAGTGATCCTCCTGCCTCAGCCTTCTGAGTGCTGGGATCATAGGCATGTGTCATAACCACAAATAACCATAGGCATGGGATCATAACCACAAATGGCAGGTCATCTGCAACTGAAATGTTCTGAATTGGCACACAGAGTCATCATAATTTAACAAGGACATAAGATATTTCACATTGTGGATAGTATAATATAGTAGATACATCACTGAGATGACTTAGGAAGTTATAATATAATTAGTTTAACATGAAAAATATATATCAAGAGACAGTAAACTTAAATAGATATGAAGAAAGAATAGATGCATTCCAAGGGAATTCATATACCCACAAATGATTTCAAACATAAAGATGCTTAGATGTTCGTACCTTAAAAACAATTTCCCGTAGTTTATCAGAGTACTTCTGATTTAAGAGTAAGGCATAAAGGATGTCAGCATTTCCTGGTTCAAACAGCAGTAAGAAAAGTTGCCCTCTTGTTGGGCTGGTACGTAGGAGAACACAGAGTACATCCAAAATTCCAAAAAGCTTTAAAAATTAACACAAAAACAAGGAACCACATTAATGTATATAAGCACATAAAATCATAAACCATATAGAAGTTATTTAACTAGAACCTATGTATGCCAATGCTTAACTTTCTGGAACATTCTCCTGTCTTCCAACCCTACCCTTGCCTGTTCTTTCTGACATGTTTTTGACTGTTTTTTGTGCCAGGGATTGAGCTCACAACTGCTCACTTGCAAGGTAGGTGCTTATGTACTGAGCTAAATCCTGTCCCATGTTTTTGAATTTTTACACCTGCTTCTCCTCACACTCTCCATGGAAACCCTTCCTATCCATCCTGCCATGTAACAAGGCACCTCTTCCATAACAACTTTTCCTTGTCTGCTCAACATGTAAAACCTTCCTACAAGTCCTCACAGAACTGTCTCTCTCTTGATATTATCTTCTTGCTTTTACTTACTTGTAAATCTCTCTTATTGGCCTCTACCTCTATTAAGCTAAAAGAATGGTAATGTACTCATCTTTGCATTATCTACAATGACTAATATTATGCTCTAGGCATATATCAAGTTCATAACAAGTAATTCTTTGAGTTGACCAAGAAAATATCACTGGCTATGAATCACAGATACATCACAGTTATCATCATCATTCTAAATACTGAGAAATTTTGCTCATTTTGATATGGTCTTTTGGTTTTATTTGTATTTGTAATACTGGGGATTGAACCTACAGGCCCCTGGTATTTCAGGCAAGCACTCTACCACTGGTATCATTGGCCTTATAAATTTGCCTTTTAAAATAAAGTTTCATTAAACTGCCTAGGCTGGCCTCAAACTTGGAAATCATCTTGCCACATTCCTCCTAAGCAGCTGAGATTGCACACATGCCACCATGACCAGTAATGAGAAGTTTTTATTTTGGGTTTTTTGGTACTGGAAACTGAACTCAGGGCTTTGTACTTGCCAGGCAGGTGCTACACCATTGAGCTACAATCACAGTCCTAGTGAGAAGTCCAATCTTACAGGAAAATTATCTGTTAGCTCATCTGTATAATATCAATTATGAGGTTATGCAACTACTGAGTACAGAATGAACATTACATAGAGGGGGAAAATATTTTAGTGAATATAAATCAAGGCTGCTCAAATTTATAGTGGTCATAGTGTTACACAAAAGGAACATGAAACACCAGGAAAAAAAACATACTTGAGTTCTAGTTTTAGGTAGATCAGTTGTGTAACTTTTTAAGTATCAATGAGGAGAGTAATTCTTAGCTTGTATATTTCACATTGGCTGTTCTCAATTTTAGCATGTGTACTAGAGTTACCTGTAGTGCTTGATTCACTAGTGAAATCAGTAAACATTATATTTACTTTTCTAACAAGGTTAAAGTTGGTCAGGGACTGACATTAAGAACTGCTGCCCTGGGCCAGGGATTTAGCTCAGCAGCATAAGCACATGCTTGGCAAACGCAAGGTCATGAGTTCCATCCCTGGTACCAAAAAAACAAAAACAAACGAACAAAAAAACCCTGCTGTCCTGGAGGAAAGAAAGCTCTGAGGATTAAATGAGATAATGCATGTAAAGGTTCAATTCCCAGTATCAAATGCAATTCCCAGTTCAATTCCCAGTATCAAATAAATAAAATAAAATAAATAAAAAATAAAACAGATACATCTATTTAGGGTTTACTTTTTATGCAACATTTTTGTGAAACAATGCTACATTAAAATTCACATTAAAAATCTACCCTGTAACTCTGATAGATAAAACATACAACAAATGGATTGGGAAAATAGACTGCAGAACTGCCAGGCACAACAACTATTTCCACAAACTATATTTTATAACTAAATTATTCAATTAGTTGGGCAATGGAGCACATCCCTTTAATCGTAACTACTTTAGAGGCGAGGCAGGAGGATCGAAAGTTTAAGGCCAGTCTAGACACCTCAGTGAGACCCTGACATATATAGGTAGGTGTACACACACATACACACACACACACACACACACAACACAGATTCATTCATTTACTCTAGTACTAGGGATTAGACCCAGGGCCTTTGTACTGAGCTGTATCTCTAGCCCTGTACTGTTTCTCTTTCTCACATTCTTTTTTTAGAAAAGGTCTTGTTTAGTTGCTAAGTTGCCCTGTCTGAGTTCAAATTTGTAGCTCTGCTTCAGCCTCCCCAAGTGCTGTGATTTACAGGTATGTATAACTAGGCCTGGATGATACCCCATCTTAAAATAAAAAAGAGCAGGTATGTACCCCAGAGGTAGAGTATCCTTGGGTTGCATCCTCCCCGCTACTACAAATAATAATATCAAACTTCATTATGTTTATTATATACTTATTAAAACTTACAATCAGTAAATTTTCCTTAACTCTGTAATATTATGATAACATATATATATTTTACTATGGTAATAATTAAACATACTTTTAAGGTTATGAAATGATACAGCAACTTAAACGTTAGGAAAAAAAACAGATTTCAGACATCATACCTGTTCTTCTTCATTTGTAGCAGCTATGTAACCCATAATACTTTGTATCTCTTCATGAGTTCCCCCTTTACACAGAAAATACTTAATTAATCCATACAAAGAATTTCTTATTGTTCGAATATCATCTAGAGATAACTCATTATATTTACATCCACTCCTGGAAGAGAACACAAAAGTGGAATTAAAATTTTAATACTCTTGTATTTTAATATAAAAGAATTCACAGTTTTTTGCTTGTTTGCTTTCTTTCTTTCTTTCTTTTTTTAAAACCAGGTATCAAACTTAGGACCTCATGCTTGCCAGGTAGGAGCTTAAGCCACTGAACGAAATCCCCAGTCTCAGTCCCCCGCCCTTTTAAAAAATCTTTTTGGGTATGGTCTCGGTATGCAGCTCAGGGTGGCCTTCAACCCACTTTGTAACCCAGGCTGGCCTTGAACTAGCAGCACTTTTTCTGCCTCAGCCTCCCAAGTGCTGGGACTATATGCATGCAGAATTTAGGGTTTTAAAAAGTCTCATTAATTGTCAGAATTCATGGTATCTTTGACTTTTTTAAGAAAACTCTTCAAAAATTTCGATGACAAAAATTTAAAATATTAAGACAGCTTCCATTTATACAACACTTAGGAGGTAGCAGACAAAGTTGTATGTACCTAACATATTTTACTCATTTAATTCTCAAAACTAGTATAGGAGGCCATGGTTTTAATCTGCTTTTCATAGATGAAGAAACTGAATCACAGAGAATAAGTAATTTACCTCTAGTCACACAATTTATGAAACCAATATTCAAACCTAACATACGTGGATCCATTGTTTATCATTTTAACTTTCATACTAGTCAATTTCTTTGAAGTCAAAAGATAACAGAATTGCTGGTGAAGAAAAAGCTACCTGTTTCAGTCAAGTAGCAGACAGGAAACATTACAGCAAACCAAGAAGAAGCAAGGAAATCATACCCATAATAAATCCTAAGCGTATCTAGGAGAAACTGCACGCCGTATTTCTTTCGGAAAACTCTCCTACTATCTTTAATGATTGTTGAAAGATACTGTATATGACCTAAAACAGAAAGTTGACTTATAAATAATGTAACTAAAATAAAGTCACATAGTTGCAAATTTCTGAAGTATTCATACCATGTGTTGCAACACCCTGCTCTCACCAATTCGGAAAGGAAAATCTCCACGATTCCAAACACGGAAGTCAAAGAGTAAATACTGGTACATTTGTTGCAGGAGCAGCATATTCTTCTCCAAGGATACCTGCTCAATTAGTAGTTGAACTGCCACCAATACATTCACATCCATTAAGGAGCCTGGTACCTGCAAACAAATGGAAGGGGGTTCCATAAAATTCAGTTTAAACAACTATCATTAAACAATAGTCTCAAAATTACTTTCGAACATCTACCAAATATAGTAATATAAAAATATAGGGTAGAGAAATACAAACAGCTAAATCATTTATTTTTCTAACATAACACTAGAACATATTTTCCAAATGCTGTATTCCTCATGTCTTGTTTCTCAAATATTCAAAATTTAAAAGTCAATGATGAAGTCTCAAAGATTATACAGTGTTATATTAATTAAATAATTCTTTTTTGTATTTGAGTTTTTGAGACAGGGTCTTGCTATGTAGTCCACGATGGCCTTGAACTATGTAGCTCAGGCTGGCCTTCAACTCATTGCTACTCTCCTGCCTCAGCTTCTCAAGTGCTAGGATTACAGACACAGGCCACCACACCTGGCCTAAAATAAGTAATTCTTACATAAGATGATTCCTAAAAATTTTTAGAGCTGCCCATGTAACACCTTATATTAATATAGTAATATGTAACACTGTAATCTTTACTAATGCCTTTAGTCAGTAGGAAAAAAAGAATCCCAACACCAACTTCTAATTAAAATTACTAGTACATCAACACCATGTTAGATGTATGTCACCTTCTGAAGCAAGACGCCAAGAGTTGCAACTCCATTGGAGTGAATGAGGTTGTCCTGGTTGATAGAGTGCCTCTGAATAAGATGTTTCACAATCAAGATAAATGTAGCCACTAGATTTTTCTCCAGTCTTGATTCTGTTGAAATGGAAACACGTATATTACAATTAATCACTCTATTTAATAATACATATTATAACAGAAAAAGTCTAGCTGGATAGTGGGCTTCTCAGGCTTTCTTGGACAACTAAATCAGAAAAGGCTGCCACTGTACACTGTATACTGCGTACACATATAAATATTTCTCTCCCAAAATTTAACAATCCTTCCATTAGGAGTATAAAGTTAGTAAATAATAAAAACAACACCTTTAGTATTTTGTCCAAAGTATCATAAACTTCTTGAATTATATTAGTAAAGTTAGCAGCTGCTACAGCTACAAGTGGTTAAGTTTCTTCCTAACAATAGCAAAACATTTAAATTCAATTGTCAAATATCTCATGCAGACTATTAATTCCAACTTGATACCTGATGCCTTTGTGGAGGCTGGCGCCATGCTGTCTCCTTCCACAGGTCCAACAGATTCAGGAACTGTGCCTTCACTCCTGCCTTCAGCAATCTGCTCTTCACTCAAGTGGCTGATTTGCTCCAATAAAGGAAAGAGTACATTCAATCCACCTATGCAGTTGATGATGTCCTGAAAACAAAGCCATAATGTCTTCACCTTGTAACACAAGGGCTCAACAGTGTCATCTAAAAGCTATGCAGCGTGTACAAAGTTACAATTTGTTAATAAACCTTAGGATAGCTTAAACTGACGGGAAGATTCTTTAAAGATCAGACTGGTTACCATAATCAAAAGTTAAGACACACTATTTCAGTGGCGTGAGATGGAGCACACCTGTAAACCCAGCACTCAGGAGGCTGAGGCATGAGGACAGCCACAAATTGGAGGCCAGCCTAGACTACACAGTAAGTTCAAGATCAGCCTTACCTGCATGGTAAGACGCTATCAAGACAGAGACAGAGAGACAGAGAGACACAGTGAATTCAAGGCCAGGGTCAACTATATAGCAAGATCCTGTCTCACAGTAATAACAAAAACAAAAACAATGAATTTGGTGGTAGAAATATGACTGACCCCTCTATTTTTGGTTAACAAAAATATGGAAAGGATAGCTTCAGCCAAAATTCAAATTCATGGATATAACTGACAGCTTAACAAACTATATTCTGTCTTTGTAATTCCTTTGGCTTCAGTTTTTTCACGTGTTCTACCAGACTAGTAATAATAATGCCTACTTCATGAAGACGTTGCAAAGATTAAGCAATACATGAAAAATGTTTAGTGCCTGTGTAGAGACGGTGTCAGCTACTACTCCAAAGCATTCCAGGAGTCAGAACTTCCGTGTGGACCCAGTCTAAGCCTGTAAACAGCCTCTTTCATCCTTTGCCTGTTTTACCTTTAATAAGTAATATGTTTGTGTTTATCTGAGGTTTACAGCATGTTGCAGGGTACATACAAAGGTAAATGGCTGCAATACTGAAGCAGATTAACGTATCATGTCCCTTAACTGCTTTTTTGTAAAAAGGGGAGCTAAAATCTTACTTAACAAAAATTTGTATTAAATTTCCAGAATTATTAATTTGCATACTTTCCACTTTGTTTTGTCTCATTAATACTATTTTATATTTATTTATTTTTCTCCAAATCCACTTTATTTCAAGGATTAAAAAGGAAAAAAAGAAGCAAAAAAAAAACTACAACAAAATTTCAAAACATGGGCCAGGGGTTTAGTTCAGCAGTATAAATGCCTGCTTGGCATTTATGAGGTCTTGAATTCGATTCCCCGTACCAAAAATAACTAACTAAATAAATAAATAAATTTTAAGATACCATCGGGGGCAACAATGTACATACAGTGCACATTATCATTCCACAAATCATTCATCCAGAGTTTATACTGATTTTAAGAGAAGTATTTCTAACTGGTTCACAAAAACATAAAAACTATATATATATATTAATTGGGTATTATACTGTTTTTTTGGTACTGAGACTAGAACTCATGACCTCATGCTTGCCAGCAGGCACTGTGCCACTGAGCTATATATATCCCTGGTCCCTCCATACTGATTTTAAAGGGTTCTCTATATAGTAAACAAATTAATATTTTGAATGGTGAACATTTTTCTTAGTTGTCATTTTTAAAATTATTTTTTCCTCTCAATTTTGTTGCAGCAAACAACTGTCTTTGTCTTAATTCTGTACCTTTTTGGGGAAGTACTGGGGATCGAACTTGCAACCTCGCACACATCAAGCAAGGACTTGTGCCACTGAGCTAATCCCTGGCCCTCTCTTCCTTTATTTCCACATTAGGCAAACTAGTTAATCTATGTAGGTGCAACACAAAGCACTAAGGACTGCTTTGATATTCAGATATGTATGACATACTTGAAATGCCTAACCTTCTACATTTAATATACACAACTAGTCTTGAAAAGCCAATCTTTTTTTTTTTTTATTCGGTACCGGGGATCAAACTCACGACTGCCTGTTTGCGAGGCAGCTGCTTAGGCAGCTGAGCTAAATCCCCAGCTTTGAAAAGCCAATCTTTTTTTTTTTTTTTTTTTTTTTAATCAGTAACAGGGATTGAACTCACGACTGTCTGCTTGTAAGTCAGGTGCTTATGCCGCTGAGCTAAATCCCCAGTCCTGAAAAGCCAATCTTAACAAGTTAAACAAAAGTTAATTTATGAATTGTCATTCAGGTCATAAATCTTACTATGTTAACAGAGAATAAGTGATTATCCCAAAGTTAAAAAGAAAAATACTTTATGCATGAATAACATGAGATTAGTAATGATTGACTTCTACACAAGCAAAACTATTCTGATTATTTAATTCAAGCAATAAACATATTTGATTGATAGTAAATGCCTAGAAAAGCTTCCTTGCTGGTTTACCAGCAGGTGTCTACTGCTTTCTGGGTTTTTTTTTTTTTTTTTTTTTTTGGTACCAGAAATTGAACTCAGGGCCTTGCACTTGCCAGGCAGATGCTGTACCACTGAGCTACTGTAGCCTTTTGTATTTCTTTCTTTTTTTTTTTTTTTCTTTCTTGCAGTTTTTACACTGAGCAACATCTCTAGTTCTTTTTATTGTTATTTCTTAGTTGTCTCTCAAAGACAATTTATTGTACACACTTTAGTTTTGTATACTATCTTAACACAAATAAGACTGCTTTTCTACTTGAGCCATTTTTAACCAAAGCAAAATAACCTACATAATATTAAGTATTAAAATATAGCATAAAGAAAAAAGTTTTAAGATATAAAAAGAGACTAACTTTAGTGAGGGATGTAATTATGTTACTTTTTAAATAATCCACAATTAGGTTTATGAAATCACACAAGCACAGATCATTCATTTAAATGAAATACATATATCTGTAGCATAGCTTTATATTACAAAAAACAAAAAATTATCAAAGAATACACAGCTAATATTTACTCCACTTTTTGTCATTCCTGGATCCTTTACCAATGTCATACAACGAAAAAACAAAAACAAAACAAATGAAAAACTGACATTAGAATTACTAATGTAAGTAAATAGGGAAACAAAATCTAGCAGCCTTCAGAGCAAGAATGCAGCAAAGATGATGCTATAAAAAGAAACAAAGAAAATTGCTAGAAAACAGTAGGTATTATCCTATCTTTCAACCAACAAAATAAGCACAGTATACAATGAAATGTAACATAACCTTTTTCTTGTTACGGTAAGTTCTTGTTTTGAGTATCATAGATGGGTAAGATGTGTTTGCTATAGTCTTTCTACAAAGCTATTACAAAACAGACAGGAATACATTTATGGATTCTGGGGATGATGTGGACTGTAATTCCTTGAAAACTCAAGCAAAAATTTTAAAGAAGGTACAGTTTAAGCAAAGATGAATGAGACTTTTTTTTATGTCTAAACAACATTTGGATGAAATGAAATTTTAAAAAGGTCCACACTGCTTTTGAAGAGGCTTTATTTTATTTTTTGGTACCAGTGATCAAACTCATGACCTTGTGCTTGCTAGGCAGGCACTTATGCCGCTGAGCTAAATCTCCAGCCCAAAGAGGCTTTATTTTTATTTTACTTATTTATTTATTTATTTTTGGTACCAAGGATCAAACTCACGACCTCACACTTGCCAGACAGGCACTTATAACGCTGAGCTAAACCCCTGGCCCTTAAAAAGGCTTTAGTTCAGCTCTTAAATCTCAACTACTTGATATAGTCTCCTCTGACAATATTCAGAGGTGTCCTCTTTAACTTATTTTTAGTGATGAAGTTGCTCTTCGTGGCTGTATCTGCATAGGACAGGTAACTTAGTCACTGTTTGGAGGAAGTTTTAGCTTTTCCTGGTGTACTCTCTCTACCTGTTAGAGAGCCTGTGTTTCATATTCAGTAGCCTGCATTGCCATCTTATCAATCTTAGTGCTAATACTAGTAACAGTTCTACATACATCATCACTGCAGTCATCAAAGATTCTCCAATGAGTACAACTGTCTGTTGCCAGACATCTCAATTGTGTGTTCAATGTAAATAGCTGTCATCCTCCCCATTTGCTTGCCTTGTCTTTCTATATGGACTCAATATCATCTTTAAAAAATGAGTAGTTAGGGCCTGGGATTTAGCTCAATGGTTTAAGCGCCTGCCCAGCAAGGTCATGAGTTCAATCCCTGGTACCAAAAAAAAAAAAAAAAAAAAAAAGTGAGTAGTTGCCAAGGATGTGGCTCAGTGGTACAGCTTTTGCCTTGTAGGCACAGGGCCTAGGGTTTAATCTCCAGCACCATGCGCATGCGCGCGCGCGCACACACACACACACACACACACACAAAGTGATAAATAATCACAGCAAGGCATTAAACTACTAAACAACTGGACATGGTTGTACAGAACCCAAATGTTATCAAATTTAACATTAGCAAATTTGAATAAGTCAAAGATTTGCTTTCCATGTTTTACTTTTACCGTTTTTTATAAAACAGGGTATCTAAAAGTTCTGTAGAAGATGTTTAATGTAACGATCCAGGTTAGGAATCTCCTGATTTGATTCTGTTTTCTCCTCTTCTGTTAGGTGAAGGACGAGGCATAGGAGTGATTTCTACGGTCACCAGCTTAGAGCCATTTGATCACCTTTAACATTTTTTTATTGTGTGACAGGGTCTCCTCAAGTCATTAAGTTGCCCAGGTTGACTCGAACTTACAACTGTCCCATCTCAGCCTCCCAGAATGTTGGGATTATAGGCAGGTGCCACCATGTCCAGGCTATATTTCTTTTTATTTTACTTGAATTATAATTTCTACTCAAAATAAAATATTAGGGAAATGCTGTATTTAAGAAAGAGTCAATCATTACTCCATATCCCTGTACTATGCACTTGTTAAAAAAATAGTGGCCCCTCCTTCAAAGTTCTTACAAACCACTGGAGAATTTTTTTTTTTTTTTTTGTCTTTTTCCTTTTTATCGGTACCGGGGATCAAACTCACGACTGCCTGCTTTCAAGGCAGGTGCTTATGCCGCTGAGCTAAATCCCCAGCCCAAACCACTGGAGAATTAAGCAAGCAGTTAATATTCACTATGATACATGAAATGATCTAGTGCCACAGAAGCAAAGTTAGAGATAAAACACATCTTTGAGAACTAAGAGAGTGCAGACAAAATGTGACAGCTAAGGTCATCTGTAACTTTGGAGAAGAAAAGTTTGAGTTTGTTCAAAGCTGATGATGTATAGAACACTGTACAAACAGAGGTGTCAGACATAGGAGGAGAGAAATAATAAAGTCTCTGAGAAGCTTAGGATATTGAAATCTACCACAGTGTTTAGGAATTAAATACCTAAAAAGTGAGTTAACCAACTACTTTTTTTTTATTTTGTTTTGAACCAGGAGTCCAACTCAGGTCCTTGTGCTTGCCAGGCAGATGATGTGCCACTGACCTAAATTCCCAGTCCCATATTAGTTTTTTTATGGAGACTTATTTAAGGTATATGTCTTATAAAAGTAATTAAGGTTTAAGCAAATCAGTCATTCAGCTACTGAAGTCATCTGACTACTTGTTTTCTTCAAATTGTCTAGCAGCATGACATTTTGAGAACCATTACTGTTCTCCATCAGATCAATCTGGTGGTGCTTAAAAGATAAAAATCTTTAAAATGACCATTAAACTCACTCAAATCTTACTACCCCATCATTTATTAGTAACTTACCTTAATGTCCCAGTTTACCACTTTGTTTCCTGTTAATCTTCCATGCAAACAATTAGTAGATAAATCAAGGCAGATTGAATTTTTGCAGGCCTAAGGGGGAAAAAAAACAGAGTAAGCAACTAAGTATAAATAAGACAAAATGTAACTTTAACCATATTTGGAAGACTTCCTCATACTTTTAAAAGGTATATCAATATATGTAAGAAGACTATTGTATGAACTTTAGTATTGCTATTCACACCATGTCTCTTTGAAGAACCAGGGACTACATTCCCAGGCATTCTCTCATCAAAAGCAGGTCACTGCTGTTTATCATCTAATGGGTGAGCTATGGCTAGAACTTCTCATTCACCAGATAGCTTTTACATTTTTATCTTTTAAACCAGAATATACCAAGAGGCTTGGTGCTTAGAAAATATATGATGTTTAATTCCCATTAGTACTTCTCTATGATTAATTTCATGATACACATAAAATAAGTGATTAAAATGTGAAACAGAAGCCAAGTGGGGTGCTGCACTCCTGTAGTTTCAGCTGCTCTGAAAGCTGAAGCACAAGGATCACAAGTTTGAGCCCAGCTTGGACAACTTAGGGAGATACTGTTTCAAGATGATAAATGCAAAGTTTGGGGATGTGAACTGGGCAGAATGCCCCTGGCCTGATCCCCAGTACCACAAAGAAAAGAGAAAGTGAGGTAAGCAAAAACGTGGGAAGGAAAATACATTGCGATATGAAAATTTAAATTGTAGCCAAAAGAAACTTTTCCTGCATGTTGAATAAAAGGTATTTCTGGTTTGATTCACATTAAGAACTTAATAAACAATTTTAGAAATTGTTAAAATAATGTTAATTTCTATTCAAAAGAGCATATAAAACCACAATCCATGAATTTCCAGGTAACAAATCAACCTTTAATTTAATTCCCAAACAGAAACTTACAATTTTAGCACATATGATATGGCTACTGCTTTTCTCCTAAAAGAACTGAAAAAAATTGTTGTAACAAAGAAAAACATGTGTATATATATATATTTTATAACATATAAAAATAAATATATATATTTTATATTTTTTGTTTGCTCTTTTTTTTTTTTTTTAACTTTTTATCGGTACTAGGGATCGAACTCACAACCGCCTGCTTGCAAGGCAGGTGCTTATGCCGCTGAGCTAAATCCCCAGCCCCCATATATTTTATATTTTTTAGATACAAGGTCTCACTATGCAGTTCAAGATGGCCTTGAACTCTATAGCCTAGGCTGGCTTCAAACTCCCAATGATCTTCCTGTTTTATTAGCTTTCCAAGTGCTGGGATTACAGGTGTATACCACTATACCCAGCAAGAAAGAATATTTAATATATATCAGTCTCTGTTACTTTAGTTTGGTCACTATGTATCTATGACCTTCCCTAACATAATTCTCTGATGGTATTGCTGCCTATGATTTTCTACTTTTCCAGTCCAATGTTCTTACTGTAGCCTGAGAACTTTTTCTAAAATGCAAACCTGAACATTCTACTTTCTATGCAAAATGCCTAGTATTCAGTCTAGTAAAGTAGTGGTGAGCCTGATAGCCATAGGCAGTTGTTTGTAATCAGTGAAACATGAGGTTTGATATCATCTGGTCTCCTTTTGCTCTCTAAGTTCATTTCCTACCATCTTTTCCCCTTGCTCACAAATACATTCATGTGCAATCCAGTTTTATACTGTGTCTTTGCAGATCCTGTTTAAAGTGCATCCTTTTTTGATACTTTTTTAGTTTTTTAAATTTTCAACTAATTATTTGTTTGCTTATTTGTTTTTTTGAGATAGGGTCTCACTATGTAGCCCAAACTAGCCTCGAACTTGCAGCCTGCCTGTCTGCCTACTGAGTGCTGGGATTACAGGCATGTGCCACCACACTCAGTTCAATACTGCTTTTTAAAATACAAATAACATCATCTATCATATTCTAACTCCCTGAAAAAACAAGCCATCCTTTGACCTTTATATGCATATTTGTTAATTTTTGTATATAATTCCAACACATAAATGCTGCATAGTATATTGGGTAAGGATATTCATTACACAAGCTGAATTATAAACTCAGAATTACCATTTACTAGAATAATAAGGCTAGGCAAGTTGTTTAATTGAACATCAGAAAACAAAACTTTAGAAAAATGTATAGAGAATGCTATATGCCTCTGAGTACTTCAATGAAGATTAAGTGACACATTTAACAAAGTACATTAATGCACTGTAAGCGTTCAATAAACGATAGCTTAAAAATATATGCTCAACCTAAATCAGTGGTGCATGTCTGTAATTCTAGCACTCCAGAGACCGAGGCAGGAGGATGGCTATGAGTTTGAGGCCAACATAACATGGGCTACATAAGTGAGTTCAAAGCCAGCCTAAACTACATGTGAGATTCTGCCTCCAAAACAAAACAAGTTCTCACAAAATTGTATTACACTTTTAAGATACATTCATCTCACTTTAAATATTAATCTTCCTAAACCTAGAGACTTCAACTTATTCATTGTTATGGTTTGTATCTAGACGTCCTCCAAAGCCTCTTTTGGTCAAAGGTGGGGCTTTTCAGAGGTGCCTGGATCAAGGTGTGTGAGGCTGCAATTAAAGATATGATGCTGGGATTAAGAGTATATAACTAAATTAGTCCACTGATTCTGGTATAGCATATACCATACACCACAGCATGTAGCATACGTACTGGGAAGGTCCACCTGGATGTGGACCCAAAAGGTGGCTAACCTGTAAGGGACAAAAATGAAAGGCAGGCTCCTATTGTTGACTGTTTTGTCCTCTCTGGCCTGATTGTCATGGACTGCTGCTCATCTGCCATGCAATCCTGTCCTGGAGCCAATCAACTAGACTGCACCCTCCACAAACTATGAGCTGAGATAAACCTTTCCTCCTTTAACTTTGGGTACTGGGTATTTTGTCACAGCAATAAGAAAAGTAACTGAGACAGATTTTGTTACCCAGAGTGAGGTGGCTGCTTTGATACTGCAGTGGCAAGTAGAAACACCAAAACAACACCCATGATTTGGTTTACATCAATGGGCACTATCGGGATCATTCCTAAACATCAGACTCTGATCTCTAGTGGTCGAAGGTTAACAGGAGATAAGCAAGCAGGAAGTACAGAGGCAGAATGGCTTGTCAATTGGGGCTTGGTTTATACAATGTGCATCATAGTGATCTGAGGTTTCTAAAATTCAGGAGCAACTAGATCTGGAACCCTGAGCAACTAACAAACTGAAGTATACTGACTTGGGGTAAGGGGCATTTTCCGTTACAATACTACCTGACCCTGTAGTTCAGGAGCTGGATTAGAACTAGCTTGAGGAAAGAGTTTGGAAAAGTTTAGAGATACTGGCAGAAACAGGAGCCCTGGAATGCTTTAAACTGTACTTGATGGGAGATTCTGATCAGAGCTTAAAAGATGATAATATTGACAGAAATGCAAACAGTAAATACCAGGTTCAAGAAGTTTCAGTTAGGAGCAAGGACTGCATTGGTGCTGGACTCCAGGCCATAGGAACTGTCCTTTGGCACAAAATTTGTCTGCATTTTGCTCGTGTCCTTGCCTGAGAATGAGACTGAAGGTGACTGACTAGTTAATCTTGCAGAATTTCAAACAAGTCTTGCAGAATTTCAAAGATGGCATGGCTACTGTAGGTGGCTTTTAGCCAGATCTATATTGAGTATCAAGAGCAGACAGCACAGCAGAATGATTTAAAACATTTTGAGTTTGGCCAGGACGAAGCTCTAGCCAGAAAGGAGGAGCACAGGAGAACTTGGTAGGAGAAAGAAGAGAACAGAAAAACTGTCTGAGGACATCATAAGAACTAGCAAGACTCCAGCCTTTGAAGCCTCAAAATGTCAAAGATGAAAGACTGCTTTGGGAAGAAAGCCCCAGAGAAGCACATTGCACAACAGCAGTAGCTTAGGGAATTTGTCCTTTGGGACTGGGTTCAGGGTACCAAACAATCCAGGTACTTGCCCCTGCAAACCAAGAGAGTAAGAAACCTGCCTGATGCTCCAGCTGGCAGCAGAGCTTGGTGTCATACACACGATGCTGGCTCTAGATATATGCAAAATGTAAGATCTGTTTGGTCAGGAAGGTTTCCACTCAGACATCAGAAGGTAGCCTGGGAGGCCAGCGAGTGTGCACCTGCGAGGGAAGTCTGTGAGGCTGTAAGCGTGAAGCCAAAGGTCCAGTAGAGTCCCTTGAAGGTTGGAGAAGCCAAGAATATGGATCATCTGAGGAAAACTGTGTGAAGAACACAGAGCAAGCCCAAAAGAGAAGCCAACACCTGCAGTGGTGTAAGGGGCAGCGCCATCCAAGCCCTATGGAGTTCACATCTCGGCACAGATTGCACCAGATGCTAGACATGAAACTGTAGAATTTAATGTCTGCCCTGCTGGATTTTGGACTTGCTTTGGTCTCATTCTTTTCTATTCCCCTAAATGTATCATTTGAAATGAGAATGTTTATCTTGTACTCAGGAATGTTGCAAGTATTTAACTTTCTTTTCATTTTTACAGGTGATTGCAGCTAAGAGCCTGTCTTAAATCTCAGAGGAGACTTTAGACTTTTCAGTAGTGCTGAAACTGTTAGGATTGGGCCTCAAAAGCTCATAGGTGGGGCTTTTCAAAGGTGGCTAGGATATGTGATGCTGGGTCAAGGGATGTGGTGATGATCACTAAATTAGTCCACTAATTTTGTATAGCACAGTTCTGAGTGTGGATGATGGGAAGACACCACTCAAAAGGTCAGTAACCCAAAAAGGATAAAGGAAATGCAGGCTGCTGTTGCTGCTGCTGCAAACTGCTTTGCTGTTTCTGGTCCAGTGACGTAGACTTTGTGATGCCTTCTGTCATGCTACCTTGCAGCCAGCTGACTGTGGACTAAAACAAACCCTCTACAAATTGTGAGCTAAGATAAACTTTTCCTCCTTTAACATTGGGTGCTGGATATTTTGTCTCAGCAATGAGAAAGAAATTAAGGCATTCAGCTTTGTGTCCTAAAAGTTTAGCACAAACTTTTAGCAAACCAAAGAAAAATTTTAAACACAAGAATAATTAAATGCTTCGAACAGATGAGGACAAAACTGAAAAAACAAAACAACCCTGATGATTACTAAAAAGTCCTTTAAAGCAGCATTTCCCAAACTGGCACTGTGTTAGTCACTGAGTTATTTTTAAAGTGTGTTTTATGCTTAAATAACTGATGAAACAACAGGATAAAGCCAAGTAAAATAGTATCTTTACATTATTTCATTATACATTATAACAGAAATTTTAAAGTGTTGCATCAATCTCCAAGAAAGATATAAAGAATGCACCTGGGCCCCAAACTTTTATTCAACATTAACATTACTGAATTCAAAGTTACCTTATAAAAAGATGATAATCATAATGTCAAAGACCAGTTGGCCATCAGATGTCTAGAACATGCCACTATATATATTATTTAGATTAAATTCAAGTATTCCTATCTATACTATTTATTGGGGGACAGAAATAAGCACAAGATATAGATAGTCTTTGTTATGAAACAATATCAAGTATGTTGAGCAAGTAAGTATATATTTTTTGGGAAAAAATTGTGAAAAACAAGCAAACAAAAAAATTAAGATTTGAGAGACATTAAAACCTACATAATGCATAAATTTTGATTGGATCAACGATTTTAAAATGCTAAATATTTTGGGAATGTTTGAAAACATATTATATACTAAACTATGGATAACTTTCTTAAGATAGGTAAATAATTATATAGAAATATTCTTTTGGTTTTATTTGGCTTTGGGGTTTGACACAGTGTAGTTTAGGCTAGCCTGGAATTCAAGGCAATCCTCCTACCTCAGCCTCCTAAATACTGGGATTATGGAGTGAACCACTCCACCTAGCTCTAGAAATACTACAATCTGCTTTCACAAATGACTTGAGATGGATGGGTGTGATAGCGTATAGGCTAGCCTGGGTTACAAAGTGTGTTCAAGGCCACCCTGTACTATAAAGTGAGACACTCTCAAAAAGTCAAAAACAACAACAATAACAACAAAAATGACTTGAAATAAAGTCAACAAATAAAATGTTAATAATTGGTGAATTTAGTAAAGAGTAAACAGGATGTTACTATGCTTCTGACTTCCTTCTAGGTTTGAAATTTGTCAAAATAAAAAAAAATTTGAGGAAAATACATTTGATATTCTCAAAAGTAATAAATTATAATTCAACTAGAAAAACTTCTACAAAGTACAATCTCAGACAATTAAAGCATTATCTGAATCAACATGATATTAAACAAAATAAAGGCAACTGAGATTTTTTTTTAACACTTTCATTTATTTCTCTCTATTCTAATTTATCTTCTTTCCTTCATTCCATTGCTGACTTCAATTATTTTCACTTTCACTAGATAGGTCCTAAAAGGCAAACTGGCTGACCATGGTAGGAATATAGGAATTTGTTTTTTTCTTAAGACTTTTTTCTGTATCACATTTTAAAAACAAAATGAATTTTGAGTATAACTGTTTTATCTCTCCTCCCAAGAAGAATACAAATTTTAAAAGTTTCACTTGCTAGCCATACGTGGTGGCTGACGCCTGTAATCCCAGCACTCAGGAGGCTGAGGTGGGAGGATCCTTGCGAGTTCGAAATCAGCCTGGGCTACAAAGTGAGCTCAAGGCCAGCCTGAACTGCATAGAGACCCTGCCTCAAAAAAGACAAAAAAAAAAAAAAAAAAATTCACTTGCTGAAGTTGATTCACAGTACTAGCTGCAACTTTAACTATTCAGAGTCATACTATCAGAATGACACAGTGATAATATTTAAACTTTCACTGAAGAAGTATACCTTAAGTTTTGCTGCTTTTCCTCTCCTCTGAATAATGACAAAGGAATTAAAAGAAAGAATTTTCAATTACAGGATAGTTATAACTAGATGGAAAGTTCACACATTTATTCTGACCTTTGCTGTGTAGTGAAGGAGGATGTTACCAGGCAGGTCAGCCATGTCTGACTCTTGACATTTCCAAGGGCTTAAACAATTGGGACCTGAAAAGTATTTATACACATACGTATGCATCACTGATTGTACATGGTCTCTTCCGTTCTGTGTCATTACAGCAAATTTTAAACTAAACTGTTTCAAACTACTCAAAAAATACAGTTAAAATACACTTGCTAAAATGTACTTTAGTTTTTATTCAAAATGTAGAAAAGTTGAGGAACAGATTAATCTCTACTGCAGAAAGAAACTTTTATGTAGCATTGAAAAACTATTATCAAATGTAACAAACTATGTATTTTGTCTAATGTAAATTCTAATGATTAAGAAAATAACAAAATAATGAGACTACACATCACAGAAATGGAGTAGCAGATAAATAGAAAAATTTAATTAAAAATTAAAACTAATCTGAATCCCACCGAATTCAACTTTACTAAAAATCAAAAAAGTACAAGTCCAAACAATACTGTACATGCAACATTCTTGACTGTCTCACTGAGGCTGTGATGAAGTTGAGATACTTGTGCTACTGTTAGAGGTTGAGAATTGGCACACCCCTTCTGGAAACTGATTATTTAACACTGAATTGACAGCCATTAGTACATTCATGCATTTCAAATATTCACCCTGGAAATTTATGATTGAATTCATCAAAATAAACACTTAAGAAACAGTTCATTATATTTAACACTAAAGCTTATACTAAATTAAAAATAATAAACCTAAGTAAATTTCTAAACTCAAAAATAAATCTGTATCCAGTGAAAATAATCACTTATGAAGACTGTATAACAATTCTTACTTGGCCAGGCATGGTGGCACATGCCTCTAATCCACATCCCCCTCAGAAACTGTTTCCCTAAAATTCGTATGTTAAAGCCATAGTCTTCAGTGTGACTACTTAGAAACAGGGCCTTTAATGAGATAAATAAAATTAAATGATGTCACAGGGTGGGGTCCTAACCTAATAGGGTTGCTTACAAGGAAAGAAAAGGATAACAGCTATCTTCTTCTGTTTCCATATACAGAGAGAAAAGAATTGTGAGAACAAAGCAAGCAGGCAGCTAGCTACAATCAGGAAAAGAAGTTTCACTAGAAAACAACCTTAATGGCATTCTGACCTTGTACTTCTAGTTTTCAGAACTGTGAGAAAATAAATTCCTGCTGTTAAAACTACAGATTTAGTAGGATACGACTGTGGCAAGCCTACAAGCAGTATAATGAATGAAATCTGAAATATTTCCAAAAGTTGCTTTACTTACAGAAAGAAATAGAGAAAGAGAGAGAGAGGGAAGGAGGGTGGGCGAGCGTGTATGTGGCAAGCCTTTTTTCCCTTTGAGCTTTAATTAAAACAAATGTACTCTTCAGACAACAGGAAAAAACTTTAAATGTAACTGAACAGTGTGACTTATCATATGCTTACCTGCTAAGTACAATACCTTCACCTGAGAAGGCTGCAGTGCTTCACAGAAGATAATAACAGACCCCAGCTGACCCTCCAGGGATGTGGGGCACCCCCACTCACTGTCTTGGGTGCCAGCTGATATCAATTTAGTAACTGATTTTGATTTCTCAACTGGTCCTCCCCAGGAGGCTGATGACAGAATCCCACCGAATGATGTCCGATGAGGGGTAATGGGAGAAGAGAAAGGTGGATCTGGGATCTGGGATGGTGGGGGAGTGGTGGTTCTCTGCCCAGCAGAACCAATGCAACAGGAAGTGAAAGGCTAAAAACAGAAAACAAAAGTTACAGAATTTTAAATAAATACCTAGAAAACAAATAAGTATCTTTAAAAGTAAACAGTTCAGAGCTAGGAATGTAGCTGTGTCTCAACACTGACCTAGCGTGCACAAGATCCTTGCTTGGATCCCCAGGAATACTAAATAAATAGATTAAAAATTAAAACTAATCTGACACACGTCTGTAATTACAGCACTAGTGAGATTGACGTTACAACAAGAGTTCGAGAACAGCCTGAACTACACTGCTAGACCCTGTCTCAAAAAAGACTAATAAATAAATAAATCATAAAAACAAATAAAAGAATGACACAACAGACAAAATTAAACAAAATGAAAATGGATAAAATCTTATTTTTATTTTCTTTATATATATATATATATATATGTTATTTTAATGATTCCTTTTATAACCTTGTGTGAATTTTTGTTTTGAATTAGCGTTTTTTTTTTTGTTTGTTTGTTTGTTTTTTTTTGAGTCAGAGTCTCACTATGTAGTTCATGCTGGCCTTGAAACTGTACCTAGTTGATCTTGAACTCATGGCAATCTTCCTGCCTCAGTCTCCCAAATGCTGGGATTACAGGTCATATACCACATGGCCTGGCTTAAATTTTGGAGTTTTAAATGTATGTATATTCTAAGAAAACTTTAAACAAATTTATTACTATCTAAAATAGAGGAAAGCTATTTTTCCACTTAGAATTCATGAACAAAGTTATACATTAATATAGTCATCAAGATGAAAAGCAGTAAAAAAAACTACTACAATCTTAGAAGGATTTGAGAAATAGTCATTCCATTCTATTATATTCAGAAAAGACTTCTAAATTATCCCAAAACCTCTGAAAAATCTAATGCTTTTAATAACTTCTGATTTTTATTAGTACATGTTTATAATACATCATGATTATGTTCACTGTGGATTTCATTTTGTTTTTAACTAATGGAAACTGAACCCAAGGCCTTCATACACAGCTACATTCTCAGTCCTTTGAATTTTGAGACTGGTAAAGTTGGCACGCTACAGGGCCTGGGATTGCACCTGTGACCCGCCTGACTAATCCTCCCAGAGTGCTGGGATTACAAATGTGCATTATCACATGTGGCCTCAGTACAAAAACTCTACTTTATAGCTAGTTACAATGTGACACTTAAAATTTCTTCATTTTGTTTCAAATTTTGTGAAAATGGAAGAGTCAATTATGATATCTTGTATTTTATATACTTGGAAGATTTCATTAAATGGTACTTAGATTTATTAATTTCATTATCTTTCCTGTTATATCTTTTTTCCTAAGCCTTCACATTTATTTATTCCTTGAGTTGTTTTATTTTTTATTTTTCATTTTTGTTTTGTTTTTTTGGTACCAGAGATCAAACTCATGACCTCACGCTTGCCAGGCAGGTGCTTACACCACTGAGCTAACTCCCTGGCCCTGTGCTGTCTTTTTTAAACACATTATCAAATGTCATTTCATGATAGATTAACATTATTAATTTACTGTATCTTAATACATAACACCAAAAAAACTTAAATTTGGGAGCACATATTTAAAATTCTTAAAAAAAAAACCTTTGTATATTAACTGAAAATGTTAAGGAATTTTCAATTAATTGAGCCTGTGAAGAATAAGTCAGACACACTTACTTCATTCATGGCAGGAAATCGGAGCGGGGCAGAGACCTTTGGCTGTCCATTGTCATAGATAGACACAAAACTCTGACCAAAAGGCCTTTTTCCAGGGATGTGAACAATAGTTATGTTGTGCTGGTGAAATAAAACATACATAGAAAAGGCTAAAGTCACATTATGTTTTTGGAATAATAAATGTTTACAGAGTATTATTCTATAACCCATTTGTATGAATAAAGATTAACCACAGTTGAATACTGATGTTTTCAAAATAAACAATTTTTTCTATATTAGCACAAAAGCCTTTTCTAAAAAACTCAGACACATCATAACATAGTATCTTTTCTGCATTTTCCAAGACTGTGAATATTCTTTAGAATCAATTTTTCTCATTAGAAGTAAAAAAGCACTTAAGTTAAAAGTCCAATCTGTTTTTTAAAAATCTTAACCTAATTTTTTTTTTTTATACCAGGAATTGAACTCAAGACCTTGCTTTTGCAAGGCAGGTGCTGTGCCACTAAGCTATATCTCTGACCTCTATTTTATTTTTAACAAAATGATTACTGAATATATGATGGTGATGGCAAACAGTATTACAAATTTCAATATGAATAGAATTTTAAAGTAAGCATTACTTGACTATTAAAAAGGAAATAAAAACTCCTTAAAAATATCCATCAAATTGTATTTGTTTTAAAGGAAAGAAGAAAGAAATTAAACATGATGCCCTAAAACCTTACCCAGAGGGAATCACAAAAACAGTGATCAGGAAGCATAACCGTTGCATATTCTCTTTTTGTGCATACTGCCACAACCAACATACCTGAATGGGTAATAAAAGCTTCAAAACCTATGCCACTTCCTGTAAAAAAGCTAACAAAAATAAATACTATTAGAACTTCTGAAGTCAGCTGATCAGTTTCATCATCACTGAAACACATGAAACCATGAATGTTTTGATTAACAATGCCGTAGTTTAAATGTTACTGCCATATATCAAACACAGTTTTAAAGTTCTTTTTGTACATGAGTTAGCGTTATAAGTGAAATTCCATTGGCAAACCATAGCAAAACTGTAAATTTTCAGATTTGCTTTGTTTTGTTTCTTGAGACAGGGTACTGGTTTGTAGTTAAGGCTAGCCTTGAACTCACTAGGTAGCCCAGGCTGGCCCTGAACTTCCAGCAATCCTCCTGGCTTAGCCTCCTAATTACTGGAATCATAGGCATAAACCACTGTATCCTGCTTAAATTTTCAAATCTTCAAAATTCATCCAACAAAGATTCAGAAAACATATATAAAGGTATTAAAAATCACCAGGCATAATAAAAATTATTATTTACTGAAGTTTGGATGAACTTACACATACATTTTCTAGTCATTCATATAAGCATGGGACAGGCATTGTCACTGAAGTTATTATGCCTTTATCTCTACATTTACTTATCTTTTTTAACTACTGTTATTTAAATTTAAATTTCTGAATAGCTGTGCTTAGTACATGTTTTCATTCCTTGATGGAGATTGGTACATGTGCATAACCCATTACGTTTGAGAAACAAGTTTCCAAATTAGTCTTAGGATTTAATCAGCAAAATGTGTAAGATACATAATTATTGGGAAAGCAGTAAACTACTTATAACTAAACTGTATGCAACCAAAGGATGAAGAGGCTCCAGAAAAATTGTTATTATCTTTAAAATGATATGCGCGGACAGGCTTTTTCCTATTTAAGAAATCATGACATATGAAGTTAAGACATATCATATATATATTTCACAATTTGCACTATTACCTGTACAACTGTTTTCTTTTTCCTCCTTTGTTAGCAATGCCGACAGTCAACTGATCCTGATCTAAGCAAAACCAAGCACTGAAAGAAAAGGCAGACCCTGGCCATTTCTGTATAGAAGGCACAGAAATTCCTGCCATACTATGTGATAAATTAAAATACTGCAACGCACTTTCAAGACTCAGTTTTCGGGCCATCATTAGGATTGCTCGAGTCACAGGAGGGGTATAAGGATGAATAACCTTATATTCATCTACTCTTAGCAACCTTAGCAGTCGACGGACTTCTTCGAAGCTCACTGACTGACTCCCTAAGGAACCATGAATTGCAATCAAATTCTCAGCACAAGTTCGATGGAGTGAAGAATGTGAATCAAGGGTTTCAATGATTTTAATTCCCATGTTTGCATTGACACAAGTAATTCGACTCTGCCTATTAATACAACAAATTCTTTTTAGCCAATCAGAGATGAAGATTTGCAGGTCATGAGATTCTAGCTCTGGAAGCCACTGGATAAGAAGCAAGAGAGGCTGGACATTACTAATGCCCAAAATCCCAACTGAAGTGTGATCACCCTCTACAGCCTAAAAAACAACATAAAAGAAAATAGATTAGTTACCATTTTTAAAATGGCAATACAGCAATAAAACTTCTATAATTTTTAAAAAATTTTTAATATTTTTAAATTTTGAGAGGAATTTAATAAAGGTTAAAAATTCACCATATTCATGAGTTCTTTAAGTAGTTCCAAGGGAGGCTGACCCAGAGACTTTAATACTTCAAACATGTGTGTGTAACCAATTCTTTCTTTAAATACTTCCTAAAGGGGAAAATAATACATTGAACCATAATTTAAAAGACTAAATTTATTGCAATATTAAAATACTGACTATCCACTTTAACTTAATATTAAATAAAAGATTACAAATTCAGTATTTGTTCTCTTAAATCTCATATTCCATGTTAAAGTAAAGCTCATATACCTTCTGGAATACTTATATTCATCTGTCAAACAACAAAATAAATGAAATTAGCAGTAACAGGAACTATTATTTACAGATTACAGCATATGACACTTCTGCTACTTGCTTAATGACTTGTAATTAATAAAATATTACATAAAGCTAAAACAAAAAACATAAAAAATGAGACTTTGTGGCTAAGAACAATGAGACAACAGTTTCAAAGGATTAGACTTAAGAGGCATTTTAAGTAGTGGTAGAAAAAAACCCAAATACAAAGAATTTTCTCTTTGCTCTTTTTATCTAAATTATCTGCTGCATCAAGTTCATTTTCAGAAGCTTTAAGTTGCATATATTACTACATCTGCATGCACTCGAAAGCAATAAGGTAAAATATAGACAACCAAAAAGTGTAGAAAATATTCAATTAATTCACTGAAATTATGGCACAAATACTTGCACTCACTATAAAATCAAAAGACTTAAATAAAACCAGTAGTACTGGTTGTCTCAACCCTAGTTGCACATAGGTTAAGGATAGGAAGGAAATCTTTTTTGCAAAAGATTTTTTTGTTGCTGTTGTGTTAACATAAGCTTTGAAACTTTAAAACCATGAAGGCAGTATATAGTCAACAAGAAATTAACTTAAAAGACATGAACACTTTCTTAGCTTTGAATTTCAGAATACATTATAGGCAATCTGTTATAAACCAATTAGTTAGATCTTAGAATGATTTCTTCCTTATAAAAGCTATTACTAATTAGAGACTAAATTCACATGTTACAATTTAGAAAGTCCATTCAATAAGAACCTAACTGTACACAGTAACATTTCTACAGCAAAAACCAATGGAAACTAAGGAAAACAAATGATTACAATGCTCAGGGATCAGGGAATATTGATTCACTCTAGTACCAGAAAAGTGAAGCATAAAGTACAGTGGGGAAATGGGAAGATAAAGTGGTAATTATTCACTAGCTTTTACTGATTACCATGTGCCTGGCATTTTGCTTAGCATTTAACTGAGATGGTCTCGCTAATCCTGACAACTACTCAGTGAGGTAATTCTCAGTACAACTTACAAAAGGACAGTCAGATGCAGTGAAAGGGAAAAAGTAGAAAGCTCTGGAGGGTTAGTGTCTACACAAGCAGCAGCAGATGCTCTATGGCTATATAACCTGAAAAAATGTCTCACATGATTACATGTGGAAAATGTTCATATCTATAAAATGATTAAATGAAGAGTGATTATTTTAAGAAAATCTATGAAATAAACAATAATCATTTGAATACCAGCGCTTTCTTCCCATTATTCTTTTCCTTTTTGAGGGGAAAAGGGTGCACACATGTGTGGGCAAGCCCTATGCTCCCTCTCCCCCGTCTTTTAAAATTTGGAGACAAAGTTCTTAGAAAGTTGCCCAGAATGCCCTAGAACTTGCAGTCTTTCTGCCTAGCCTCCGGAATAGCTGGGACTATGGGTGTGCACCACCACCTGGCTATCTCCTTTTCTATGGTCAACACTAGAAATCTCTGCATCTCTCCTGATTCGCAGACCAGGAATCAATTCTTTTAAAATCCTGCAGTGTTTATAAGGGTAGTTTTTAAAATTATCAGCCAACTGCTCTTATACTAAGCTATTCTTTGAATACTTTAACTTCAGATGTTACTTAGCTGTACCTGTTACCTACTTTCACATACCACTTTGGGATTTGTGCAGTGAAAATTGGTTACATCTAAGACATTTTAAAGCTTGGGAATGTAAGTTTCACCTTGGCAGCTGGAGATTTGTTCATCACTGCAGTCAAAGCCTTAATGGTTGATACAGCCAAACAATCCAACTGTTCCTGAAATGCCTACCAAAGTGGGGAGAAGTAAACACATATAATCAAATTTTATTCAGTTAGGAAACCTCTGTTCCGAAAACCTGAAAAAGAATACTTAATACGCATTCCATTCCTCTTCCCATGAAATGGATTTCCGAAATACTGTAACCTGCAAGAGAAGTTAGCTAAGGTAACAGAAGATAAAGCCATATGTGTCAAGAAAGGTAAGGCAACATTCATCCATAGCATTAAATATTTTGAGGAAAAAAATAAAACAAAACACCAAGCTTAACACATGCTTTTCAAAAATAATGGACAATCTCAAGAGGAAGGGAAGGAGGTCTACAACCAGAAATTCTATTATGTTTTAATTTCCCTTCAAAAATATTCCTGAACTGTCTAGCTTTAAGTTCTACTCGTATACACAGTAAGATAGCTAAAATAACCTCACTCGTTTGCTTTCCAAACTACCAAAACTGAAATGGTATACACATACACCAATTAATCATTATCCTTATTATGTCAAAATGATCTCTAATAATTCAAAACACATAAAATGCTTATATATTTAATTTTTTTTTACAAATTTTTAGGTAGACACTGAAAGTTAAATGTGTATCCGATGCACTGTCCATGTGTCTAAAAAGGCAATCCTTGATACCAAAGATTTTGATGTTTGTTTTATTTTTTTAAAATCGGTATGGTGCTTATGCCATTGAGCTAAATCCCCAGCCCCGATACCAAAGATTTTAAGAAATAAAAAGTAGCTCCATTTTGTCTATCACTGTACAAGCTTCATAAACAAGAGATGTACCACATTTCAAGGCAGTGCACTTACAGCAAAACCCAAACACTAATACCAACAATATATTGAAACTGAACATTACTATTACATCAGCCTAAGCCAATCATGAGAGCACAGAATGAGGACCAGAAAGCAGTAAAATAAACAGTCCTGAAAATTGGCTGTCAGGAATATATAATTACAATCTGAAGCTCATCATTTCACAAACACGATTTTCCTTTCTATCTGACAAAACAGATTTGAGTATAAAAGGAACCGTTTAGATCTTTGTGATCTAAGATCTATCATTCTTAGGAAGATTACTCAATCTAGAATCCTAGTTCTTGTTATGTTGTTATGTACTTTGTGCAAATATTAAACATATTACAGCATATATTAAAACATTGTGGGGCTGGGGATTTAGCTCAGCGGCATAAGCGCCTGCCTTGCAAGCAGGTGGTCGTGAGTTCGATCCCCAGTACCAATAAAAATGAAAAAGACAAAAAAACAAACAAAACAAAACAAAACAAAACATTGTGTATGCTAAATTTCATACAAATAAGATCTGTGCAAGATTTTGTCCATGACGAGTAAGCCAAAAAAACCTCATTACACCTATCATTTGGAATTGTAACATAAATCTCTACTAAACTACTATGACTATTTTATTAATCTATACAATTAAGCCTTAACAAAGACTAAACATTCAGAGAAATCTAAAACAGTACAGTTCTCTGAACTGGCATTTCATATCCAGAATAGAAAAGGATAGAAGAGAATAAAACATTTTTATATCATGATTCTGTAAACCTAAACATTAATATAATGCTAAGAAAAATAAATTCTCTCACAACATTTTAGGCAAGAAAAAGAACAAAATATTTTTCTTTTAAGGACAAGATCTTACTTTGTAGCTCAGGTTGGCCTTGATCTCATGATTCTCTTGCCCCTAGCCTTTTGAAATCTGGCATTCTAGGTATATAGCACCACACCCAACTACACAGTAATTTTTTTAAGAACTAATTTAATATATAATGAGAAGCAACGTGAACAATATATCTTCCTTTATTATAGCTATATACAGTTGGATTTTTAGGATAGAAAAACTAAATTTTATGATAAATTAAAACTAAAAAAGTTCAACATCTTCTTCCCTTCCTCCAAGATTTGGGTTGTCCATTAAATTATAATCATTATATGTCAATAAAAAGCAAAGAATCAAAACATTAAAAATAAATAATTTATATTCACAAACAAAGCCCTGCAGTCCCAATATACCATAGTGCTTAGAAAAGTAAGCTCCAAAATATGAAATTATCATCAGGTAGACAGCCTTGACACTGGAATTCCATTCCTGTACTTTGTATCTTCTCTGAATGAATGGAACACACACAAATGGAATGGTATTGACTTTACCAAGCACTAAGATTTCATCCTTTAGATGAAAGCAATGTTTAATCTTATATAACTTTTTAAAATAGTGAATATCAGAATCAGATGTTTACATATTTTAAGAAGTAAGAAAAGTACAGGAACAGTTATTCCCATTAACTGATTTTGGACTTCAGCTGAAACAAGATGCAGGCTTTGTAGGTACCTGGTCCTCATTCATTTCTGTCAGTAATTTGTTGGCAAGGTCTTTCTCGCTCTTGTCTGTCACCTTATTGTTAGCATTTAAAAATAGCTGTTCAAAACAGAGACAAGAATAATGGAGAAAGAACATTACATTGTTACAGGGTATATAAGCAGAGTGAAGCCTAAATGGATTTCCTGTCTCTTGAAAACAACCCCTACATACTCCCCCAAAAAGAAAAACCAAACAAAACTAAGAAATCTTTTGTGAAGTACCCTCTTCTGAAAACTGAAGATTATTTGCTTTTTGGACTATGAACTAATTTAGTTTATGTACTATTTAATTATTATAGATACATTTCTCCCTTAGAACTCATTCTTGCTAAAATAAGAAAAAGCAACAATAATTAAAATTAGTTATTCCTAAACTCTTAAACAATCAGCAGAGAATGTCTCAGAGAAGTTGCTACTGAAATAGACTTAAAAACAGTAACAAATAACACACTTAATCAAGTTTGTAAAATGATATTAAGCTGACTTTCCAGAAGGTTCTTGCTGGAAACAGTTCTCAGGGTCTCTAAAAAGCTAGCGTGTACCCTGACATGGGAGCCAGTGTGCAGCACTTCCCAATTTACTGCCTACAGATTTGGCTGAAATACTGTTTAAAGATATGCTCCAAAGTCACCAAGTGTTGAACCTAGTTTACATTTATTTGTATTCTGGAAAAGGAGGCTGGGATAATCTCTGGCACACACAGGGAATATCTTTTTCTGAATAAAAAAGAAATCAAATAGTTTCAGTACAGAAACTTAAGCATTCCAAAAAGCCTTGGCTTCTGTCATAGTCTGGATAAAGAGAAAGCTAATCAGAATAAAAGTGAAAGGCAGAGAAAGATTTATGAAGAAATATACTAAGAGACTCTTAAAAAGAGATTCTTAGAGAATTCTGACACTTCAGAAGTGAGAAAACAGAGGTTTGGTTACATGCTAAAATATTTACTACAAAATAAACTGGATGACAGCATGATAGTATATATGTAAAGCTTAACAAAATAATAGTATTTCAAATAAAAGATCCAGATTTGAATCTTTTGCTATTTCTTGGCTTTAATTTTAAGAAATATTACTCAATTACTTCAAAACTGTTTTCTCAAAAAAATAAGAAAAGTAATCAGTCAGCTATAATATTAAATGATAAAAATTTATGCTAGCTTTCTGCATGTGATATCTAGCATAAAACAGCTTTCTGCATGTGATATCTAGCATATAACAGATCTGAACAAAAGAAAGCTGGTGATTCCCAATACTACAAAAAGAAAAATAAGTAAAAACTGTACTATCAGCAAAGACTCCATATATTGAGGTGCAAGGCAATTACAATGCTCAAGCAAAGCTGATGAAAGCTGTAGCCGTCCTATTTTGTATAGGATGCTCACAGAGTGATGAAATTAACTAAAAGATGCATTTTTTCAGGAAATATCCTTGTATCATAGAACAATTGCCTCACCATGTTAGGCAATTATGACAAATTGTCTTGTAAATACACTACTTACATCAGATTCATTATATCTATAGGTAGACATGCGCTAAGAGATTCATATACTGAAGAAAAAAGTCCATCCTAACATATTTAGTAGAAACTATACTATGTCCTAGACATAACCCTAGAATGTACAATTAGCAGATACTTTATGCATGTAGGTGTTGACTTGATCACTGAATTTGTCTGTAGAGCTAATAAAGCCATACTGCTTTTTCTGTAACAATAAAAAAGTTCTATAAACACTGCAATTATGCCATTTTCACCTATCTAGTAGAATTTGATAATTTCCCTGGCTTTATACGTATCAATATAGTCCTTACAATCATACGTCATTTTTGCTGTACAGCACAAGGTAAGCAAAATATTTCAGGGCTATTCCTTCTAACAATGTGAAAAAACTCAAGAAACAGATATTCAAATCCTCATTTTAGACTACTCTAACAGACTCAACCTGATTTTGGCAGGAAGTCCATGAATGAAATATAGTACTTCAAATAGAATGGTAAAAGCTCTATGAAATAGTTTCATTTACAAAGACTCTACAAGAAACTCTGTGAAATAAAAAAATAATACCCACCTTGAAATGATAAAATGATATTATAGTAAGCAAAAATCTTTGTTATTATGTACTCTCATGTATTGTTGCTACAAGTGCACAAAATTATAAAGCAAATTAGCACAACATATGAAGGATGTGTTTTTGTATATTTTCTCAATAGTGGTAACTTCCTTTCATACAATGCTTCCTCATTTTAAAAACAATAAAAGTTTGTGCCTTATGACTGGTAATTATAATAGGAAGTATATACTCAAGAGAATTTGAAAGCCATGTGATAGCAAAAACTAAGTATCAGTCTATAAAGAATTATTAAATAATTCTTAGTACATGAACTTAATATTGTCTAGACATGAAAATCTTAAACATGAAAATAAAGCATCAGAGCCAGCAGCAGCCATGCATCTCAGGAAGAGAACCAAGAAGCAGCTAAACCTTTCCTGTGAGCCAATGGCACTCATGGGCTAGGCCAACCCCCTCCTGTGAGCCAGCGGCAGCCATGTGACCCGGGAAAAGAACCAAGAAGAAGCTAATCCCTTCCTGTGAGCTGTTAGTAATCGTGGGTCAGGACGACCCCTTCCTGTGAGCCAGTGGCGGTCATGAGCTGGCTAACCCCTTCCTGTGAGCCAGTGGCAGCCAAGTGACCCAGGAAGAGAATCAAGAAGAACTAATCCCTTCCTGTGACTCAATGGTAGTCATGCGCTAGGACGACCCCTTCCTGTGAGCCAGCGGTGGCCATGAGACCCAGCAAGAGAACTAAGAAGAAGCTAACTCTTTTCTCTGAGCCAGCAACAGTCATGGGCTAAGACAACCCCTTCCTGTGAGCCAGTGGTGGCCCTGTGACCTAGGAAGAAACCAAGAAGAAGCCAATCCCTTAGTCTAAGCCAGTGGTAGTCATGGGCCAGGCCAATCCCTTTCTGTGAACTAGCCAGCACACAGGCTGTGAGACAAGAAGTACTGAACCACCCCTCCAATTGCCAAACCACTGGCTGAGATGATAGCCACTGAAGTAAAACAACAACCTAATGCCTATATTGTTTTACTGTCTTTGCAGCTCTAAAGCCAGTAGTCTAAGCTTCTGTTTAGAGGACAACAATATGCAATATAGCAGCTACAGGGGATTTTCTTCTGAAGGTGGCAGTCATTATTAATTCCCTATTATCTCGTTTTAAATTCCTTTATCATTTTCATTGTTTTGTTTTATTCAGTTTTGTTTTGTTTGATTTTATTATATCTGATGGCATGGGGAGCTATTTTGAAGACAGTAACATACATTATGGTAGCCACTGTTGATTTCCTATTATCTTGTTTTCAAGTCTTGTATCACTTTCATTGTTTCATTTTGATTGGTTTTATTCTGTTTTGTTTTGTTTGATTTTATTATGTCTAACGGTATGGACAACTATTTTGAAGATAACAAGAGGCAACACGGTTGCTTTCCTATTATCCTGCTTTGAAATTCTGTATTATTTTCACAGTTTAGTTTTGATTGGCTTTATTCTATTTTATTTACTTTGGTTGTATTCTCTTTAAAATAAAATAAAATAGAAAAAAGAAAATAAAATATCCTACATAAAAATTATATGCAAATATGTAAGATGTTACTTTATTAAAAAGACTTTACTACTCAACAATTTGATTTTAAAATGGGCAAAAGGCTTCAGATATTTCTCTAAAGAAGATACACAAATATGGCACAGATAAGAAATGTTCATCATCACTAGTCATTTGTAAAAAGCAAATCAAAACCACAGTGATAGCACTTCATATCACATAGGGCAGTAATTATGAGAATAAAAAATATCAAGTGTTGATGCAGAAACTGGAATCCTCCAAAGTAATTCTGTGAACAAGAATCATAAATAAGAATTAAACGAAGGAAAACTAAAATAGGTGCAGCAAGATACAGGGGGAATATCTTCTTAATCTAAAATCAAAATGTACAGATCAAAGAATGACTTGTCTCGGTTAAATTTGTAATAACAAAGAAGTGGAGACGCTGTAGTCAAGTGTTGCTTTATGAACTGCAGTCAGCTTTTTCTGTAAAAAAAAAAAAAACCTAAGCCTTAGTTTATACTGAACAGATAAGATCACTGTGAGAAAGGTAATAAATTGCTACACTGCAACAGAAGTGAAGAATTTATAGGTGTTTAATTCATACTTATTTCTCCTAAATATCTTGGTTTCTTCAAGGCTGAGCACTGAACACAAGGCACTGCATGGTCTCCACCACTAAGCCACATCTCCAGCTCCTCTCCTAGCTATCTCTGAGAATGACAACTTAATGAGAAAATACTCAGACATTCTAAAGGGAAGATACTAGTCATTAAGGCTGAATAATGTTTATTTGGGTTTTTTCTTCTTTTTTTTGAGATAGGTTTCGCTCTGTACTTCAGGTGGGTCCTAAGCTCACTATGTAGCCCAGACTGGCCTTAAACTTGTAGCAATCCTCCTGCCTCACTGAGTGTCAGGATTACATGCATGGGCCACCATTCCTGGCCACCATTCCTGTCAGGTATCTTTAACAAACATGAATTCAAGGGGCTGGGGATTTAGCTCAGCAGCATAAGCACCTGCCTTGCAAGTGCGTGGTCATGAGTTTGATCCCCAGTACCAATAAAAAAGAAAAAGACAACAACAACAACAACAACAACAAAAAAAAAAAACATGAATTCAGGGTACTCTAACATGAAATTTAGTATTTTGGATAGATTTACCAAAGAAAACTTGATATTCAAAGAAATATGAGTGAAAACTTCAATCAATTATAAAAATTTGGACAATTTTAAAAGCCAGTTTTAATACATTGTTTCACTTTTTATGGCAAAAATTTTAATTTCAAAGCCAAAAAATGATTCAGGCTGGTGAATGTTTAAACCTAAACCAGTCGGAAAGGGCCTTCCTCCCTCCTAAATTTATAAACCTGATTTCCACCCCCTTACCATCAGATCTTTTCATCTGCTGGCTTAGCAGTTAATTACATTCAAGCCCAACACTATTTTAAAAAAGAAACT